CATTGCTAGCAATATACCCAACCAGGTCGACCTCCTCGTGGTTCCCCCTGGAAACTCATGGTTAATTCCTGATGAATTCATCCTCTAAAAGATTACAATAGTAAATTTATTATAAATATAAACAATTACAATAAATAATCGCAGTGAGAAAACAATGGTCGGCCTTATCGCTAGAAGCGAGCTTCCTCATTGGAATCATCATTTCTAGACAAAACACGATGTAATGGACATCTCAAGAGTATACTGTGTCCTATACCTCCAGTGACTACTCGAGCAATTTTTCCGCACTGGAGAAAAATATTTGCCTACCTTTATAACGAATGTCTATGGGCTCGCAATGAATTCATGTTTTGCCCAGCTGGCCTGATATATCCTGTCGGGTCGACCCCCACGTGATACTTCTGGAAATCATTGGGGTTAATTGCTGCTGATCTCATCACGATAGGCCAACTGATCTAATTTCATCGGGGGGAAAGGGATTGTTAGTATTGGAGATTAAGAATCCCGTTGCCAGCAATATACCCAACCAGATCGACCTTATCGCGGTTCCCCCTGGAAACTATCATGGCTAATTCCTTGTGGTGAGCTAACTGGCCTGTTTTCATTCTCATCTATCACCCTTCACTGGTACTCCGCCAGCGTATCCCGTTAGCGCAGGCGGGGTTACCATACCATTTACACCCATAAAAAAAATTTCAAGGTTGCCAACGTTTGAGTACGTCATAGGAATCATAGTATATCCTGTGTTGGCTATGGTGCTGTTTGTCTATGGTTGACAGTTACCACTTTCCATCAAGTGAGCTATCAGCTTATTTACATCAGCATTGTATATAGTATTCGAGTATATAAAAACTTATGTACTCGAATACTACATTAATTTAATAATACTACTTACATATAAATCGTGCAAAAATAGCGCCCCCTAGTGTCATGACTCTAGGCTAAATTATCTAAACTAATGAAATTTATTTAAAGAGACAGTTATGAGTTAACCAATATAAAAAATACCACCGAATTTAGAACCTCCTTCTTTATGAAATCGGTTGAAAACAATTAAATTAAAACAACAAAAACAAATCAACATTATATTTATAATAATAATAAATATTCAAAAAATATACCCTTGTACATTTTACAGATATTTTATAATATACATCATCTATTTTCTATTTGTGTCACAATAAGATCTATGTAATGGCAAGCATTCATAACTTTAATTTTTCTAAAAAAGAAATCACACCACTAACATAGTGTTGCATGTAAAAAAAAATAAGATTTGTGCATTTAAATAAAAAAATATTTGCATATATTGATTCATAGTTTAAACATTTGTCTGTAAAATAACATTTGTTCTAACAAAAACTTATTCTATTTTACAATAATAACATTTTTCTATTTAATAATTTATAAAATATGTCAAAAATTAAATAGGTATTGAGTCAACATTTTTGTTCTAGTGATGTACACATACAATTGACCTAATATCTAAAAATCAAGATACAAGATATCTGGGTTACTAATGTTTAAATAGACAAATCATCAATCGGTAACTCATCCCTTACTAAATATAAATCGAAACATGTAAGAGGTTAAGCATAGATTTTATTTTATTTATTAAAGTTATGACTAGAAGTCATAGTTATGAAAAGTTACATGTTAAGCATAGGTTTTAAATGTAGCAAGACTTTTGTAAGATTAATTTTATTAGAAACCCAGATAAGCTAGCAATCACAAAATGTTTCGTCATCCTATAAAAGTTCAAATAAATATTCACATGTTAAATATTATATAATCGAAATAAATAATCTGAAATAATCGATACAACGTACTCGAATTAATGTTTGTTACATAAATACATTTTTGGCTAATTAGTGTTTTTTATTTTTAATAATCATTCATAATATACAAATTAATTTGACAACATTATTATTGCCATATAACAATAAAGATTTTATTCTTTAAACACGTGGCAAACAAGGTTATTTCGTTTTTCTATACTCGAAATAATTAAATAACAATTTTCACATCTTTTTATAGAATTTTTAACTAGGATAATATAAGTACATGCTCATTAGGAATCAAATACGGTTTTTTTTTTTTATTTTCATAATCTCAGGGTTGCCATTTACATAATGTATTTTTATCAAAAATAGTTATTTAAAACAATATTTATTTATTCCTTATTGCATATTTTTTTTAAATGGCAACATTAATGCCATAATATGGAATCTCCATCAGGTAACCAATGGGTAAAAATAAAAAGCGTATAAGGACATAATAATATGCAATAATGAATTAAAAATTTATTATGCAGATATTTTTTATTGTTGTTTTATTAAAATAAAAAGATAACGATTATTAAAAACACATACGTTTGCTAAAGAAATAGAGATAGCAACATCAAAATACAAGACAATCTATTCACATTTACAAATATACGGCATTTTTTTATAGCTCGATTACGAGGCCTTCAAGCAAAATCATATTTTTCTCAAGTTAACTATTTTATTAGGGTATTATTTTTAATGTAACACTTTTTACATTTGCCACATGCCTAAAGAGATATTTCACAACTTATCACAACTTTGCCTAACTAGTGATACAGAGTAAAACCGATTTGTTAACGGTACATAAAACTATATATCTACCCATGCTATAGAGTATATAACGACGAAAATTTGGTGAATCATATATTAAAAAGTAACAAAAAAAAAATAGAACCTATACTAATTAAATAGACACGCTATATTAGTAAGGAAGCCACAATGTTTTTGTCGTTTTTTTTATTCATACTTCTATAGTAAAAGTGTTTCTTTTTATTAGTTCCTTAAAATAATGTTAACAGTTTCGATTTTACTCTGTATTGTACATCTATTACATCCTGAACCATAAATAAATTCCATAAAATTTCAATCTTAAATTACATAGATAGAGTATCTCCAACAAATGATTCGCTAAAAACAGATCAACTTTTTTATCCATGTGTGCGTAAATGGGGTTACCAGTATGTATAGTTAATACAAAGTAAGTGGAGAAAAATTTATAAGATTAAATTAAAAAATAAATACGATACAAAATTCTTAGAAATATATTTGAAATAACAAGATATCGTCATAGTCGTAGAATACTGACGGATCTGACGAATATTACATATAAAGATCCGTCAGTATTCTACGACTATGACGATATGTATAAGTCAGCCAATTTGACGTCTGACTGACTTAAATTTTTTTCACTTCATGCTCTATCTATATAAGCTAAGGTTCGAATATATATTTATTGAATTTAATTCGATATGCGTTAAGATATTATATTAATATCATAGTTCCAATATAAAATTATAACATACTGAATCAAATACAATATCTATTATATAAATATAGTAGTATCAAAATCAACTATTTCCACATAATTAAGCTGATTTGGCAGTGTTCAAATTCACACATATGTCTTTTATTTCTTCATGATTAAACAAAAAAGAGCTAGAAGCTGATTTCAGTCGAAAAGTACTATGATACTTTTCAATCAATCGTTTGATCAAATCTAAGAAAAGATTTATACAATACACAGTTTTTGCTTTGTTTACATCAATACTAGTGTTAAAGCTACTACAAGGAATTTGCTAGTGGTCCATGAATTTGGAATGCCTATAATTTGGAATTTTTATTCGTATAGGGATTTTGATCTATAAAACTAACCTATAAAAATTACTTACTATTTATTTTTAAATTTCCCCCAACCTCCATCACCCAAACAATTACACTCAATACAACACAACTCGTATGCACATGACATTCATAGACAAGGCTTTTGTTTTTTTTTTCTTGTATAAACACATTTCGTATGCACATGACATTCATAGACAAGGCTATTGTTTTTTTTTTTCTTGTATAAAATCACAATATTCTGACCACACTATCCTGAGCAAGCGCCAAGACGACACGCTCCATGAGTATGACCAACCGAAAAGAGAACGTTTTAACGATCCGTGGATCGCCACAATTTTTTATCAAAAAAATTGTGGCAATTTTCCAATAGTTACTTATTTTATTGTTGTTATTGTTTTCAGCCATATTTTTTTTAAAAATTACATATAATTTGTACATTATATAGCTAATACTACAGTATAATCTGATATTTATACTCACAGCACAATCTTATATAAACATTTGTTTATATACATTAAATCATTTACATACACGAAAGTAAAAAAGGATAAAAAAATACCCATTTTTTGCATATTTTTGAAAGTAGTCATATTTTGTTAATCAATAATAAAATATATCTAAAACAATATACCAAAAGGTAGTTTAGGTTAAAATTGTCTTTTTGTATTTATATTGGGCTGAGGACAGTGTGATGTGTGTTAAAGTTTAGACTGCAAGCCCCCCCGCTCGGGCCACTCCCCTGGCTGACGTCCCGGCGGGTGGCCGTGTGAGTCGCATTGTGACATATTATTGTTCATTATTTCCTACACCTACCTACCATACCAGGAGGACAGCAATTTTCTGAAGCGCCACATCTCTAAACCTAAATTTCAATTTAATATAACAAGAAAACCGTAAGTACACATTATATTTTAAAATATTAACTGCCATTTTAACTTACGTGTAATTAGTATCACAGCCGCTCACGATTAAGGGTCCCGAATGGTCCTGAAACTAGTCGAGTTTTCTCAACCTAGTTACACGTAAGTTAAACCGGCAGTTGTTACATTGATATTATTATTTTAGTTCCTGATGACCCATAAATGTGTAATTTTATGAAATTATCATAAATTAGATAGATAGTGAAATTAGATAGATAGATAGATAGATAGACAAATGAAAATATTATATTATATATTAGGTTTTAAGACATGGCACCTTAGAGTCAGCCTCCTTGTCTTAATATAACTACAATGCAATTCCCATATGATTGGCATATAGAAAAAAAAAAAAAAAAAAAAAAATATATATATATATATATATATATATATATATATATATATATATATATATATACATATATACATATATACATATATTAGAGGCTGCTTATAAAATACTTAAATATACATATTCAACAAACTACTTTAGACCTGTCTTAAAAGTAATACCTTTAAAGTCGTTAAATGAAATATGATTTAATAGTTATTAAATATGATTGGTTCTGAAGCGATAAGTCATTAATATAAGTATATATTATATAAGTAGATGTTCATCATCATCATCGTCATCACCATCATCATCATATCAGCCATTACCTGTCCAAAATAGACATTACTGACTAGCAAATTAGGCCTGCTGATTTTAAATAAATATTAAATAAAAATAATTTATTTATTTGACTTTGAATTTCTATCTCTTTTTAGAATTATTATCTCTCTTTCCAATAGTAGAATACAGTGATGGTTCAACCGTCATACTCGTGAACGATGGCTGCTCGCACTGGTCTACTCTCGAATGTAATACGAATGTTCTTTTAATTCCAATGTCAATTATTTATTTATTTTATTTACTACTATACTATATATTTGTCACTAATCAAGTAAATAATTTGTTCCTGTCATTACCTAGGCATTATAAATCCACTTTTTTTATCCTGGCATATGAACCTGGCATTATAGCCTATATTGAATCATAGTTGTCACCCAAAAATTAAATGAAGACATGAATGGAGGTGAAAATTATATGTGGCATTTTCGAATTATCGCTCTTATATGCATGGACAGAGGAGTTATATTTGCTAGTACGCACATAACATTTTCATGCATGCACGTAATTGGCGTGTAGTCCCGGCATAGAATGGGCTACCCCCACCTTTTCTGAGGGTGTCGTAAGAGGCCACTAAGGGAATGGTCGAGGGATGAACAGCAGCGTACCTTTTTAAAATATCAGCAAAACACAACTGCGGTTGCTTACCCACCTACCAAACGTGGCAACTACAGGCACCAGAGGGAGACTTTGTACAAAAGACGATTGCTTGGGTACCTCTGTCCCATTCGTATTTCTACCGTGAAGCAGTTGTGTTTGGAGGGTGGAATATGACGTAAATTTACAGGATACAAAGGAATAACACCTGAGTCCTCAGGAATGACGCATGGGGGATATCATGGGTATAACAATATACTCTGTTATGTCCATGGTACTGCTCATGTCTATAGGCGACGGTTACCACTTTCCATCAGGTGGGCTGTCAGCTTGTTTGCCATTCTAAGTTGTATAAAAAAAAACCCTTATGGGGAGGCGGTCTCTGTTCAGCAGTGTTCTGTTAGCGGCTGATATAATAGTAATAAAAAAAAAATATAAAAGCAATAATCCGAAACTGGGACATCCATTCATGTCTTCAAATATTACATTTATTAACTAGTTTTAAACTTGCATGTATTGAGTTACTTTGATGAGAAGTGAGTTCCAAACTCACCAAATGTACATCTAGCTAACTTTACACGTTTTTATTTAACAGGTTCCGTCGATTCTGCCGTCGCCGTCCCCCGCTGCAGGTAATGGTAGTTGACGAACCTCCCGCCCTGTGTCAACTGGGCGCAGGTGTTGGTGAAGTGGCACGCGAAGAGCAGAAGGTTCCTGGGCTGGACTCTCCACGCGAATCTCATGAACATCATTGAATACAGTGTAAGAGCTGGAATAGGGAATGACAAGTCATTTAATTTTGTAACACATTGGATGATGTTCAATCATATATCTGAATGTACGAAATACAAAACACAAAGGGGAAGTATTGATACAGAAATATAGTGCCAATAGACAGGAGATTGGTTTATTTTCAAATATACTCGCAGAACCACATTCGGGAATGGCAAAATCTTTAATTACTATATTTTTGTATCAATAATTCCGTTTATGAAAATGGACTACTAAGATATTATGTATTATCTATTTATGTATCAATGTTTTAAGTGTGTGAGGTATTTTATAAAATTAGGGTGTAATGAGGCTGACATATCCTTATAGGATAAAAGCCTCTAAATAAAAAAGATTAAAAAAAAAGTCATTTAATATAATTTTTATAATAATAACTAATTTAATATTATTCTCATTTTATTAAATAATTTTACTGAATTAGGTGTCATTTTGGAGAAATCCATATAGCCGGTTATTTGATAAGAATTCTTTTTGAAATTCTACAACCTTCCATATTAGCCATCAATCTCCGACTGGTACTTCGTCCATGCACGTTTTGCAACACGTGTTTCACCTTTACACGAGGCATCTGCAGGGAAATTAATAAATCGCGGCTTGGAGCCTAGTGTTAACCGTTTTTTTTCAGTTTGGGTACCAAATGTTTTATACCTTCTAGTAATAATAAAAGAATTTTTTAATGGATGATAATGAATATAAAATAGCAACCCCGCCTACCATCATCTAGTCTCGGGCACCGGGCTAATGGTCAGCCACCTGGGCTATTCCGGCCCAACCGACCTTGAAGGGTGTTATATATGTAAGGAACCTTAACTCCTCAAACAATGGTCATGGAATTTGATATGAAGGAATGAATGAACGAGTATACTTTATTTGCATCATTATCATCACTACATAGTATAAAACAAAGTCGCTGTCTCTGTCTGTCCATCCCTATGTATGCCTAACTCTGTAAAACTACACAACGGATTTTGAAGCGGTTTTTTTTTAATAGATAGAGTAATTCAAGAGGAAGGTTTATGTGTATAAATAATTCATGCCTAATATTGTCGAGAAACACTGATATTTTTAAAGGTTTCTCATATGATGTGATGTAATGTGCACCCGTGCGAAGCCGGGGCGGGTCGCTAGTTATACAATATAGGAAACAAACAAGACTATTAATAAATGTAACGATACAATTGTAAAAGTACCGTAAGGCGGTCTTATTACTGAGAGCAATCTTTCAAGACAACCTTAGGGTAATAGACTAATTGTTGTACAAGTAAATATAATTTTACTGTATAAACGTAGTAATCAGAATGGACAAGGACATAAGCGTACTTTTTAACCCATTTTTTTGTGAATATGTTCTAAATACACTATCGGGACTTAAAGGGATGAAAAAGTTTTGCAGCCAAATAGTACCTATAAAGAAGCAAGTGTGTAAATACTATTTACCTGCAAAAATTTTTCATTGCATTAAGTCCCGATAGTGTATTTAAAATATGTGTAAACAGCGCGAAAGTTTACAATAAACTAATGTAAATATATCCTGACCACACAGACATAGTCGCGGGTAGAAACTAGTTCGAATATAAAACTGAAATCCTATGGTTTTATTCTTTTTGTTGGATGAAAATGGTATGGTAACTCCGCCTGCGTTAACGGGATACGCTGGCGGAGCACCAGTGAAGGATGATAGATGAGAATAAAAACAGGCCAGTTAGACCATCATGGTGAATTCATCAGGAATTAACCATGATAGTTTCCAGGGGGAACTGCGTGGAGGTCGAAATCCTATGGTTTGGATTCCACTGCTTATCAGCCTAAGCAATTTACGCTTACATTTTCATTTTAATGTATAATATTATCATAATCTAAACAAATAAAGACGTTTAACAATATACTTTAATGATTACAGATAACGTATTATACAATTTAACCATAAACAAGAGTTTTTTTTATAACCTAAGGGTTGCCGCACACTTAACCACAACTGTATCTTTAATAGGTAATAATGAAATGGTAACCCCGCCTGCGCTAACGGGATATGCTGGCGGAGCACCAGTGAAGGGTGATCGATGAGAATGAAAACAGGCCAGTTAGCCCATCGTGATGAATTCATCAGGAATTAACCATGACAGTTTACAGGAGGAACCACGAGGAGGTCGACCTGGTTGGGTATATTGCTAGCAATGGGATTTTTAGTCTCCATTACTGACAATCCCTTTTTTAATAGGTAATAATGAAATGGTAACCCAGCCTGCGCAATCGGTATACGCTGGCGGAGCACCAGTGATAGATGATAGGTTACTATAAAAACAGGTCAGTTAGCCCACTGTGAAGGAATTTACTAGAAATAACCGCGACGGTTTCTAGGGGAAACCGCGTGGAGGTCGACCTGATAGGGTGTATTGCCAGCAAAGGGGCAGTTAGACTCCATTACTCTCCCCCCGAATCATAACGGTAACGACGACTACTCAGGCGAGTCGCTACACCCTATTCGCGATAACGTCCCGGGGATGACTTTCGTTTATAGCCTAGCAACTCTATTTGCTAGCAATACAAATGTTATTTATGTGGGTAGTATTAAACATGTACGGGTGGCTACGTCCACCTTTATAAGTCATTTGACCTTGTCTATTAAACCAGTGTGTAACCGACCTCTGTGTTCACTTGTCGCGTACCCAACTTCGCAATATACAATAAGCTATACTGTCGACCTTTACACGGTCACCGCGATTATCTCCTGGTGAAATTTTCTCGTTGAGCCAACACATCTGATTACATCTTCATCTATCATCCATCCTTCAACCTTCACTGGTACCCCGCCAGCATATACCAATAGAACAAATGGGGTCCCCATTATATTTTCACTTATCCATCCATGGTATACTATAATGTCCATGATGCTATGCACTTTCCATGAAGTAAATCGTCAATTTATTTGCCATATCTAAATTGCATAAACAAAAATTAAGACTTTATTAGAATCCAGTATTTTGATAGTTTCAGAATGTCTTAATTTAACAATAATTAACAATATTTAATTTAAATTAAATTTATATTATTATTGATATAAAAATACAAATAATAATAATACACTCAGGTTATGGAATGAGCTCCCTGCCGAGGTTTTCCCAAGAGACTACAGCATTGGGTTCTTCAAAAGGGGGGTAAAGAGGTTTCTTCAGGGTCGGCAAAGCGCGTAATACCTCTGATATTGCAGGCGTTCATAAGCTACGGTAACCGCTTACCATCAGGTGGGCCGTATGCTTGTTTGGCACCTCAGTAATATAAAAAAATATATAATTTATATTTATTTTCTACACAATTTAATACCAGTTTCTCTCTGTCCACCGCACTAGAAACTTGGTATAACTGAATGCATGTTGCAAATGCGTGTACAACTATAGACGATTAATAATTGTCGCCATCAGTGGCCTAGTGTGCGTAAGCCCTTATTACACCATATCATTTTATTTTATCGTTACATATATTACATATTCGTAACATAACATTACACTCGAATACTGTTAACTATTGATAAGAATTTGACAAGATAAAGCGGCGCGATGCGACAACGCGAGATGTGATCGTGTCAAAGGCGTGATTTAAAATAAAAATACTACATATTCACTATGTTTCGGAACGGCTAGTCTCTTTAACCGACCTCAAAAAAAGAGGTCAAGAACCTCCTTTTTTTGTTTTTTTTTTTATAACACAGAGGGCAAACGTGCATGTGTTTCACCTGATGGTAAATGACTACCGCCGCTCATAAACACTCGCAACACCAGAGGCATTGCAGGTGTGCTGCCGGCCTTTTAAAAAGGAACATGCTCTTTTCTTGAAGGTTACGATGTCGTATCGATTCAGTAATACTGCTGCTGGAAGTCGATTCCAAAGCGTGGTTGTACGTGGAAGAAAGTGCCTTGAATAACGCAAGTTTGAAAGACCGCCATTAATCCAAATGGTTGGGATGGAACTTTAGATTGTAGCGGATTGTACTTTGTTTTAACATAAAAGTCAAATGTATGTATATATATGTATATGTACGTATATTATGCCACATATTCGCAATAATTAGTAGTATAGTAAGAAACAATACAAAAATTAAGAAGGATAAGTAAGCTGAAGTGGCAATGAGCTGGTCACATAGCTCGAAGAACCGACAACCGGTGGGAAAGAAAGTTTCTTGAGTGGCGACCCCGTACGGGCACACGCAGTGTAGGACAACCCCCTCCCCCCAACTAGATGGAGTGACGACCTCAAATGCATTGCAGGGAGTCAATAGATGCAGCTGGCTTAGGACCGTTCCTTATGGCAGTCTTTAGGGGAGGCCTATGTCCAGCAGTGGACGGATAATGGCTGAAATAATGATGCAAGGATTCTATTGTTTTTTTACCCCCAAAATATGTTGGAAGATTTTTTTTTATACAACTTAGAATGGCAAATAAGCTGACGGCCCACTTGACGGAAACGGTAACCGCCGCCTATAGACATGAACAGTACCATGGACATAACAGAGTAACAATAATAATTCTTTATTAAATCTGTTTTTATCTCTCTCAACACGTCTCAAATGTGTTTGCTATCTGCTTATTATATTATTTGTTATGTAGATATCTGTTATCTTTTTAATACCGTTTTTTTTTTCAGAGTAAAGATAAGCCTTATACCAAAAGTTTAATAACAGAACAATGGATATTGATGAATGTGGAAGAAGCGAAAGAGGTCTGTTTGAATCGAAGCATTTGGCGTTCCATTGTTTCTGCCTACCCTAATGGGAGACAGGCGTGACAGATATGTATGTATGTATGTATGTATGAATATTACTACTACTACTACTCAACTACTCACTACATAGCTACTCAATGTGAGTAGGTCACATTGAGTAGCTATGTATTTTTAACCGACTTAAAAAAAAGAGGTTCTCAATTTGGTTGTACATTATTTTTGTTTTCTCATAACACTGTCAGTTGTAAGCCGATTTGGATTTTTCTTATCTGAAAGGATATATTTACAACTAGGTCCAATAGAAATGTTATCAAAATCGGTACAGTATTTTTGTTTTTAAATCGAAAAAAACCAGTCTTGCAACAACTGATGTAGGTTTATTTTGTGGAATACAATCTTTATGATGATACTACTAAATGATGCATACTTGCCATATTTAGTATCATCTAAATATGGCAAGTTTGGAGAGTCTGCAAACAACAAAATGGCGAGGTCCAGCAGGAAAAAGAAATGTTGGAAGACAAAGAAAGAGATGGGCTGATGACATAATAAAGACAGCAGGAAAAAACTGAACAAACATCGCTACAGATAAGAAGTGGAAAAAGATGGAGGAGGCTTTTACCCTTGGGGACCACTGAAGTGGATAAAAAGCTATAATAGTAATAAAATATGGCAAGTATGAAACTTGCCTTATTTAGTATGGCCGTTTTATCAAATTCAGTCATTTGAAAATTAAAAGTAATATATTTATTTTGCATTACAAATTGTTTTTCACATTCGACTTTTTAGTGCCCATCGCCATCTGGCGCCTAGAGCAACCACTCCTCTCACTATATATGTATATAGAATAATTAAACTCATAAAGTCCTTACCAAATGTCATTTTGCCACTAATAAAACTGGGGTCCTTCCTTGTATCGGCTATCGCTGCTAACGGTATACCCCAATTGGCTACTGGACCCCAAAAGTGTGTGCTGAAAAATAAATAAATTGCTTTCTAACTAATATTTCAAAAATAATGAATTCTCTTTAAGTATATTTTAAAATATTAATTTATTAAATCAGAATTGGAATTAATTTAATTTTTAATATTACATAGATAATTATAATAAATAAATATATATATATATATATATATATATATATATATATATATATATATATATATATATATATATATATACTTGTAAGTAAATGCTATATACATACATACACAACCATCATGCCTGTCTGCTATTGGGTTAGACAGAAACAATAGAATGCTAAGTGGTTATTATCAAACAGACCTTTTTATCAATCACCAGTTATGGGTAATTTTAATCTTCAGCTTGTCGCCTACTTGCTTGGCATATGTCCGTTTAGGGTGGCACCTACCAATACCTTCATTCATTCATGCTTGATAAACATAATTCTTCATTCATCCACCCTCTCCAAATGTGCAAACTAAATATATTTATTGAACAAATAAAATGTATAAGGCAGCAATCTGTCTACTCCGTAAAGAATGCGGCGTGAACATAAAATACATACTTATTAAATTAATAAGGAAACTATATCCAGACACCTCTTACAAATTTTTAAAACAATTTTATAATTCGACTCACCTCATCAAATAATCTCTAAATTCTTTACTTTTAAGCTGAGTCAATGCATTCCTTACTAACGAACCCATTTTTTGCTGTAAACGATATTTTTAGATATAAATACTGAAATACACCAAAATAATAAAACACACAAAATTCTTTGACTAAAAAAAATTAAAAATAAATTAAGTCTTTAATTAAAATAAAACTACATTTAAGTACATCAAAATGTATGTATGTAAAACTATAATAATGAATGTGAACCACTCTAATTCATACAATAATTATGAATTAATTAGTGAGTTAGGTAAATATTTAATCAACTACCAAGGGTCAAACTCGTCAAGGTTATACTCACGTAATACTGCAAAGCAATTTAATAAATTAATTCCAAAATTATATGAAAGAAACACAAAGTTATTTAATTTTTTATTCAATATTGTAATGGTCCTATATAATTTTCTACCAGCAGTCAGGTGGTTTGTAAATTGCACCGTATATGTAGCTATTTATCACTAGATACACAAGTACATTATTTCAATGACACAATTGTCACTGCCCACTATTGCCAAGCCACAAGTTAACCTCAACGATGACATACAACCAGCTGATAGCTTGACAGCTGACAGCCTGATAGCTGCTATCTTTCTTCATTTTATTTTTTTAGTACGTTTGTTCCGTTGTGGAACAGGCTAAGGTCGGAGACCATGCTGCCTACTATCTATCTTCATTTCATTCTGTCACTTTAATTTTGTGTTTGTTCTATAAGGAGCAGACTAAGGTCAATGGTCACGCCACCTAGTCTTCTCTTCAGTTTTAGTTTAAATATTGCTGTTACTTACACGAAATAGTCTTCAGTTCTATTACTTCAATTCATAAGCATTCTAAAACGCGTGAATGTGAATGTGAATGTGAAAGGGACTCCATTTTCCGCACTTAGCCTCTCATTTGGGCCATTGTGCGTATGAGTCGTGGCTAGTGCAGCCAACCTAGCTCCGTCCAGAAGCGCAGAAGCTTCCTGGGTTCTTCACAGGCCTCACGGAGCGACCTCACCGTTCCGAGGATTTCTAAACGTTGATGGGCCACAGCCTCACATTCCAGGATTACGTGAGCTGCCGTTTCTTCGGCGTTGAAACAGCCTCGATATAGAGGGCTGTCTGTGGCTCCTATTGTGTATAGATGTTTGTTTAATGGACAATGACCCGTTATTGTCCCTATCATTGTTTTGAGGTTTTTTCTGTCTAGATGTAATAAACGTTTTGATAGTCGTTGATTCAACATAGGTACGGCCAATTTTGATTGTCTGCAATCAGTAGCCTGTATCCATCTTTGGTTTTGTATGTCAGAGGATCTTTGACGAATCCACATTCGAAATTGTGAGAATGGAAGAGGAAGGAGTGGATACGGGCCTACCACCCTCGTTCCTGAGCCTTTCCTAGCTAGTTCGTCTGCGGCATCGTTACCATAAGATCCACTGTGCCCTCTTATCCATTGGAGGATAATACGGTTATTGGAAGATATCCTATCCAGTGAATGGTGGCATTCAATTATTAGTTTGTTGTTTGTCTTGTTGTTTCTTAATGTTTTTAGTACTGCTGCGCTGTCGGATAAGAATCTAATGCTATAACCATTTATTCCTAGCTTATGTACAACTGCAGCAGCCTCGGTTATTGCAACACATTCGCATTGGAAAATTGAGCTGTGGTCGCCAAGCGGTATGTGCATGTTTATATTAAGGTCTAAGGAAAAGACTCCAGCTCCTGAACCGTTCTCAGTTTTGGAGCCATCGGTGTATATGCGTAATTCATGTACACCGGATTGGTCCTTTTCCTCTTCTTTTATTTGTACTTGGTATTTTTTGTTAATTCTAAAACGCGTTTGGATCTAGCTGTATTTGTACGGATGTGATTTTAATTAGTAATCAAATTAAATTCCTTTTCTATAAATACTACTAAACAATCTAGTTTCAGCAATAAATATTGATGAAACTAGAATGTAATTTTCTGATGAACGATAACTTAAATTTCATTTGTTTTTCATTTATTTGTCTTCATCTCTTCGTTTAAATAGTCAAAATACCTATTTCTTTCATAAAACAGTAACGTATATTCTATTTCAGAATAATTTTCTAATACCTACAGTAATTACAAGACAAGTAATCACTGTTTTTTTGTAAAAGTTATAACTTTGATTTTAACCGGTATGCAACTAAAGATTTCGGGATAGTTTGCAACATAAACTATTTTAATTTATTAGTCATATATAAACTTTTTTATCAAAACAATAAGAGCCATCTATTTTGTATTGTATACGATTGTCATGACACGCGATGAAACCAAACGTGAAGTAAACCAATAACAATCCATTCCAGCCAAATAAATCCATTCAAATACACAACCGTCGTTCAAAATGTAATTCCAATTACAGAATTAATAACTCCATAACCCAAACATGGGTCTTTTCCGTGTTTTAGTGATAGTTTATATGCTTGTTTACATAACGATTTACTTTGGACTAGTTGGAGCCTTGTTTTATGTTAGAAACATTTATTTAAGAGACTACAAGTATGTAGAGTAAGAGTATATTTTTATTTGCTTTAAACAGACATTTAGCATTCTAAAGGCCATGCGACAGAACTTTTTGGCATCTCTTTAATTGTTTTAAATTGTAGGAATGCAAATCTAATATAGCAACTACTGAGGAGAAGGGATTGTTAGTAATGGGGAGGTTAGTCCCCATCGCTATCAATATAACTTATCAGGTCGACCTCCACGCGGTTCCCCCTGGAAACCATGGTAACTAATTTATCATTGAATTCGTCACGATGGGCTAACTGACCTGTCTCTCCATCCTCACCAATCATCTCTCACTGGTGCTTCGCTAGTATACTATACCAATGGCGCAGGCGGGGTAACCATTCCATTATCATCCATCAAAAAAAAAAAAAATATATATATATATAGCAACTGCTATACGCAAACATAATCAAGTATATAATAATACTACCTTTCACTTGGGACTTCGTCTGCGTGACCAGAATAAAAAGTAGCCTATATTCTTCTCCCTCGCATATAATACATGTGTACTAAATTTCATAGTAATTTCTTTTAATGAATGATAATGGAATGGTAACCTGTCTTCAGTTTTTTTCTTTACAATATGGGGCATTAAAAAAAAACATAAGGCCAGCAAAGCACTAGCGATTCTTCGACAGTTTACTCGTTTGCCTCCCTAATAAAAAAAAAACTTACTTTACGCTATCGATATATGCTGGAGGGGCACCAATGAAAGATGATAGGCGAGGATAAAAAAAAAGGCAGGCCATTTAAGCTATCGTGATAAATTCACTTGGAACTACACACGATGGTTTCCAGGGGGAACCGTAAGGAGTTCGACCTGACAGTACACCCTGTCTTGTTGCCAATGGGGCTAATATTCCCCATTACTATATCTTGCATCCCATATAACATGTACCTATCAAACTTCATAATAATCAGTGAAGCCGTAAAGCACTAAAAGGTAACAAACACACTTTCACATTTACAATATTAGTAAGGTAATCCAAGAGATGTGATAACAAAGTTCGACATTTTAATCATCATCATCAGCCTATAACTGTCCACTGCTGAACATAAACCTCCCCCTTGGGGGGTTATCACAATAGTTGCCACTTGGCTGGTGGATTGGCAATCGCAGTTAGTCTTCAGAGATATTTTAAGAGGGACGCTACTGCCCATTCCTCGCCCTCCCTTAGTCGCCTCTTACGACACCCAAGTGAAAGAAATGGGTGGCCTATTCTATGCCGGGACCATACTACCCATTATTACATAATTATAATATTTACTGATAATGCTCTCACCCCGGATAGCAGAGGGATGTAGGTTCAAATCCCATTGGATCGAGTTGTTCTAAGATATATTTTCACCTTATTTACCATTTAATATTACCTATTCATATTTTAGCATCAACGAATTGCAAACATACGAAGTTGAATAATAAAAGATTATACAGTTTTTTTTATTTTTTTATTGTATTATAAAGGCACTAAAAATGGACGGCAGTAGATTCCAGTGAATTAAATAATTGTAAAATACAAACATTACAATCTCTAATTAAAATAATATATTATTCGCAAACTAGAATTGTTTTACTGTATATTGGAATATAAATGAATAAGAAGAGAATGCTATATAGCATTAATTCCCCCTTTTGTACTAAACATTTTTTTTATAATGTGATCAATACTTAAATAATAAATGAATAAATACGTCTTTCCACCAGTTTGTCGGACTTGGTCAAGGCACCGCAACTTATCGTACTAATAATAATAAACTCTTTATTGAGCACAAAAAAAGATGTATACAAAGAATATTAATACAGTATAAGCAAATGCAAAAGGCGGAAGTTATCGCTAAAAGCAATCTCGGGCAGACAACCTGCCACAAAATAGTACAGAGAGAATGCAGAGGTAGCGCAAGTGAGAGACTGTAAATACAGAAAAAAAAAATTGTGTATTCAATTGAAATATGTGAAAATTTAAAATTGAAGAATATTAATTTATTATTTCTAATAAACATGCCGATCGAGAATGACGTGGAAGCTTTAATAAGGTCAAAAATGATTAAATTTTAAACTTTCGCGTCCTTTACATTTATTTTAAATACACAATCTGTACTTTTCAACGTGAATTGCACGTTGTGGTCACGATAGGACTTGACGTCGACAATAAAGAAGCAGGTATGTAGGTACTATTTACCTGTAAAGGTTTTTTCGTCGCGTTAAGTCCCGATTGTGGATTTAAAATAACTTCCAAATAATCTAATAATGGCATAAATGTATACAAATTACTATCATTCTTTTACAATATTACATAATTGTGATTTTAATAATACAATTCGTTAAAAAAAAAATATTAATTTCTTTAAATCAATACACTAGTAATAATACAAAAAAAAAAATAAAGGGAATAAAGTTAATTTTATGTGATATATGAAGATATAAATAAGATTGTCAATAATAAAGGAAACTGAATAAACCAGATTATGAGTGAATATTACTACAGTAGCTTTATTGCATACTGGAATATTCTACAGTATATTAGAATATACAATAATATATTGAGATTCATCATTAGACTTTAAAATATCAAATTATTTTATTACAAATAATAATCTTATAAAAAAAAACAAAATATTGCTTTCAAATCTGCATACAATTCACTAAATTAGGGAACAGCACAATTTATTATAACTTTACTAAAATTTTCTGTCTTATTCTTATTTATTGCTAGTTTTTGACTTTAGAATACATTATTTTTCATGTAAATCCTTTTTTTTTATTATCTATTATAAAAAAAAATACATAATCGATACAAATGTTTGCAAAAATATCATAATACAGTTATAATAACTAACTAACGCTTACATAATGTAGGCTTGCTCTGGAATATTTTACATTTTAAATTACATAATACATTAACTTCGACCATGTTACCAGTTGACCAAATGAATATTATAAAAAATGCAATATAAAATACGTGTAAATGAGATTCTAAAGTAATTAAGTCTTTTTAATGGACAGACACTTGTACGTTTATTTAAATAGTAATATAAAACTTAATTTTATAGATCCTATAGTCCTATTTAAAGTAGGGAGACGCCAACTCAAGAGACGTTTAGACCAAGAGTCAGTTAATATGTTTCTTTTTTATGCAATACAGAATTGTAATGCATGAGGGGTACCATGAACGTTACAGTGTACCGAGTACGCTATACAAAGTCTATGGTGTATTGTGTAATCCCCTTGGCACTATTTCTATAGAGACAGTTGCCACTTACCATCAAGTGGGCCATCAGTTTGTTTATAATTTTAAGCTACAAAAAAAATAGATAAGAGGCTTTGCTACTGAAATATATTACCTTATTTAGACATCTGCCAATACAAATAAATATATGTTCACGGTAGCAATCACTGATGGGAGTAGTCAGTGGTATTTGTCAATACAACTGTGCAAATACCTGAACAATGTCAGTCTTATAATGGACGGAACTACTTCTAATTGAAAGCGATATGTGTATTTTTATTTGAATAACTACAATGCACTCATGCCTGTAGATAATCAGTTCGTAAATTAATTTGAAATTAAATCGTAAAATTATTTAGACGGTTATTTATTACCTTGTACAGGTAAAAAAAATAATACTAATGGTACAAATTCAAATATAACTTTAAATATATATATATATATATATATATATATATATATATATATATATATATATATATATATATATGTAATTTTATCTAATAGAATTATTAACTAGATGTAAGACACTTAAACCTTTGGAATACAAATACGCGTCATTCAATATAAAAACAACGCTCAAAAATTCAATAAAATATATATATTGCATATACATATATTATAAGTAGTGTTTGTGTTATATGTGTATTTCCTATGTATTATTGTGTATAATTATTTCAATATGTTACTATAACTTGGTTAAGTATGTCATATATTTTTCACCACATCTGCCCTTCATACGCTTTCTGTTTTTATCTAATGGTTAGCTGATAGAGAATATCATATGGCATTAAGCTCACCACTTGTACAAATGTTTTATCTACATCTACACTAATATTATACAGAGGAAAGATTTGTATTTTTGTGTGTATGTTTGTAATGAATAAACACAAAAACTACATTGTCGATTTCAAAAATTCTTTCACCATTAGAAAGCTACATTCATCCTGAGTAACATAGGCTATATTTATTGCTAGAAAAGATTAGGGATCCTTACTAAAACTTTAGTAACGTAACTCAAGTTGTAAAAAAAATACTATAAAACACCTTTCGTCGCGTGCGCTGCGGAAACTATTGGTGATAGAACAAAAGTATGTTCTACAATATTGAAGAAAATATCAATAACTACAAAAAACTTCGCGATACTATATGTCCAACTATTATCGTTATGTCACAATAACCGCTTATCAAAATGTTGTAAAAATGTCCACCCGTTCGAAGCCGGGGTGGGCCGCTAGTTGTGCAATATATATATATATATATATATATATATATATATATATATATATATATATATATATATATATATATATATATATATATATATATATATATATATATATATATATATATAATGACCTTATAATAATCTGCATTTACTTCAACCCAAGTACTAATTTCAATATTTTTAAATAATTTTAAGTTATATATAATTAACATATGCTGTATAGGCAATAATTCGCAAATTAAATTAAAAAAAGAACAAAAAATTCTTTAAATGTTGTGTTATCAAACCCAACCGTCGAGAATATTATAATATAAAGATTAAAAATTGTGATCATTTCCCCCCTTGCATTTATAACTTACATTACGCTTGTATTATCACTAGATAGTGTAACACAAAGTCGATTCCTGTCTGTCTGTCCCTATGTATGCTTAGATCTTTAAAACTAAACAACGGATTTTGATGCGGTTTTTTTTAATAGATAGAGTGATTCAATAGGAACATTTATATGTATAATACTTTCCAGTTCACAAACTAGCAGCCACGACATCTACCTAACTATATTTTTCAAAATATTGTCTTTTATATTAAAAGTAAATATGCTGAGGTGTCTTCCTTATTACGAAATACTGTCGCCTAATGAGCGTTTTTATAATTGACCATACATGACCATAATATTATTGCAATAGTCTCCACTTAAATTATAAAAACACCCAATATTTACTGGAACAAACAGTGCTGGAACAAGCTTTTACATGGAACAAACCTTACCAGAACAAACTATTATTGGGACGATCTTTTACCGGAACAAACTAGTACTGGGACGATCTCTTACGGCAACAAACTATTACTGAGACGATCTCTTACCGGAACAAACTAGTACTGTGACGATCTCTTACCGGAACAAAGTATTACTGGGACGATTTCCTACCGGAACAAACTAGTACTGTGACGATCTCTTGCCGGAACAAACTATTACTGGAACGATTTTTTACCGGGACAAACTCTGTTTACCTAATTTTTAATAACAGGAACAAAACCGCTACAATTATTGCAAAACTGCCCTGTATGCCAGCCGCACCGGCCAACCTGCACTTGAACATGTCTATACGTGTCTCTTTATCAACTATGATGTTCTGGAACTCCGCTTCCACGATCTGCCCGTCGTAATATGTGATGGGATCCTCGAACGGATACTCGTAGCCTTGGAGGCATTCACACTTGTAGCCGCCGGCTTCGAACCCACGACCGAGGATGGGCACGCACTGGGGAATAAGATAAGGATCCTGTTATAGTTAATTTTAAATTTTCGTGTTGTTACACATATTAAAATACACAATCGGGACTTAAAGCGATGTATAATTGGCAGGTAAATAGAATAGTCGGCAATAAAGAAGCAGGTATGTAGGTACTATTTTTTTTAATGGGTGATAATGGAATGGTAATCCCGCCTGCGCTATCGGTATACACTGGCGGGGCACCAGTGAGGGATGATAGGTGACGATGAAAGCAGCAGACCTAGTAGGGTGCTAGCAATGGGTCAGTTAGACCCCATTGCTAATAAGGCAATGTCTGTCTAGTGAATTGCACTCTTAATTTTTATGATTTTATGCTTGTCAGAACCGTGTAGGTAGCCCGGCATAGAATAGGCCACCCCTTCCTTGCCCGTGGGTGATTAAGCAACTAAGATATGGTGAAGGAATGAGCAGCAACATCCCTCTTAAAACATCTCTAAAGGTCTAACTGCGGTTGTCAGGGGGAAAAAGAGATTGTTAGTAATGGGGTCAAATAGCCTCATTACTAGCAATATACCCTGTCAATCATCGTGGTTAATTCTAGTGCAATTCGCAAGGATGGGCTAACTGACCTGCTTTCATCCTCACCTGGTAAGGCACCAGTGAAAGATGACAGATTCACCGGGGTATACCGATAGCGTAGGCGGTGGATTACTATTCCATTATCATTAATTAAAAAAAAAAATGGGAGAGGCTATGCTCAGCAGTGGACAGTTAATGGTTGATACAATAACATACTATTACTTATTTTGGATTTACTATTTAGGATGGAGAAGGACATAGGCCACTTTTCATCCTGGCCAATCATTATGCAGACGAAGTCGCGTGTCAAAACTAGTTGGAAATACTTACATAGGAAGAGCTTCTGTCACATTTGTCTGTGCCCTGAAAAGCGTTGGGCACTTGATTTTTATCCGGACATTGATTGATGTCCAATAACGTTAAAGGCATCGTTACTGCTACGACTCCCCTGGAAAAAAAACCATAAAAATTAAACAAACACCGTTAGCGACAGTTACCGTGGGAATCACAGTGTGTTTCGAGTTGCCCATGACGTTGCTTCATGTATCCGGCCCCATATGGAGTATTGCTGTCAGTTATGGGCGGGAGCACCTAGATACCAGCTTGAACCCTTCGACTCAGTGCAACAACGAGCTATGAGAATTGTCGATGATCCCAGGCTTGCAAGCGGTATCGAACCGCTATCCCCGTCAATGGACGTATTCCAGTCACGCGAACAAAGTCGCGGGTAAAAACTTGTAAATATATAAAACGGAAGAGTTTAAATGCGCTAATCTATATAAATACCAGTCAGATTTGAGAAATTCTTCTAACATTCTTGATGGCTCATTCCTGAAGGAAGGTTATATATATGCTTTTAAATAACACGATACGACTACGGGCAGTCACGGGATACAGCATAAAACATTTTTTTTTACAACACAGGGGGCAAACGAGCATGCAGCTCACTTGATGGTAAGTGACTACCGCCGCCCATGATCACCCACAACACCAGCGGCATTGCAGGTGTGCTGCCGGCCTTTTAAAAAGGAATATACTCTTTTCTTGAAGGTTATGTTGTCGTATCGGTTCGGAAATACTGCTGCTGGAAGTTGATTCCACAGAATGGTTGTGCGTGGAAGAAAGTGCCTTGAAAAACGCACGGTGGAAGACCGCCACTCGTCCAGATGATTGGGATGAAACTTTAGTTTGTGGCGGGTTGTACGGTGAAAATCAGCAGCAGGTATCAATCCGAACAATTCCTCAGATATATACATATAGCAACACATAAAAAAATATAGAGGCATTCAGTAATTAAATTAGTAAAAACAACTTTATAGGCACTTACTTAAATTCCAATTTCACTTTAACATTATCCCATCCGAAGAATGGAGCCGCATATGTGATAACCCATTGTTTCAGGTGTCCCTCGCAGTCGTAGTACGGCCTGGTCCAATGTCCGTGCTTCAGATTAGCCGCCTTGTACGACGTGTGATACCTTTCGTATCGTTTCAAATACGTTCCCGCCTCGCTGTCCCTAATCTTCATCTTGAGGAAGACTTCTTCGAGCCCGTCGAAGTTGGTCGACCAGCGTTGTTTGAGGAATTGGAACCACTGTTTGTTTGTGTATAGCTCTTCTGCAAATTTAATAAGCGAATGTGAAAAGGTAATATTTATATATACAAAAAAGGAAGTTAAGTGACTGATTGACAATCAAAACCACTGAATTTAGAATCTTGAAATTTTGCAGATTGCTTCTGCACCTATATTGTGTAAATGGATAAATTTAAAAATCAAGCCCTATGGGGGTAAAGCAAAACTAAGAAGTATAAAAAAAAGGATTCACTCTTAAAATTAGAGGACAAAAACCTTGAATTAGAAACTGCTGAAGACATTGCATAAAAGTCTAACAAAAAAATATATATCCAGTCGAAATGAGAAACTCTTACCAGTTTTGTTCAGTCTGGCCAAATCCTCCAATTTATATTTCCTCGTATTCAACGTGGTCTTGTATGCAAACGGTGCGAAAAATGTACGGTTGGTGAATTTATTTCTATCCCAGAATGTACCTGTAACAGGGAGCAGTTCAAGGTATATATATATATAAAACCTTGAATATTATATATTAATATTATTACCTATACAGGGCAAATGTTCGCTAGCAGAGCGCTTTTTAAATAAACAATCAGAAACATTATAAATTGTCAAATTGTTTTTGAAAATTACCAGATTTTCAAAATTGCGACGTTATCACACTTCGATAAACTCAAGCTTCATGATCATCATATCAGCCGATAATTGTCCACTGATGAACATAGGCCTCCCTCTATTGGTGGGGTTTGCCACTAGTTGCAACGCTTGACAGACGGGTTGGCAACCACTGTTAGATTTTGGTGATATTTTAAGACTCTGCTGCCCATCCCTCGACTATTTAGTTCCCTTAGACGCGTCTTACGACACCCATAATAATATAGTAATAAGGATAATAGGTGACGATGAAAAAGCCTCCCCCCCCCCCTAGACAAGTGACAAGCGAATTCATCAATGGAATCTTTATAGAAAGGGAGTCCATAAGTTGGAATGAGACATCCGACGTAGCTATCTCATTCTATCTCACGGATTCGCTAGCGATGTCGATTCCATCGTGGAATTTGCTTGCTGTTTCTCTAGAACAGCGATTCCTAATGTGGGTTCCGTAAAAAAGTTACCAGAGTTCCGCGAAATTATTTATACAGTGAAACAATTTCTTCTTAATATTAAAAATTAAAGAAAACTATAAAGTGCTATACTTTTGAAAAGTTTCTAATAAAAGTTTTTGTTCTTACTTAAATTACAGTGGTAATGGCTGGTAAGAAGCCATATAGTATATTTGAAAAAAGAATTATTTGAATTTTTTATACCATTCCTATATCTTTTGACGTAATGTTTAATAGCTATTAACTTTAATATGTAAATAAATATAAAAACACTAGTGGAACTAAGTGATATCATTTTGGAGTACGTCGTCTAACAATGTTTTTGATTTGTTATCGTTTGATATGGGGTTCCATAATATAAAAGGTATTTGGTGGTCCTCCCGTTATCTTAAGTTTAGAAACTCCTGCTCGAGAGAGCCAAATGAGTTAGCTTATCGTAATAAATTCTCCTCCAGGTGGAACCGCGAGAAGGTCGACCTGACAGGGTATATTGCTAGCAATTGAGTCGCTGGTACCCAGTACTAACAAGCCCTTCCCCCTCCCCCTCCTACGACCCTCTTTCTCGATTGTATAGTATTGGAACTGACCTGCAGACCAAATCTTCGAGTCGCCGAGCACAATGGCAAGAGTTTCGCCAATCATTTGATCTTCGGTGAGAGGTTTATCCGCGACGCGAGTGCCGCTGAACACCTCCGTGGGGTCCGACACCTGACCAATACAATAAGGAGGAATAAACTGAGAGAACATAGAAATGCTATAGGCATTTTCTGATTTCAGGCATGGCATCTGGCATTTACAGGTTGACTGGTAAGTCAATAGGATGTGCAGTAATTTTTTTTATACAACTTAGAATGGCATACAAGCTGACGACCCACTTGATGTAAAATGGTAACCGTCGCCTATAGACATGAGCAGTACCGTGGACATAACAGAGTATACTTTTTTCGCGCATGATACCCCCCATGCGTTGCCATTCTTAAGGACTCGGGTGTTATTTCTCTGTACCCAGTAAATTCACGCCATATCCCACCCTTCAAACCGAAACACAGCCATGCAAACACAACTGCTTCACGGTTGAAACACGAATGGGACAGAGGTACCCAAGCAATTGACTTCTGTACAAAGTCTCCCTCTTCAGCTTTATAATATTAGTATAGATGTATAGATATACGTACAAACAATTACGTTAAATAATATAAAAAAAAGACCTACATATAAAAATTAAAATAATTAAATTACCTGTAAAAATGCACTAATAAAATTGGCCAAACGCAGCGCCATTTTGGCCTGGTTTTCCATTTGTTCTTCTTTCCCGTATGCTATGTCTCCGTTTAGGTACAAATCCGAAGGGTTGTATCTGTAAAAATAATTGCGATTCCGTTACATCGTCACAAAACAAAAGCAAGGGGGGAAAGGGATTGTTAGTAATGGAGAGTGAGAATTCCATTGCTAGCAATATACCCAACCAGGTCGGCCTCCTCGCGGTTCTCCCTGGAAACTATCATGGTTAATTCCTGATGAATTCATCATGATGGGCTAACTGGCCTGTTTTCATTCTCATCTATCACCCTTCACTGGCCCCCTCAGCGTATGCGCAGTTAGCGCAGGCGGGGTTATTTTCACCCATAAAAAAAAATAAGAGTATAAAAATTATTTTAGTGAGCTACATAATTACGTAACAAGCCCTAAAAAGGTGTAGGTCCCGGCATAGAGTGGCCACCTCTTCCTTTCCCGTGGGTGTCGTAAGAAGCGACTAAGGAGGGCGAGGGATGGACTGCAGTGTCCTTCTTAAAACATTTCCAAAGGCCTAAATACAGTTGCCAAGCGTGGCAGCTACTGGTAAAACTCCCAAACTATGTGGAAGTCCTATGTTCAACAGTGGACGTCAAATGACTGAGACAATGATGATGATAATCATTACTAGAAGCCTTACTTGGAGCAGTTAGAGGGCTGTACCCCCCGGATGAAGTTGAGCACCTCGTAGACGTTGACCTTCTCCGTGTGCAGCGCGGCGGGCCCGGCCGTGGCGTTCACGTACTCGGCGTGCCGGTCCACGTACAGCGCCCGCAGCCACGGCTCCGCACGTTCCCACTGCACCGGCAACCGCTGCACCCCTGTCGCATACAAGAACACCGTTCAATATGATAACCAAGGCCACTTTCACAAGAGTGAGACTGTACAAAAGTCATTTGCTTGGCCACCTCTGTCCCATTCGTGTTTCTACCGTGAAGCAGTTGTTTGTATGGCTTTGTTTCAGTTTGAAGGGTGAGATATGGCAGTGAATTTACAGGGTACAGAGGAATAACAACAGAGTCCTCAGGAATGGTAACACATGGGGGGTATCATGGGTGAAACAGTATACTCTGTTATCACTTTCCATCAGGTAGGCCGTTCGCTTGTTCGCCATTCTAAATTGCTTAAAAAAATCCATCTTATTTCTTAATATGAAAGTAAAAGTTTATCACATACTTATGAATGTGATACACACATATAATTATGTAAAGTCAACTCACATCCGATCTCGAGGCAGTCGAAGTTGTTGTAGTACTGGTCAGAGGTGGCCCTCTCGATGATCTCGCCGAGGTATGGGCGGCGCACGATGCTGGGCAGCCGGAAGCCGGGTGCACAGCGGCACTGGTAGCCGCCGCGGCGGAAGCCCCACCCATGTAGTGGCTCACACTGATCATACACATTTAATTATATTTTTGTTATTTTTAATGGATGATAATGGAATGGTAACCCCACCTGCGCTAACGGATGATGCTGGCGAAATACCAGTGAGCTACGATAGGTAAGAATGAAAAGGCAGAACAGTTAACCCACCGTGATGAATACACCTGGAATTCAGCACGATGGTTCCCAGGGAGGACCAACTGGAGGTCAAGCTGACAGGGTATATTGCTAGCAATAGGGCTGGTAGTCTGCAATATTAACAATCCCTTTCTCCTCATTATTTATCTATTAATATTTAAATGCGAGAGTTTATAGAGAGGATTGAATATTTGTTACTTTTTCACGCAAAAACTACTGAACGGATTGGAATAAAATTTGATACACGAATAGGTAATATCCTAACATAGCACATAAGATACTGTATATATTCAAGTGAGCAAAGTCGCGGGATACAGCCAATTACTGAATAATTCTTACTAATATTGTAAACTAGCTTTTAGACGTGACTTCGTACGCGTGACCGGGATATGTTCACTGACAGAACACAAGAGCTTTGTTTTTTAATGGGTGATAATGGAATGGTAACCCTGTCTGCGCCATCGACATACGTTGGCGGGGCCCCAGTGAGTTATGACATATAACGATGAAAGAAGGTTAGTTAGCTCATCGTGATGAATTCCACTAGAATTAACCTCAATGGTTTCCAGGGAGAACCACATGGTCAGGTCAACCTCGTCGCGATTTTCCCTGGAAACCATCCCATCCCATTCCATCACCATTAATTCATAGGTGAATTTTTCATGATGGGCTAACAGCTGCTTCATTTTCACTTATCATCCTTCACTGGTGTCCCGACAGTATATACCGATAACCCAGGGGGATAATTTTTCTCCTATAGTATCAGTACACTGTACCATTTCCTCCTAGATAGATAGATAGTCTGTATTGTTTTCTGCAAAAGATTCTGCTATCAAAAGATAAGAAAGAGTAATGACACGGTATTGTCACTAATAGAGTAAATAAGAAATTACTATAAAAATAAAACACATACCTCAGTAGTTTCAATTTTACATCGTGCAGTAGACGCAAATCTGTTTGGTCCCTCATTCCCCTGACTAATTGGACATTGATTTATATCTATTCTATCATAATCCATTTCCATCACAACAGCTGCTGTATACCTGAAAAGAAGTAAGAAAATGTATTGTATTTGTACTGTATTGTAAAACCTTTATTGTACATAATTAATAGGGAATACATCAAAAGATTTAATATACAATGGTGAACCTATCCCATAAAGGGATCTCTTACAGTCAACCTTTGAGAAGCTGAAAGAAAACTGTAGAATGTACAAGGGTAATAACCATACAGCTAAAGATAAACTAAATAATACCCAGTAAAAAATTGAATATATAATACAATAAAAAAGCTATATACATCTACATATATATTATTAACAATGTATTATTAACACACAAATAAATATGAGATATACAGATTTCTTTTAAAAAAGTCTTCTAGTTCATGAACCCAATTCAAATCATTTAATCATTATCTTTCCACTGCTAAATATTGGGCTCCCTCTATTGGGAGGTTTTGACTGTAGTTACCAGGCTTGGCAGGCAGGATAATAATTGCACTTAGGATTTTGATAATGTTTTAAAAGGGACACTGCTGCCCCTGCCTTAACCGTTAAGTCCCCTTAGTCACTTCTTACAACACCCATGGTAAAAGAAAGCGGTGGCCCATTCTATGCCCGGACCACACAGCAATTTAAAGGACCTCGATTGCAATTTTGTTCCCAAATGACAACAAAACTTACGTCCCATTGTAGTAGTAGTACAACCATAGTAGAAGATAATGGGTATTTTAACTCAATATTGTCATTTTTTAAGTCATAATACCCTTTAATTTGAATCTTTAAACAAAAAAAGCATGGAAGCATGTAGTGACAGAATTAGGGTAGAATTCTTAAAAGTTTATAGGTAGCCTAAATATATTTGGACCAGAACTTAACAAACACTACAGCATAGGTGATTGCCTCAATCAGGTCCTGCTTTATGTCGGATGAAGGACACAAAAGACAGGACAGGAGGTGGACACAAAAGACAGGACAGAAGGTATAATAAGACTTGGTCTGTGATTGCTTACATCGTCAAAGGCCACCCAAGAAATAACATCCATTTTACTAAGCTGTACCTGCAAGGGCTATCCTGTGTTTGCAGTCTACTGAGGGATTTCCAGATTGGCTATGTAAGATCAGCTGCTCAGCTGGACGATTAAGGCAGATTTGAAATATGTGCTGTAGTGATACTGATACTTACGTAGGGTATTCAATATGCCTGAATTGTGTGTGGCGAGGGTAAATATCAGCAACAGGAGATACGGCTCCCACCAGCCACTTGTTCAACCTTCCACAATCAAAATATGGACGAGTCCAATTCACTGGCCCTGGACTCTGAAAGAAAATAATAATATTTAACAAAGAAACTTGAACATGTATTCATGAGTGTGTGAACTGACTTTCAAAATCCTAATACAGTCAAATTGCTAACAATACATCCTATCAGATTAATCTCCATATGGTTCCTCCAGAAAATTGACATAGTAAATTTGCAATAAATGTTTCCAGTGTCACCTATTATTCATCACTGGTGCCCTGCCAGCCTATAGAGCCATGATAGAGCAACCAGGGTTACTATCCCATTTTCATCCATTAAAAAAATCTAATAGAGACATAAAACTAATAAAAATATGAAAACTATATACACATTTTATACCAGACTTTTTTTGTAATGTAGTCAATAAATAATAAATAAAATAAATAGTATTTATATTACTTATAATAAATTATATTAATTATTTATAATTAAATACAATATTTTTCCATTACTGTAAAAATAAAGCAATAAATGGGGAAGAATAGAGTGAAAGAAAAATAAATAGAAGAGGTGGGCCATCTTATACATGATGATTTTTTAAAAAATATAGTAGAAGGAAAAATAGAAGGCAAAAGAAGAAGGGGAAAACCGAGGAATAACTACATGGGATAGATAAAAGAAACACAAGGTGTCATGTTGTATAGGGAGGTCAAGGATATGGCCTGGGATAGAACTGGCTAGAAGAAGATGCATGAATTAGTTGCACCGACAAGAGGAAACTCTTAAATGAAAAGAGAGATTTTATAAATACAAACCTCATCATTTCCAGGAGGTCCATGGAATGTAAATGTTTCATTTGTATTATTGGCATATCTGATCTCCACTTGATATGTTGTCTTAGTATCATGCCTTTTATCTACTTTGTCAGGTAACCAAAGATGGTACCACTCATTTGTACGATAGAAATCAGATGTATAATCTTTTGACAAACTTTCTGGATCAAAAGCACCTAAATCCTCCACATACAATGTATTTAAAGTAGAAATTTTCTGAAGATGAACAGGATCATTGAAATCGTCCGCCCTGTAAGCTCTAGGGGCGAATCTTGGCATCGTCTTATTGAAGAATCCTCTATAAGATGACGTGTATGACATATTTGGTGAGAAATAGATAGAACTAGCGTTGATATAATGATTAGAAGATACATCGGCGACAGCGGAAAGAAAGTAATACATCATGCCTGGATCATAGGTGTCATTGATAGCCGGCCGAATAAACCGTGACTGGAGGATATAGCTCCAGAAAAAAGCTCTGTTCATAGCCATATTGTGTAAATGAAGCATTGCGGTGCGATTAGGAAACACGGGATTTATATTGATCTCTTTCACGTCAGGCCGGTGAGATACGGAGTCTTCTGGCAAATACAGATCATCCAAATAAGTGATATAGCAGTTATCAGATGTAACTTTATCCATTTTGCCTCGAATTTCATCAAAAGCGTCTCGTAACTGCCATTCGTACTGACCGGCCACACCCCATAATAAAGCGCATAACGATATCACTAATAAAATACCGTTTACCCTCTCCATTCTGGATAAGAATATTTAATAGTATATGCATACAATTAGCTCTATCAATTATTAATTCATTATGATATTGAAATATTAAAATTTGTATTGGACAAATATTCAGTTGGATTACAAAAAACAATTTGTTTTGACGTTTTCCGTCGTCTCTCGCGTCTTGATATACCATAAACAAGAAATTAATTAAATGTCACCGGTATAAGGCTAAGTTACAAAACTATGCAGTCAATGCACTTTTACTGTAAAAATAAATTATTACAAGTAAAACAATAAAGTGCCTAAAAGTTTACAGAGATTATCTTTATTGTGTACGTGATACAAGAAAGAAGTAACAACTTCAATTCTTTTTCTACGTTTCTCGCATCTTACTCTGTAAAATAAAGAATACTGCTCTGCACTTTCATTAAAAAAAAAACAAAATCTTTGGATAACCTCAATAATTAAACTTACCTAACTAAAAATAAATAATCACTAATAAAATATTAATTTTAAGACAACTAATTTATTATAAAAATATACAATGGCTGGAACACTATTCCGTGAGTGAACCAATTTGTAGTGATTTTATCCCCACATAAGAAAAATACATAATACCCAATTACTTTTTTTCATTTCAGGTTCCTTTTTCAATAATACTTTATCATTTTATAAAATAAACACTACAACTGTGGTAAGTACTAACATATTTTAGATAATTTTATTTAAAAATTACCTATTTATCCATATCCTCCAATGAAAAAGATGTATCAACTTGTATCTATTTAGTAGAAATAAAAAAAAAATGTTTAATTTTATCAGTGACTTAATATTTCAAAACTATAATTCTCTCTAGAAACTGAATAAATGAGTAAAACTTTGTAAATTAAAAATTCTGAAATCTAATACATATTTCTTATTCAGACATATATTATTTTACAGAGAAATTTACATACAGCCACAGTATTCTATGCAGCTAGAAAAGGTACCAGAGCTAAGGCTAAAGCAAAAAAAGTTAAAGTGGAAGTCACAAAAGTTGGCTTCATACCCCATAATCAAAGAGGAAAAGATAGGTAAGTTTTATTATTTTACTTTTTAATTTTTACTCAATTGTATACTATATAACTTTAAAAACCACTGGCTGATGATACTAATATTACTAATGTAATACTTCTATGTTTTATTTACTATCATTCTTCACACCAAACGTCTTATAGGGTAGGCAGAGAGAATGGAGTGCCAAGACCTTTCAAATTTCATGCATGCATGCATGAAATTTGAAAGTTTAAATTGAACTTCTCAATTCTTAACTTCGCCTATCAATGACTGGCAGATTGATAGCTGAATATCAGATATAAATTAAAATTAAATTCAATTTCAGATCAGTAAAGGTAAATATAAACAAACATTTGGATGACACTTATAAAGCAGAAGCAAAAGATGATGTTTACCCAATGAAATACTACCGATGGGTGGTGTACACTGCTGAGGAAGCAGTGCGAGCGCACCAAGAGACCCACCACCCCACTATGTATAATGTACCAGATGCACTGGTATATGCTCGGGTCGAACTCAATATGGAGGCTGTTAAAAAAGTTTGTATTGTTTTATTTTAATCTATTAAAATGATTCAAATGTGACCCTAACACTATAAAAGGGTTCATATATCACAGGGTTTCCCCTGGAAGCTGTCTTGAATTTATCTACTGACTTGCTTTCATTGTCATCTATCATTGGTACCTCACCAGATATACTGATAGCGCAGGTGGGGTCACCATTCCATTTTCATCCATTAAAATAAGTTATATTGTTCTGTTATATATTAGGTAGGTATTAAGAAACAATGTGTATATTAATACTATCTCTCAATCTAGTTCCATTTCAATCACAATCAAACTTACCAGAATGAGAATGGTAATATATAGTAATGTATAATACCCAATCAATATGACCCAGGTACATGTATCAAATCTGGACCCAACTAATATATTTCTATTTCATAATATCACAGATAATAACACTATTTTTATGAAGTTACTAGCTGACTCGGTAAACGTTGTTTTACCATATACATTATTTCTAAAATTGTACATGAAAATATATTGTACTACAATTACTATATTCACTTGTCATCTTGCAACCCTATTGCGGCATATAAAAATTGCGATTAAACAACAGGAGTTAATCCTATAAGAGTGAAAATTTGAATTTGTATGTATATTTCAATGCTAAATCATAATAAAAATAAAAAAAATAATATTAAGGGGTAAATTACCCTTATCATTGAGGGGTACGAAAAATAGATGTTGGCCGATTCTCAGACCTACCCGATATGTACACAAAATGTAATAAAAATTGGTAAACCCATTTCGGAGGAGTTTGGTAATAAACACAGCTACAGGAGAATTTTATATATTAGATTATTTATTCTTATTTTATATAAATGCTGTCTCACGTTTGGCGGCCTCACTGAAAATCAGCTCGGTGGTATTGTCAAATACTACAGCATATGCTGAGAGGGACTCCCATTCAATATTCACTGAAGCATGTATAATGTCAAATGATTAATAATAATAATAATTTATATTTTCAGACTACAATTTGGTACATTTTGTTAGTAACAATTTCCTTATAAACTATTTTAGTAAAAAAGTAAATATTCAACTAAATCAATTCAATCAAATGTGATTCGGCTGATTAGATCAGCGTATGAATGAAATTATATGGCGTAAAAAGTAAGAGGCGAGAAATATAAATTGCCTAATTATAGGCGAGTTATATTTCTCGCCTATTACTTTTAGAATGCTGTTTGTGCTTGTCCTAACTCTGTGTAGCAGTGATGCAGTTCTCTTTCTCCTTATAGTGTAGTAATCATCTAATAAATGATCTTCTATTTTATATTCCTATAAATAAAATATAAAATGCTGAATAAATATTTTTTTTTATTCTAATTGTTATATAAGATACTTTCACAAAGGAAGAAGGTAACAGATATATTGTTTTGCAGAATCGGTACATAGATAGTTTCACTCGCCTCTGCCTACTGCCACACGTATTTCCGCGCGATGAAGAACGCACCATACTCGCTTTCTGCAAAGGCCCCGATTTGATAGACAGTGCGAGGGCAGCTGGAGCCACCACTGTTGGTGGGCCTGAACTCGTGAAAAAGATTCAGGTACCATTATTATTAGTGATATAGCTAAATTTTGTTAGCGTTAGCTAGCAACACCTCTATAAACTTGCAACACCATAGACAAAAGATCTTAAGTCACAGTACCCTTAAATTTAGAAATTTGAAATAAGAACATAGCATACAGTGCACCTATCTGTGGCGCCACTTTGTAGCTTCAATAAGTGTGTTTAGATTAGGTACCGAGAATTTTAGTGCCTAAATAACATTAGATAAGTAAATACAGTAGTACTGGGACACACATTCTTCTATCTTTAATGTACGCAAACCATCTGTTTATGGTTTACAACATATATCATCATATCAGCTTTTATCTGTCCACTGCTGGACATATGCCTCCTCCTATTGGAGGGTTTTTCCAATAGTTGTCACGTTTGATAGTTTGGCAACTGCAATTATGGCCTTGGATGATGTTATAAGTGGAACACTGCTGCCCATCCCTTGAGCATTAATTTCCTTAATATAAAAAGAAAATCTTCACGCCATTTACAATATGCACTATAATTTTTTTCTCTGTTAACTTGTTAATTTTTTATTTCCCCAGGATGGTACAATCAAACTATTTGAATATGATTATATCATTGCTCATCCAAATATAATCACTGAGCTGGTACCAATAAGAGGATTGATGAAACGACGTTTCCCCAACGTGCACTTTGGCACTTTAGATCCCAATCTAGCAAGTTTAGTCAAGAAATATGCAGCCGGTATCCAGTACCGTGTATTACAGGATGAGAACCAAAAAAATTATGGATCTGTTGAAGTGCCAGTTGGACGGGTAAGACTATAAGAGTAAGAGTTTTTGATTGATGACTATCTGATCGGGCAAATTTTGTTTTGCCCTATATCGTTATCTAATTTGGAGCAAAAAGCTTATAAATGTATATAAAATTTCATTAAATTTGATTTGGAATTGTAAATGGTGAATACGGTAGATGAGCTTAAAGTTAGTGGCCAATCATGATGGCCATGATAGTTTTTAGGGCCTCCTCTACCTGATTCTATATTGGGAGAGAATCTCTCATAGTGTTTTGGTTTGGAAATATTTTACAAAAATAATCAGATTTCTTTTTTTATAATTTCTGTCTATTGCCAGAACATGGGCCTCCCCCATAAGGGAGTTTTACCTTTAAGTTTTTATAATGTACTTTTTTTACAGTTAAATATGGATTCAAAACTGGTAGCTGAAAATATTGAAGTCCTATTAAAAGACCTCCAGTCTGCACGACCAAAGAGGGATGGACCTTTCATTACAAGGTATTTTTATAAGGATCATTTGACAGATGCTTTTAAAATTTACCATTCACCAGCGCGATATCATACAATTTAACGATCAATATAAAATCACCACAAGCTTATTTATATTTCTAATATAACCAAAGATAAAGAGTATTTATTATTAAAAAAATGTTGAGAAATCTTTAAATTTTACTCTATGGTAATGTCAGTGCATGCTATGAAGAATACTGCTTGTATTGTATTTTTTTCTTATTGTTAATATCTGAATTTAATAGCTGTAAGAGTTACTAACCATTTATTGAAGTCTATAATTGATTAGTATAATTTTGTTTAATTCTACTACCATTAATTAATATATTCTAAGTTGCATAAAAAAATTCTGTAAAATAGTTTTTTGTACCTGTATTAGACACTCAAAATTTTTTTTGTCTTTTATCTCTAGATGTTTCATAGTGAGTCCACCATCTCGAGAAACACTCAAGATTGATCCATTTGTATATGTAGAACGCACACTTACTAAGGAAGTTCAAGAAGACAGTGATGACGAAGAAGCTGTCGCCGCTACTGGTTAAAAATAATATTGTTATTTTACTTTGTAGTATATATTATGCATAAATTTAATATACATAATATTAAAACTGATGACTTTTTTTCATTTTATACTCTATGCTTCACTGATTTTTTTGCTTGTTCATCATATGATATTATGGAAACTATCAATATCTACATTTTATAACTTTTTATGTTATACGAAAAAAGTAAAAGCAAGAAAATTTTGTCTCAATGTGTAATTATACTTCGTCTTTGTCTTCTGTAATATTTTTTTTTCTGTAATACATCTAATGTAACTGCAGATTGTATACGATACTAGATGTATCCAGCGGCTTTTCCCGCCTAAGTCAGTAACAACATAAAGTAGGTATGTATTTGAAGTGCTAAGTTAGCATATACCTCATATACTAAATTTAATTCAAATCGGTTCATCGTTTTGCATGAAAGAGTATTGCATCCATTCATCCTTAATTCGCTTTTAGAATATTAATAATATGTAATCGAATGATAAGTATATAAATTCTTAATTGACTAAAATAGATAAATTTTCCTTAAACTTTCCGTTACTTTTAGCTTCTATGCATGAAGTCTAAATGAGAAAGAAGACAAAAGAAAAAATAATAGGTAATTTAAAAATTAGCTTTAATTTTATTTTTGCAGTGCAATATTAGTTCATGAAAATAATTTTTATTTAAAAATTATGTACCTAGGCAAAACGAGCTAATATTTCTATCAAATTAATCACATATCTGCGTGTATCCGAACGTCCAAAGAGGGCGTAAAACAATCCGCCATTTTGTCTCTATGACAATTACGGAATTTATGATTTTATTAATATAAAACCCGAATAAATCGGCCAAATCTCAATACAAAAGTGATATTTCAAAAGCTGTGCAGTATTTTGAGATCCTGTGATATTTGTGTCTCCAACTATTTTGTTTACATACATCTTGACGTTTTTAGTTGATCGAATTTGACGTCGATTACAGAGTTCGTAGAATATCAAAATGGGCACAAGAGAGGACGAATATGATTATTTGTTCAAAGGTAAATAAATTTGTTATGTATTTTCTAGCAATTTCACCACGTACATTCGAATATTTAGTTCCAAATGTATTATTTAAACAAAACTTATTGTTACATTAAAGAGTGACGTAAAAAATATATGACCGATATTATTTTCTCCTTTGTTTTAGTGTTAGTGTTTACAAGAAATTATTTTCTCTTCTATAAAAGTGTTAGCTCCTAGTTATAGGCTTAATTTAAGCGAAGTTTCGATGTTTGTTTCATGATCAGCTGATTCAGTTTTGTCTATCGATTTCGCGTAATTTCTTGATTCGTGAGTCACCTGCGATTGATCAGCATGATCTAATCGTCTAAACGTACAATATTGAAGTGAAAATTTCCGTTTTTCTAGACATTTTGATTTGTGTATGTGGAAATTTTGTTTATTAAACTGTCATTCTTTGTTTCAGTTGTCTTAATCGGAGATTCTGGGGTGGGAAAAAGCAGTCTCCTCTCACGGTTCACTAGAAACGAATTCAACTTAGAGTCAAAATCCACAATAGGTGTGGAATTTGCAACAAGAAGTATAGAGGTAACACTTTGTTCATTGTTTCACACATTGTGATTGCATTTATTTACTTATTCCACTTTCTCATTGTTTCCATGAACATTCTCATTTCTTTATACAGTGACAAAGTTAAACATTGAATATTATTAAATAATCTTTTAAAAAGAAATATTTCCATTTTTTCTTAATGTTAACAAAGTTAATATTGAAGTAAAAATATGTGGGTGAATTGCAATATGCTCTTCTGTAATTGTGTAATGAAATTTTTAGTAACATACATATGCCTTTCACTAAATATAATAAAAAATAATATGTTAACAAACTTACAATATTACTGTTTTTAATACAATAGTGTAAATATAACAATGCTATTGTTTTCTTTTTATTATTATTAATACTTATAAAATTGAACTAGTTTGTTTGTGTATTTGAAGTATTTATTTTCGAACCTTGTGAAATAGAACTCTGTTAGACTGTTTTTCTTTTCTGGTTGTTAAGTTTAACTAAAAGAAATCCTTCCAACAAATAAGAACATTTCTTTATTTGATATGAAATGGCAGATCGACTAAACTCCCATCTGATAGAAAGGGCTAACCATTGTCTATAAACATTAACACCACAAAAAAGATTAACATTCAAAAAGTATTTCTGAGCTGATTAAGTTTATTATTCATTGATTTAGATAGATAGATTTCTCTTTATAGTTTTCTCCAAAAGATTATAGTAGTAAACTTACAACAAACAATTACAAGAAATGTTCACACTGAGAAAACTGATTTATTCTGATATCTTTAGTTTAAAAATCATAAATATTTCAGTGTATATGCCTAGTAACCGCACCAAACAACTGTACAAGTGTTGTAATAATAACTACTATTTTCCCTAAATATTTATAAAATACTGAACATAGTGATGCAAACTTTAAGGATAACTCCTTTATAATGAATTGATTTTACCTGATCTAATTTAAATTGCGTTAAGGTTACATTACATTACATTGTAATTGATAAATTTAATTATAGTAATAAATTTACTTGAATAAAAAAATATTCTTATTCCAATAAAGGATTTGCTGGTGGAATACATTAATTATTATAATGATGGATATTTATTTATTAATTCTTAACTTGTGTTCTTTTTTTCAATTGATGTATAAATGTAATCTTGAGTTGTCATAGTAATAAAACCTCAATAAGAATAAATAAAAGAATGAACCAAGTTTGCAATTACATTATTTTTTTCTAATTCCATTGAGATTTGTTTGGGTTTATGTGAGTAGTTTTAAATTTACATGAAATCTTGAAGTTTTTTAAAAAGATCTAACTCAATTAAAAATTCTTTTGATAGTATGAAAGAGTTCAACAGTTCAACAGTAGACAATGAATTTTTTTATACAACTTAGAATGGCAAACAAGCTGACGGCCCACCTGATGGAAAGTGGTAACCGTCGCCTATAGACATGAGCAGTACCATGGACATAACAGAGTATACTGTCTCGCCCATGACCACCTCCCCATGCGTTGCCATTCCTGAGGACTCAGGTGTTATTCCTCTGTACGCAGTAAATTCACGCCATATGAATACCTGGTAGGATGAGGATGTTTCTTTAATTGCATCAGTAGTCGATAGTTATTCCTTTGTGCTTATTTTTATTAAATGTATACCAAGCTAATTTAATTATCAATGGGAGCGTGCTCATATCACTCGTCAATTAAGGACAATTGCTATTATCAAGTGTCAATTATTTGGTTATTGTGTATTTGTAGATTGATCGTTGTTTATAAAGAGTACTGATGTTGGAATTAGAATTGTATTGAAACGGCTGCCATGAATAGATTTATAAAGGTCCAATTGACTTCAAAAAGAGGGATTTTTTTTTATGTGTATGTTACTTCATAACTCCGTCTGTTATAAACTGAATTAGATTTTTCATTATGTAAAGATATACTTACCTACTTAAACTAATGACTAAGTCGTGCTGCTCTCGTATTTATTCTGGCAAGATTGAAATCAGATATTGTGGAACAAAGCTCTAGGCATGTGATATGTATGGGAGAATGTTAAATGACGTCAACACTGGGTCGTGTCAGTCATACATACATACGTGTAAGGCTGCGTCGGCGAGTTTACAAATTGAAAAAAGTCCACGTCGCACTCAACGTGGTGATCTTATCTCATTGTTAGAATCGTCATTATCACTGGTATTACTGTTATATATATATATATATATATATATATATATATATATATATATATAATATTATATTATAAATATTATATATATATATATATATATATATATATATATATATATAATATTATATTATAAATATTAAAGTGAGTTTGTTTGTTACCTTTTGGCATTTTAACGGCTGAATCAATCGTTATGAAATTTAAATTGGAGAAAGACATAGGCTACATTTTATCCCGGATAATGAACACGTGCAGTCGTGTTCATGCGGATTAAGTCGCGGATAAAACCTAAAAGCTTTGTAGGAATAAATAGGGTGGACTGTTGCGCACAAAAGATTACATCACGAAGTACAAGTATTAAAAACATCAGCGGACTTGTTTATGGTTATTTCACGCATATGTCCCACTTGCATAATTAGCAAAAATCCTTTTAAATTTTTTATGAAATGGATTTTAGTGCAAGTCATCTTTTACGGAACTAGGTGTTATCATGTGGAAGTCCATTTTGTCATTGGTTATTGAATTACAATTAATTTGTTTAATTCCGCTACCATTAGTATGTGTGTGGCTGCCAATACTCGAAGATTAACCACCATAATAGTGGTAGTAATAGCTACCAGAAGTTCCAGTCTTGCATATTAGCCATCGATCTCCGACTGCCATTTTATTCACGCACTTTTTGCGACACGTTTCACCTCTAAACGAGACATCTTTATACAAATTTCTAGATCGCTGTTCGGAGCTTAGTTTATTAACTGTTTACAGTTTAAATACCGAAGGTTGTGGAACATCTGGTGGTACTAGTGGTGATCAATCTTTGAATGTTGGCAGTCACGCTCATACTCAATAGTGGTGGAATTAAATCAAAAAGGCAATAAAATTATTTTTTATGCAACTTAGAATGGCACACAAGCCGACGGCCCACCTGATGGAAAGTGGTAACCGCCGCCTGTAGGTTTGAGCTGTACCATGGACATAACAGAGTATACTGTTTCGCCCATGATACCCCCCATGCGTTGCTATTCCTGAGGAACTTAGGTGTTACTCCTCTGTACCCTGTAAAATCCACTGCCATATCCCATCCCTCAAACCGAAATAGCCACGCAAACAATTGCTTCACTGTAGAAACACGAATGGAACAGAGGTACCTAAGCAAACGACTTTTGTACAGTCTCCCTCTGATGTAATAAAATAATCTGTAATGCATGCGCAACGACAGGATTACGTCTACCAAGTAGTGAAACTATGTCACGTCTGCAAAACAAGATGGTAACAAGATATACATCTTGAAATAGCTTTAGAGTTCACGAGAGGCAAAATTTGTACAGTCGTTTGTTTGTGCACATCTGTCCCATTCGTGTTTCTACCGTGAAGCAGTTGTGTTTGCATGGCTGTGTTTCGGTTTGAAGGGTGGGATATGGCACTGAATTTACAGGGTACAGAGGAATGACACCTGAGTTCTTAAGAATGGCAACGTATGGGGATATTATGAGCGAAACAGCTACTCTGTTATGTCCATGGTTACTGTTCATGTCTATAGGTGACGGTTACTACTTTCCATCAGGTGGGCCGTCAGCTTTTTTGGCATTCTAAGTTTCATAAAAAAAAATTTTTTTTGCCCGATGAAAGTGGTAAGATACCAAAGTAGGCTACGGTTAACTGAGGCAACCAGGGTGCAATTGTATTATACTTTCCCTTATCTTCCATTTAAACCATTTTTTCATTACAAAGCGTTATACCTACAGAATTGCACAGTGGTATTTTAAACTTATTTTTTAAATAATTCATAGCACTATTGCGTATTTACCATGAAGATTTATGTCGTTTATTATTCAATTTGGTATTCAGTACGTAACACTGAACCCACTGTATGGATTGTATGTTTCTATTTTAAACGTGCATCCTATGACCTCGAAATATTCCGCGTTGTAAGTTAACCCACATAACCTGCTTAGACTCATTTGGTTTAAATTTGGCTACTTATTCGGTATGCTAATAGTTATTCATAATCTAATACAAATTTTAAGGTTAAACAAACCGTTACTTACCGATACAAGTGTCACAGTAGTTTTAGAATAGAATAGATAATTTTATTTGCTTTTAATTAGGCGATACAAAGTTCTCTAAATAATCTATACTTATAATAAATCTGTAGAGAGGTCAATTCTGTACATGAAATATATTTCCAAAATAACTATCAGGGGGTGATTAGTGATCGGTACTGATGCCAAAAATGCAATCAGTAAAATTTTTGTCTGTCTGTCTGTATGTTCGTTATAGAAACAAAAACTACTCGACGGATTTTAACGAAACTTGGTACAATTATTCTTCATACTGCTGGGCAGGTTATAGTATACTTTTCGTCACGCTACAATCAATAGGAGCAGAGCAGTGAAGGGAAATGTTGGGAAAACGGGAGAAGTTACTCCATTTTTAAGCTTCCGTCGCGTGTGCAGCCTTAATGGCCACTTTTTAAAATATAAAAATGTCCACCCGTGCGAAGCCGAGACGGGCCGCTAGTTATAATAATATATTTCGTTTAAACAGAACGGTCACAATTAAACTCTTTTAATTCAAGTTATTTAATGTTTGTTAAACTAGGTAAATAATATTATTGAAATTTTATAGTCCATTTTTTGCGTATTTAAGTGACGCTTACCGCATTTTTAAACAGGTTTCTGAATAGAGTGTAAATTATTAAAATTATAAACGAGATTAATATAGGGTCAGCGTATTATATTGTAAGAAAAAAACATAGATATATACTTTTTATTGTTTCCTCCAAAAGATTATAGTATCTTAGGAAAATCATCATTACCATATCAACCTTTAACTGTCCACTGCTGAACATAAGCCTTCCCCTTGGGGCTTTTGCCAGTAGTTGCCACTCTTGGCAGGTAGATTGGCAGCCGCAGTCAGGCTTTAGAGATGTTTTAAGAGGGACGCTGCTGCCTATCCCTCGCCGTCCCTTAGTCGACTTTTACAATATCCACGGGAAAGGAAGGGTTAGCCTATTCTATGCCGGGACCATACGGCTAGACTTATAAGTATAAAATACAAACAATTACAAGAAATTATCGATAGCACAGATGGGATTACCATATTCCATTGTCACTTATAAAAAATAAACCTTTATCATTTTTCTTAAATATCTTCCAAGTGTCTAGTTTTTTTTTTTAATGAGTAATGAAATGGTAACGCCGCCTGCGCTAACGGTGTACACTGTCGGGCCACCAGTGAGGAATGATAGATAAACATGTAAGCATGTATCAATCGCAATGGTTTTCAGTGGAAACCGCGTGGAGGTCGACCTGACAGGGCCTGTTAGCAATGGGAGCATTAGTCCCCATTACTAACAGTCCCTTTCCCCTTGACAGTGTCCAGTTACAAATTTTATTATATTAGTAATGTTACTAATTTCTATATTGCAGGTGGACGGTAAAACCATAAAAGCTCAGATATGGGACACGGCGGGCCAGGAGCGGTACCGCGCGATCACGTCGGCGTACTACCGCGGCGCGGTGGGCGCGCTGCTCGTGTACGACATAGCGAAGCACCTCTCGTACGAGAACGTGGAGCGGTGGCTGCGCGAGCTGCGCGACCACGCCGACCAGAACATACTCATCATGTTGGTCGGCAACAAAAGCGATCTTAGGCATCTCAGGTGAGCTGGCTCAGTCGACCCTGTCAAAGTGGACTTCGTTAACTCCCAGCATAGAATGGGCTAGCTCTTCCTTTTCTGCGGGTGTCGTAAGAGACGACTAAGGGAAAGTGGGTGGATGGACAGCAATGTCCCCAAAACTCGTCGCCAAAACCTAACTACGGTTGCCAACCCGCCTGCAAGGCGTGGCAACTAATGGGAACCCCCGATGATGAAACCATGTTCAGCAGTGGACAGTTAATGTCTGATATGATGATGTATATGTAAATCAACAAATGTTTCATCAATTTAACAACTGCTACGTTTAATCAGTATCTAATAACTAGTAGATTTATATAATTATGCAGTATTCCATTTGCAAATCACGACATTTGAAATCCTTAATATATTTAATTCGATTTAGCATCCATTTTTTATTAATGTAAAATTAATAAAGTTTTTGTGTTCTTATAAATAATAATAATAATAATAATTGCCTTTTATTATTAATTCGATATTATTCATAAATCTATACATTTTTTTTTACAGGTCTATCCCAACAGAAGAGGCAAAAGCTTTCGCGGAAAGGAATGGTCTTAGTTTTATTGAAACATCCGCTCTCGACTCTACTAATGTGGAACCCGCATTCCAGAATATTCTGACTGGTAAGTGACGCATTGTATCGTTCGCCGCAATTGCTAATCTGTTTATAACAGAACGCTCAGTTTTCACAGAAACCTAATATATTTACTAGGCGAGGGGGAAGGGATTGTTAGTAATGGAGGTCTAAGAGCCCCATTGCGATTGTTAATATTACAGTCTACCAGTCCCTTTGTTAGTAATACACTGATTCAGGTCGACCTCCACGTGTATTCCCCACAAGAAGCTAACTTACCTGCCTTTTCATTCTCACCTGTCATCCCTAACTGGTGCATATTAAACTTCATAAAAAAGAGCCCCATTCCTAGCAATATACCTTGTCAGATCGACCTTCACGCCGGTTCCACATGGAATCCATCGTGGTTCAGTTTTGGATAATTCATCATGATGACCCAACAGTCCTGTAATCATCTTCACCTCACTTAATCATTATCATCGTTCACCGGGGTTTTGTCAGTATATACCGATAGTGCAGGCACAGTAAGCATTCCATTATGACTCAGAAAAAAAAAATTACCACCAAATTATAGTGGTGTAAAAAAACTTTTATTTTTGTCATATAAATATTTTAACATGAAACGGTGCCCCGTGTAGGTGCAAACTGAAAATCTGCGCTGAACGAACATCAGTCCAGCAAAAGCTGAGTTTGTATCTATTGCCAGGCATACGGATACTGCACAATGTATTTATTGAATGTAAATATATGTACATTATAATTTCTGTATGTTTGTAAAGAATAGCAATAAATTTATTATTTATTTATTTATTTATCATAAAAATGAGTCTTTTCAATCAAAAGGCCTCATTAAATCTATTAAACAATATAGCCAGTTATTAAATCACTCTTTAAAATCTATTGACAATAATAAAATTTTATAGATAAGGATTCGTTATCTGGTTTTACTTATATGAGTTAGAAACAAATAAAATATATCTCTTAATTTTTTACTATTATCATTTAAAAATAAAATTCTATGTACCAAATTTTATTTAAAAAATATTTTACCGGTTACCCGGTGAGCGAAACATTACTTCACGCCGGATCGACAATTAATTATGGAATGGGCTCCCTGCCGAGGTTTTCCCAAGAGACTACAGCATGGGGTTCTTCAAAAGGGGGGTAAAGAGGTTCCTTCAGGGTCAGCAATGCGCTCGTCATACCTCTGGCATTGCAGGTGTTCATAAGCTACGGTTATCACTTACCATCAGGTAGGCCGTATGCTTGTTTGGTATAAAAAAAAGAGTTATAAACATCCACATGTTATGCTATAACTGATACGGTAACTGTTTGCCATCAGACAGACTTTATAAGTATGATAGTTCTTTTAATGGATGAAAATGGAATGATAACCCCGACTGCGCTATCGGTATACACTGGCGGGACACCAGTGAGGGATGATAGATGATGAAACAGGACAGTTAGCCTATCGTGATGAATTCATCACTACAGAATAAGTCAATCACGATGGTTTCCAGGGGGAACCGCGTGGAGGCCGACATGATAGGGTACATTACTAGCAATGGTATTGCTTATCTCAATTTCTAACAATCCCTTTTCTCCCTACTAGTGTAGTAGTGTAAAAAATTAAATATATTTACACTACTGTATTTCACTTGAATTGTTTATTTTATATTTTTGGTGCAATAAAGAGTTAAATAAATAAATAGATAAATAAATATCATAAATCATGAGAACAGTTTGTTAATATCGAATTATTTTGTACCACTATGTTTATTTCGTTAAGGAAAATCTATTTTTTTGGTTACGATAATGTCGTTAACCCTCCATCACACAGATTTCTTATTATTCACCATTCATTGCCCTTAAATTAGGCACCCCATTACAGAACTAAGTTCAAGGCAGGCCGTCGACTCGACGCGACACACCTACTTGGCAATATGTCCGTTGTTTATCTATTCTGATGTTTTTTAGGCCTATCCTATATTTAATACATTTAAATTCGATAATATTTTAAGATTGTGTTTTTTAAAAAAAACAGAACCGACTTCAGTTGTGACAAATCCAGTAATTTTGATTTCAAATTTATTTGTTCGATTTTTTTTTGTGTGGATTAATCTATAAGTATAATACTTTCAGATAAAAAAAGTTTTTTCAAATCGGTTTACAACTATTTAAAATGGCAAATAAGCTGACAGAAAGTGATAACCGTCGCCTATAGACATGAGCAGTATGAGCAGTGTTTCGCCCATGATATCCCCCATGCGTTGCCATTCCTAAGGACTCGGGTGTTATTCCTCTGTAGCCAGTAAATTCACGCCATATCCCAACCTTCAAACCGAAACACAGCTGCTTTGTCTGGGATTAAAAACAATCCTAATAAAACTTTTTGTTTTCGTACTTTTAATAATTATCAGCTTAAAAATAATACCGTCAACACTGCCAGCATTTGCGGAATTTCTTACGAAACTGTATACATAATGAGCGGTCGTGGGCGGACTGTTTACTATGCGAGAACTAGTTTTGGCCAACTTTTTTTACGTTTTATGTTGACCAATTTATTTCAGTTTACTCCGTACATGTTATTCTATTTTGTTATTTCTTTTTTTTTTTATTAATTTTCTCGATGAAAATAATGGAATATTTATTTGTTTATCTATCTATTGTCACGCCAAGTTCTTTGCGTTTAGGCTGGGCAGAGAGCAAGGCCGTTTGTCCATACATTTATAACGTTTGGTTATTATTTGCGTTACTTACAGCACACAAATAACAATATAAACATACACATAACTGTATTATGTGTATGTTTGTATTGTTATTTGTACATACACAGTAAAAAGAGATAAAAGCATGAAACAAAAAAAAAAACAACACAAAAAAGAAATATATATATAATATATATAAAACAACAATTTCCTTCTTTCAAGCGTGTGGCTTAGTAACACAAAATGGTCACAACTCAGTTTATTGCTTTGCCCTCAAAAGAGCAAAACACTGGTTTTCTGACTGACTAGGTATTTATTTTATTGTTAGCTGCTGTAATGTCTATGTATGTTACTAAATATTTTTTTCTTTTATTAGTTTTTATTAAAGATACGTGTATGAGCATTATAAAAACAAGGTATCGTCGTGTTCCCCCACAGAGATCTACAGGATCGTGTCGCAGAAGCAGATGCGCGACCCGCCCGAGGGCGACGTGATCCGGCCCGACGCGGAGGCGGCGGACGCGCGGCCCTCGCAGGCCGACAGCGTGCGCAAGCAGTGCTGCCAGTAGCCGCCACACACACCTCACACTGGTCAGTGAACACTCTCTTTGTACACCTCACACTGGTCAGGGAACACTCTCTTTGTACACCTCACACTGGTCAGGGAACACTCTCTTTGTACACCTCACACTGGTCAGGGAACACTCTCTTTGTACACCTCACACTGGTCAGGGAACACTCTTTTTGTACACCTCACACTGGTCAGGGAACACTCTCTTTGTACACCTCACACTGGTCAGGGAACACTCTCTTTGTACACCTCACACTGGTCAGGGAACACTCTCTTTGTACACCTCACACTAGTCAGGGAACACTCTTTGTATCTTACGACCAGGTCCACTTCGCCTAGTCTTTAATGGGTGATTTTCTATAGCAAACACGCTTGTTCGCTTGTTGTTGTATACGCTACCTATTTTGCCATAACAGTAAAGGATCATGGATGAGGATAAAATCTGGTTAGTTAGCTTGTTGTGATAAATTCATCAAGAACTTATCATGGACTGTTTATAGATGGAATCATGGGAAAGTCAATTTAACAGAGTGTATTATTAGTGTGCTGGTAATGGGGTCGCTTGTCCCTTTTACAATCCCTTCCTACAACTTGACGCCCTTGAGAAAGTTTTTGACGACGCACCCTTTGAAAATAAAGGAATAAGGTAAAGGTCATCTTCATCTTTTATTTGATGTCCCTGGCCAAAATTTTGACGGCGCTCGTCGCCTCTTGATGATAAAAAAGTTCATTCGAACATCGAATTTAATGTGACCACTAAAAAGTGGTTAAAAAAAATATCGCAGAGAATCAAACATATTGATCGACTACCCATAATGGAAAGTAATAACCATAACCTATACCGAGGGTGACCGACTTGACTAGACCCAAGATCTACTGTTTACTAACGAAACCCAATACGATCTACCAATTACATACTTCTTGGAATCACAAATGAAACAACAGTTCAGTACACAATTATGTTGTATTGTAGTATTTTTTTATTTTATTAAGAGGGAAAACATAAAATTGAAAATTGTTCTCAGTTTTATAGTGTGAGCATTGCGTCTGATCATCTTCCGCTAGATTAGCAAAATATTATATTTTTTTCCTTGCCACGATCGACTGGACCGATAGTCGCGTCTGACCAGTTTGCCATTCCTGGTCTGTACATTCATCTTCATCATGTTACGTTAATTTTTCTTCATAAATCTTAAAAATAATCATAAGAACTGTATATAAAAACTTGTTATTAAATATAATTATTTGTTTCCGTTACAGAAAGTCCAATGTTGAAGCTGAAGAAAGATATGCGAGTGGCTGGAATTCTAAACCCAATCTTCAAACGAATCATTCCTAGACAGTGGTCTTACCATCACATTAATGTTGTCAGCTCATAAGTATCTAGTCTACATGTATATTATGAGTTCCGACTAGACAGACAGAAATAATATCTAGATGTTTCTCTGCGTCGTTGAGCACTACGGCTACGACAGGTATTTCATGCTGGCAACATCAACTCAGGCGGTTAAGAGTGGCTCATGTAGATAGCTTTGTGTAATTATTGTTATTTAGTGTCCAAACGAATAAAATACGAAAAAATATAATAAATATCGTATTGTGAACAGAATTCATTATATCACATGGTAGATTCCAGGCTTCGGTTATAGCAAGCAAGCACCTCTATTATGTTGGCGCATACTTTAAGACTGGCAACATTAGCGCTGACTGTTGAATTTTTAGTGTAATTAACTGATGCGAAGAAAGGTTCACGAGTGACAACTTCGTATATGTAAACTCTAGGCCACCTCCTATCAGATGGAGCGATGCCTTTTTATATATTTTGCAGGACGTCAAATGAAGGATTCTGATCATTCGTGATCGTTCCTTGTTCCTGTCTATGAGGAAGACCTACGTCCATTATTGGACAGTGAATAGCAGAAGTGATGATAAAATATTTCTGAAATGATCATTAATATGTTTTTTATAGGAGGTGGACTTATAAATCTGGTCCTTCGAGCCGGATTATCGTGAAACTTTGTGTACTATCGCAAATGCTTTAAATTAATTGTGTTAAGTTTGACAGGCAATAAAACATTGCCAGGCTTACAGGGTGCGTCATATTAAATTGACGCTCCTCCTAGTTCACTTGCGTATTTTGTTGAATTATCATTTCTATTATGGGGAGACAAAGTTTTATTTCGACTTAGGTAATAATTCATATTATATCTATTTATTTAGTGAATTTATCGTTGGCTGATTAAGTAAAACCGGTTTTGTAATGCCTTGGTATTTTATAAAATTATTTTCCACACAGCAATAAATTTTCGGCTGGATCGAACTATCTTGTAAACGTGTCGAATATCACACAAATAATAGCTTCATAATATTAAAATGTTTTTGTATTACACTAGCGAGTAGTTTAACTAAGTAACGAGATAGCTTTTTTAAAACAACATTTTTTTTCTTAATTTCTTTATTTACGTATATTACGTGCCTTGGATGGATGGACGCCCGTTGTATTGTCAATATTTGGCGCGGACTGGTATCGCATTATAATTGAAATAATCGATTTATTTAGTAAACGTGTGGTGATTGCTATTCATCAATATATGAGGATTGTTCAACGCCTCGTGACCTACGATTCTGCTAATGTACAAACACTTTAATAAAATACTAATGTAATAATTTTACATACTCCATAGAGAATCTATTAAGTTGATAATACACATACATTGTTTTACACATTAATTGTGTATTTTAACAATGATCAAAACGTTTTTGATGTATACTTTTGTATCTATGCCTTATACGTTTGGATCATTTGTAAGTTATCAAAATAGATTTGCACAGTAGTAATGTACGCGATGCGACCGCTACATATCGGATTCTATACAGTAATAGTTGCTAACTATCGCACTATATAAAAAGTCGCGTTTTCGGTTCGTAACAAATATTGATGTGCAGTACAACTAAAGGTGAATTCGTTTAGGAATCTTCGACACGCTTCATATATCCAATAACAAGATATCCAATAAAAAAAATATGCTGAATTTAGTCTATCCAGCCTCCGAAGACGAGTGGCAAACGAATCTACCGATAGAATCGTTATCGCTAGCGAGTCAGTGTGATAGAAAGAGATGGCGACATCCTTTGTCTTGTTCTTTCTCGTGCGAACGCTACCCGAAACGATTCTATTGATAGATTCGTCTGCCACGTGCAGGGGAGCAGATATATTGCCGAAGCATGGCGAAGATTTCTATCCGCCATATTGTACTAGAACGGGTATAGGACATGTACATTTATTGAAGCTTTCATTGTTTTAATAACGTTCGTTATTAGTCAGCTAACGTCGCTATCTCATCGGGATTCGGTTCCCCGAAGTTGCAATGACGGTGACAGTCGAGTCGGTTACGTTCCATTATACGAGTGTACATTTTGCCAGCAAATGTAAAATGCTAGTGCCCTGTAATACATTCTATGTCTGAAAGTGCTAATGAGAAGGACATTGATATTTTTGTATGGAAATCCGTGAAATAATTTTCATTGAATAGTAATTCATGCAGTCGAACCACTAGATGGCGCTTGTCTAAAAGTAGAATTTGATATCACAGCGATTTTCTTGTAAGAACGAGTATAATCCAACTTTATAATAGATATTTGAACTACTGCAAATTTTAATATCGTTATCGCTTGATTAACGCCATCTGGTGATATCATAATGTAACACATGATATGCAGTGTTTTGCCTATCTATTATTTCGATTACATTATTTAATTTCGTTAATGGTTATTGCGATAAGGCAAATGTACACTCGTCTCTATGGGCACACCATAGTGGACAGTGGTGGTCAGCGAGCGTTGGGCTCCGCGCCAGTCCCGGTTCTATTGGGGACGTAATAGGGTTCAAATCCTTATAGCTCTTCTTTTTGTAGTATTGCTAATCCTCAGTCGGGATGTTATAATAACTTTCATATTGAAATATTAACCATATTTTCCACTAAAACCTCCAATAATCCTATATTAATTAACACACTGTTAATTTTTATTATTTAATATATTTTGTCTCTTTCTTTCAAATGTTTTAACTTCAAAGAGACTCGGGGCCACTTTTGTAGCACGGCACGAATTTAATGTCACGATATAAAGGGAAAACAAAATGTATGGCGGCCCTTTTAATTTTCCTTCGAAAATATCATGGCATGATCGTCGATGGAAAATTTAAGTGTTTTAATGCAGTTTACATACATTTTGTTTTCCTATTATATCGTCATGGTTCCATGTCGTACTATGAGAAATTATTAAAGCACCTAAATAATTAAAAATATGTTTATTATACGCCATTGTTAATATGGGTTTAAACTTACTGTTCTGTTGGCAGTCGTGAATCGAAATAAAGACCCTCGTACACGAGTCATAGTACTAGACAATTGTGTGAATCTTTCACAAAACATACTTTGCGACCCACGAGTCAGTATGGAGCCCCTTTAGCCCCCGTCCCCTGGATCCGAGCCTGTCTCGTGCCATGTATCATTCTCACCAGAGTTTATTTTAGTCAAACGTCGCTACTAAGGCCTACTCCGTACGTCCCGCCGGGGCGGGGCACGAGAGATGCGGTGTTCGTTGTATCTGATAAATATATTATTGTATTATGGTCATACATATGCATGGTTATTTTTTTAGTGCCTATCTGTAATTACTTTATTAAAGACAAAGATAATAAAATATAATGTAAATTCCTATGTGTTTTCAATTATTCCGTATTCCAAATAAGGTAGCCCAAAAATGTATTATAATAAGATCAGTATATTTAAAATAGAAATAATATTTGTTTAACTTGTTTACAAGCTTTCTTGCATCGTCATTTTTAAGATTCTACTGCTGGCTTCAGTAAGGTGTTAGCTGCTGAAAAGAATCCTCAAGAAACCCAACAGTTACTCTTTAAATTTTACTTAACAATATATATAATGGATAGTTTTGCCATTCAGTTACATAAAAAAGTAGGTACGATTACGCTACCGCACCCGTGAGAAGGGACGAGACATCAGATATATTCTGATTTTATCAAAATAATATACATGGGGCACACTAAAAGTTTTGCACTTCTAGCTAATCGGAAGTATTTGAATATTGAATGTTATATTTTTTGAAACGTCGCAACCTTTACTAAGAAGGTAAAACAAAAAATTGGCGGGAAATCATTTATCAATTGTTTTTTATCGCACATCAAAGTTCTACGTACGCAACGAAAATGGTATTAAGTCGAAAAGATTTTAGAGCGATGATTTTTTATGATTTTAAAAGTTCTCTCTCTCCGCAAGACTGTGCTGCTCGTCTTCAAAATGCTTTTGGGAGAGAAGCATCTTGTTTGAGCACCGTGAGGCGATGGTATGCTGAATTTGAGAGAGGTCGAGTTTCTTTACATGACGAATTTCGTAAAGGGCGGCCTTCAGCTGCCGTCAACGAAAATAATATGGCTACTGTTAAGCGGCTAATTGAAGAAAACCCGTAGATTACCTATGAGACAATTCGAGGACTATTGGGGATTGGTATGAGCCAAATTCAGTAAATTTTACACGAAGAATTGAGAGTTCGGAAACTTTGTTGTCGTTGGATCCTTCATGAACTTACAGCGGATCAGAAGCGGGCTCGCGTGGAATGGTGCTCACAGATGCTACTGAAGTACGACCACGGACATTCTAATGCTGTTTGTGACATTGTCACAGGAGACGAAACGTAAATTTATTGTTTTGAATCCGAAAAAAAACCAGCAGTCTTGTGAATGGGTGTTTGAAAATGAGAACAGGCCAACAAAAGTGAGGCAGGCGAGAAACGTTGGTAAAAAAATGATCAAGTTTTTTTTCTTAGCTACGGGTCCCACCTGTACAATTCCACTTGAAGATTAAAAGAGTGTTAATGCCGAGTGGTATTCTACCATTTGTCTACCCAGGTTGTTAGAAAAGGTTCGCGAAAGACGACCAAAAAGCCGCATTCTCCTACATCATGACAACGCTTCTTCACACACGGCCAACAAAACAAAGTTATTTTTAACTTTCGAAAAAGTACAACTTGTCACCCATCCTGCGCACAGTCCCGACCCTGTGATTTCTGTATTTTCCCCAAAATTAAAGATTTGATGAGAGGTTTCACTTTAACCAACTCCGAAGAGGTAGTGATAGCGTTCAATCAGCACGTAAAAAACATGCCTTCAGATCTGTGGTCCTCCTGTTTTAAAAAATGGTTCGATCGTATGAAAAAATACTTAAAATATAAAGGAGAGAATTTTGAAAAGCAATAAACATAATATTTTGGTTATAACATGTTGTTTTTTTAAGTTACGCAAAACTTATAGTGTGACCTACGTATAACTTCCTTATTCATAAAAAGTAAAGCCTTCTACAAACCAATATTTTTTTTTACTACACAGGGGGCAAACAAGCATGCGGCTCACTTGATGGTAAGTGACTACCGCCGCCCATGGTCACCCACAACACCAACGGCATTGCAGGTGTTTTTATTTTAATTTTAACTATTACAGTATTACGTACCTGTTTGATTTCGTTGCATTGGTTTGCAATAAACCTATTATTTTGGTATACTTATTTTTAGAAATAGTACCAGAGGGAGACTGCACAAAAGTCATTTGCTTGGGTAGCTCTGTCCCATTTGTGTTTCAATTTTACACAAGTTTACACAACCCATGCGACAGGAAGGGATATACTAATAATATTTTTTTATAACACTGATGTAGCAAACAAGCATACAGCTCGCTTGATGGTAAGCGGTTTATGTAACATATAAACGCTTCCAATACCAAGGGCATTACACACGCTTTGGCAACCCTGAAGAAACTTCTTGATCCCATTTTTGAAGAACTGTATGCTGTAGTCTATCGGGAAGACGTCGGTAGAGATCTCATTCCATAATCTGATCGTTTGTGGGAGTAAGCATCTCTGAAACCGCGCTGTATGCGACTATTCAGGCTCTAAAATATGAGGGTGAAATTCCCGTCTATGGCGTACAATGGTAGAGTTTTAATTCAATTAAATATTTTAAAATGCACTCTCTTCAAAATTATTTGTCATGGAAATTAAAATATTTAAATAATAAATAGCAATGAAATTGTCAATTCATAAAATACATTTATCATTGGATGTATATTAAAAGGAAAGAGTGATCGAAAATCGATAAAGTGTCTACAGAAAGCAGTATAAGTGGTATTGATTGACGACTTGATGGAAGTAACTATGGCCGTGAGACGCATACATTAATCATTATTCCCCTTATTCTATTAATTAAAGTATCTAGTACCTTTTTTTTTTTGTTTCACGGTACCTATCGATCAGGCGTCCATATTTGTTTTTTTATATACCATACCTTTACTTAGTTTATCAATTGTATACACATTATAATCAATAATTTACGTTTGCATTTTGTATGCAACTTAAAATGGCAAACAAGCTGACAGCCCACCTGATGGAAAGTGGTAACCATCGTCTATAGACGTGAGCAGTACCATGAACATAACAGATATACCTCCCATGCATTGCCATTCCTGAGGACCCGGGTGTTATTCCTCCGTACCCTGTAAATATACTGCCATATCCCACCCTTCAAACCGAAACACAGCCATGCAAACACAACTGCTTCACGGTAGAAATACGAATGGGACAGAGGTGGCCAAGCAAACGACTTTTGCACAGAGTCTCCCTCTAGCATATAAAAATATTTATGTTTATTTAGTTCAAAAACGAGCTATACAAAGTATGACTACAGGCGGTATCCAGTCCTTAAGTCTAAGGCGAGACTTTGTCTCCCTTTGTGTGTTCTACCGCTTGTATTCTGGGGAATTGTTTGAAATGATACCCACAGCCACATTTTACCATCATACCGCTCGCCATAGGTAGGGAATTCATCCTCACACGATTGAGTCTAAATGGTCACGTACAGTGCGGTTTCAAAGGAATTTTCTCCCACGAACGCTCAGACTGTGGAATGACCTCCTTACCGAGGTTTTCCCTAGAGACTACATACAGTACGGGGTTTTTCAAAAAGGTTATATTAAGGTTTCTTCAGACTTGGCAACGCGCACATGACTCCCCTAGTGTTGCAGTCGTCCATTGACAAGAGTACTAGTATAGTATTATATTATTTGTGACTACAGTAACTGTTCAATATCAGACGGGTCGTATGTTTGTTTGCTTCCCACCTGGTATAAAAAATAAATTGTTAAATATTTTTTTGCAACTGAAATTAATAGACTTAAATAAACATACATGGAATATGGACATGGATGAGGAAAATTAAGTCTTTTGGGAACCCCCCCCTTCCCTCTCATTAGTCCGCGTTTGCACATAATACAATTGTAACTAAACGATATATGTTTATACATGGAAGATATTTAAAAACAAAATGATAAGACAGGTATAAGGGTAATATAAGGATAATATCAAAACAATAACTTTTAGAAGTTTTGTCTGTCCGCCCTTGTGTTCCGGCATCACACCTTATATTGCCCTAAATTTGTATACGATTTTCAGTTATGTTCCTGAAGGTCTAATTTAAAATCCGATGTTTTATCTCGATACCCCATCGAGATGTGATCAAAATTATTGCGTTTCCTATTATTTAATTTCACGTCTAGGTACAAAATAACAAGCAAAAAGCTACATACATATCTACTAAAGTAGCCAATTTATAAAAATCGTCATGGCTGTTTCTATGCTATTTAAATGATCTATTTTTGTGTCAAGTCACGATTATAATATGTTTTTTTTAAAAACATGTTTATTGCTTTTATCTATTTTATTATTTATTTGAAACAACAATAATTGAATATGTACGTAACAGATAAGATAATTGTTACTATGTTTAAACTGATAAATTACAAGTATTCCAAGCAAATTGCAAATAATGCAGTCGTTCGTATGAGAAACTAAAATAAACGTGTACTGGATAGTTAGTCTTTTATTTGGGTCACAGATAATATAATACTAATTGGGTTAACCTGCGCAACAACTTATGTACATATTCCCATAAAAATCACCCATCAAGCTTATACCAAGGTTAGGGTCCAAAACAAATACGTAACCTGGTTTTTTTTTTAATAAATAATGGAATAGTAACCCCGCCTGTGCTATCGGTATACACTGGCGGGGCACCAGTGAGGGACGATTGGTGAATTGGTGAGGATGAAAAGGCAGGTCAGTTAGCCCATCGTGACGAATGCGACAAGTATTAATCACAATGGTCTCCAGGGGGAGCCAAGTGGAGGTCGACCAAATAGGGCATATTGCTAGCAATGGGGCTGTCAAACCCCATTACTAACAGTCCGTTTCCCCCCATACGTAACCGGTTTTTTTTTTGATGGGTGGAAATGGTATGGTAACCCTGCCCGCGCTAACGTGATACGCTGGCGGAGCACCAATGAAGGGTGATAGACGAGAATGAAAACAGGCCAGTCAGCCCATCATGATGAATTCATCAGGAATTAACCATGATAATTTCCAGGGAGAACCGCGAGGAGGTCGACCTGGTTGGGTATATTACTAGCAATGGGATTCTCAGTCTCCATTACTAACAATTCCTTTCCCCCCATACGTAACCGGTTCTAAAACGTATGTCGTAGTTCGATTGTCCATTATTATCATCATATCTGTCCACTGCTGAATATAGGCATCCCCTAAAGGGGAGGCATTCGTGTTTCAACCGTGAAGCAGTTGTGTTTGCATGGCTGTGTTTCGGTTTGATGGGTGGGATATGGCAGTATATTTACAGGGTACGGGGGAATAACACCCGGGTCCTTAGGAATAGCAACGCATGGGGGGTATATCTGTTATGTTCATGGTACTGCTCACGTCTATAGACGACGGTTACCACTTTCCATCAGGTGGGTCGTCAGCTTGTTTGCCATTCTAAGTTGTATAAAACAAGGCTTTGCTAGTAATTGCCACACTTGGCCGATTGATCATTATCATATCGCCTTTTAATAGTCCACTGCTAAACAAGCCTCCTCCTTAATGATTTTGCCAGTAGTTGTCACGTTTGGCAGGCAGATTGACAATCACAGGCTTTGAAGACATTTTAAGAGGGACGCTGCACCTCATTCCTCGCCCTCCCATAGTCGCCTCTTACGACACCCACGGGGAAGGAAGGGGTGGCCTATTCTATGCCGGGACCACACGGCGATTGATCATATTAAGCTAAAATAAAACTCATATTTGTGATTCCTGACAAGGACATATAATTATTCAGTGCGTTAGAAAAGTGGCGAAAATTAATTGCACAGTGCCATTTAATTAGATCGTTACCATGTTTTTTTTTTATATATATATAAATTTATGTACTTTTCTTGAATTTCTCCATAATAGCTCTCATGTGATCTAAGCCAGTTTCGTTCACCTCTTTATATCCGGCCACTTCGGCTCTCATTTTCTCATACCACCTGAAACAAACAAAACAAATTATATGTTTTCTCGTCTTTAGTCACGAGTCACCTTGGAAGAGCTAGAACGGGTTTATTTCCATAATCATCTTGGTCTCGTTACTTGTCTATTACTGAACATAGGACTCCCCATAAAGAGTTTTTGCCAGTAGCTGCCTCGCTTGGCAGACGAGTTGGCAACCATATTTAGGCTTTTGATGACTTTTAAAAGGGACGGTGAAAAAGCTGCCCCTTTCTCAACTATTAAGTTCTCTTAGTCACCTCTTATGATACCTACGGGAAAACAAAGGGTTGCCTATTCGATTGTTGCAGTGACATGAACAATACGTCACTAATTCTGGAACGATTTTGATAATTCTTTTTGCAATACAAAGATTTTACTTCCGTGTAGATCCCCTGATAATTTTGTGGCAATCGCCACAGAGTTTAGGATGCAATAATAAACAATATAATGTGATGCCATAGCAAATAGTTCTTAGCACCATAGACTTGGGGTCAAAGAAATGTAAGTAATAGAGACTAACGGCCCGCTTGCTAGCAATATACCCTGTCATTTTGACCTGCTAGCAAATCTTCCTGGAAACCAACGTGAATAATTCCTTCTGAAGTCCACACAACGGTCAACTGACCTAACTTTATCCTCACCTAAATCCTTAACATCAGAAGGAGACTTTGTACAAATGCTTGGACATCTATTTTCCATTCGTATTTCTACCATGAAGCAGTTGTGTTTGCATGGCTGTGTTTCGATTTGAAGGGTGGGATATAGCAGTGAATTTACAGGGTACAGAGAAATAACGCCTGAAGAATAGAAACATATGGGGGGTATCATGGGCGAAACAGTATACTCCGTTATGCCCATGGTACTGCTCATGTCTATAGGCCGTCAGCTTGTTTGCAGTTCTAAGTTGCATAAAAAACACAGGCAGGATTATCATTCCATATTCGCTATATAAAAGTCTTACAGACCTATTAATGTTGGGGTATTTCCTGAAGTCAACGTCTGTTAACTCTAAGGTCGAGATTGTAGCGACCGTAGAAAGATCTGCCACAGTGAGTTGCGGGCCCGCCAAATACTCCTGCCCATCCAGGAATGTGTTCATAAATTCGAGAGCTTGCTCCAATTTCTTCAACTTCTCCGCATCAGGTGGCGCACCAGCCAAAATTTGTGGATACTAAAAAGTCAGTGATAACGGATCTATGTATTTAATATTGTAATTTTTAATCGACTATAGCGGTTTTTTGGGAAGTATTAAGTATAAAAAAAATAATGCTCGCAATACTCAAACTCTAGCCCCTAATGTTAGATGTCCGGGGGGAAAGGGATTCTCAGTAATGGAGACTGAGAATCCCATTGCTAGCAATATACCTAACCAGGTCGACCTCCTCGCGATTCCCCCTTGAAACTATCATGGTTAATTCCTGATGAATTAATCATGATGGGCTAACTGGCCTGTTTTCATTCTCATCGGTCATCCTTCACTAGTGCCCTGCCAGCGTATCCCGTTAGCGCAGGCAGGGTTACCATACCATTTTCACCCATCAAAAAAAAAATGTTACATGTCCATAATATTTCCATTTTAATCAATATATATTACACCAGTACAAAAAAAAATGAAAATAAATGTTTAGTTAGCCAATAATAAAACCAGTAATATTAATAATAAATAATTACATTTCTGTTTTGCTAAAGGTTGACTGGGAGAAAGAATGTTCTGTAGTATTAAGTCCTCCTTTTGTACCAGATATTTTTTTTTTTATAACGGTCAATAAAGAATAAATATATAAGTAAGAGATATTATGTTTGTCTTTCTCTTTTTGGAAAGATTCGTGTCCAACAGTGGAAAGTAACACTAGTATTGCTGTACATTCATGTTTCTACCGTGAAGCAGTTGTGTTTGCATGCCTATGTTTCGGTTTGAAGGATGGGATATGGCAGCAAATTTACAGGGTACAGAGGAATAACACTTGAGTCCTCAAGAATGGCAACGCATGGGGGATATCATGGGCGAAACAGTATACTCTGTTATGTCCATGGTACTGCTCATGTCTATAGGCGACGGATACCACTTTTCATCAAGTGGGCCGTCAGCTTGTTTGCCATTCTACGTTGTAAAAAAAACATGTTAATAAATATAACAGATATATACAACCAGTTATTTTGATCTAAAAACTAAACTACTAAACTGATTTTGATAAAATTTCTATGAAATCAATCCGTAAGTATATCTTTCCAGATAAAAGAATTTCCAAACCAGTTTATATTTGACGGAGTTATGAGGTAACTAAAATTTTCTTTAAAATATCGATTGAAAGAAACACATAAATATTAAACTACGATTATACCCATGTTAATGTTTTTTTTTTTTAAACTAAACTAAACTAACTGCATTCAAGAAATAAATACTGACATAATACTCGCCAAATCTTTGGTACAGTGTTCCCATATCGAAGTACAGCCTCTGATCAACAGTGGCCCTAGCTCGCGGCTCCTCAGGGTACAGTCCTGTATCTTTACCATATTTGTTCACCAAATAGGTTATTATGGCTCTCGACTCCCATACTGAGAAATCGTCGTCCACTAATGTGGGGATAGTGTGCTGAGGATTGATCTGTAAAAATAAACGAGTATATTAGTAGGAATGAACGAAAAAGGCTAACTTCTTTACATGCTGTTACAAGACTAGAGAAATCAACGGTTCAAGGCGTGCAGTCATTCTCGTTAGTGTCTTAGGCAGCCGCTCAAGACTAAGAGTCCCTAATGGTCCCGAAACTAGTTGAACTTTCTCGACCAAGTTACACGTACATAAATAAATCGGTAGTTATTACATTAAAATAAAAGGATATTTTCTTTTACTGAATTAATATTATCAGATAGACTGTGTACCTAATACGAAGAGATAAGCCAATATTCACCAAATATTTGTATGTACGGGATGGATTTGATTTATGAAATTATTATATTAAGAATCATGGTAGATATTAAAAGGGATAATTGTCGTTTATAGTCATGCACATACATAGTGGCTGAAATCTGATATCAAATATTTTCCCCAAAAATGAGTCGTCATCATATCAGGTGTTCAATTTCCACTGCTGAATAGATCTAGGGGGAAGTTAACTGTTGGCGAAAGCCCCCAGTAGGGGGAGTAAAAAATTTTGTTAATAGTTGTCACTCTTGGCATGCGGGTTGGCAACCACAGTTAGGTATTGATGATGTTTTAAGAGAGGAGTCGCTGCCTTTACCTCGATCGTATAATTTCCTTTCCTTCCTGATTAAAAGTTTTGAAACTCCCATACCTAATATACACGGCGCTTGCAGAGAAGCTGACTATTATTTCGCCGTTTTTCGCATTGTCATGTTTCTGTCGTTTTTGAATACATTAAAAAAATGTTGTGCAATAGTTTTGCCGTTTTGGTCTTTTTTTGTTCACAAAATTTCTACCCTATCTAATTTTTAATTTAACTACCGACTAACACTTGGATTTTACTTAGTATAAACTCTTAGATTACACAGATAGAGCATCGAGCCTAGAAAATGGGCCAACATTTTGTTTTGTTTTTTTGTCAGTGTTCTACATACTTACGCATAAAATGTATTTTGACGTCTTATTTAATCAATAAAATTTGTGTTTCGGCATTAAAAAAAATGCAAAATTATGAGACAAAATAAATATAGGAGTTATAAAGGAATCACTCACGCAAAATTGTATGAAAAAGTTGAACCGCTTTTCTCGAAACATTTTTATGGAGACACTCTATCTATCTAAGTATAAACTATAGACAATAATTCTACGATAGGTACCTTTAGATACTCCGGTGTAAGATGTTCTCCTTTCATTAAATCTGTCAATTTCTGATTGACGTCCAAGTTGAGAGCTCTCACTGTGAGGAGCACTGCTCTGCAGGGCGCAGAGCCAGGATTCAGGTACAGATCAATAGGCATTGTTCTGTAACAAAAATAATCATTATAATTTTTATTTATTACTTACTATAACGTTAATCACTATAAAGTTCCCGATGATTATATAATAGATCCTTAATTCGGTTGTATTTTTTATGTTTTTGTCACCTCATAACTCCGTCAGTTGTAAACCGATTTGGAAAATTCTTATTTTATCTGAAAGGATACATTTACAAATTGGTCTGATAGAATTTTTTTTTTAAATCTGATCGATGGTTACTTTAAATTTTTTTTTTTTGATACAATTAAAATCGTATTATTTTGTGGGACACAATCTTAGATTTTTCACAAATCGTGATTCCATAGTCAAGTACTTACTGTGAGAAAAATCGATTAGGAATAATTATACAAAATACACCCGGAACACGTGTTGATAGCTCACAACTCTATTTACGACTAATGTTACCATTCGAGTGAGCTCCAATTTATTAATATTTGAGTGAGTCCGATAAAAAGTACTGACTCACACTCGAAAGATGATTATCACCGTTAGATATCGTATTTTATCTAATAAATGACAATGTTGACGATGACATTCCAAAATCTGACTATACATGAGTATCTGTTTTATTAAATAAGTGTACAGGGGGGAAAGGGATTGTTAGTAATGGAGTTTGACAGCCCCATTGCCAGCAATATGCCTTATTAGGTCGACCTCCACGTGGTTCCCCCTGGAAACCATCGTGAACAATTCTTGTTGAATTCGTCATGATAGGCTAACTGACCTGTTTCATCCTCACCTATCATTCTTTACTGGTGCCCCGCCGGTGTATACCGATATCGCGGGTGGGGTTACCATTCCATTATCATCCATTAAAAAGTGTACAAATCTTTCAAAGCAAAAGTATTACTGTAGTCGTAACTATTTATTGTATAACTAGTATTGTAGTTTTTATCATTTTTCATCCTAATCATATATAATCTTCTAATATATAAAATTCTCGTGTCACGGTGTTTGTTACCAAACTACTCCGAAACCGCTTTACCGATTTTTATGATATTTTGTGTGCATATCGGGTAGATCTGGGAATCGACCAACATCTATTTTTCATACCACTCAATGATAAGGGCGACCCACCTCTAATTTTTTTTTGTCAATTTTTTTTTATTATGATTTAGCATTGAAAAATACATACAATTTTAAATTTTCATCCTTTTACGATCAACCCGTGTTTTTCAATCGCGATTTTTATATTCCGCAATAGGGTTGCAAGACGGCAATCGAGTATAATAATTGTAGTACGATATATTTTCATGTATAGTTCTAGAAATAATGTATATGGTAAAACAACGTTTGCCGAGTCGGCTAGTAGTTATATAATATACAATATGAATACGCTTGTCGTGGCGGCCTTTATTTAAGGCAGCATTTCATAATGTAACCTTATTATCATATATTTTAAGTAATTATAAATGTATGCTTTGTTGGTTGTCCTTAAATAAATATATAAATAAATCCTGATGTTGGTCAACTGATTTTTAATATACCAACTAGCTTTTACCCACCATCTTCGTTTACGTGAGTCGCTTAAACATTATGATCAAGCGGGGGAAGTCGCGGTTGAAAGATAGTACCTACTCTAATTATCCACTCATGTTCTACTGTTCAGTATGGGTTTTTTCCCATACGAAAAAGAGTATAATTATGCATATTTATTGTCCTTACATATTGCCCAGAAGTGAAGCAGTTGTGTTTGCATGGCTGTGTTTCGGTTTGAAAGGTGGGATATGGCGTGAATTTACAGTGTACAGAGGAATAACACCTGAGTCCTCAGGAATGACAACGCATGGGGGTATCATGGGCGAAACAGTATACTCTGTTATGTCCATGGTACTGCTCATGTCTATAGGCGACGGTTACCACTTTCCATCAGGTGGGCCGTCAGCTTGTTCGCCATTCTAAGTTGTATAAAAAAAAAGTGCTGTATCGACATGGGTCTCATCTAATGGTAAGTGACTACCACCGCCACTACCCACAACTCCAAAGGTACTGTAGGTGCGCTGCCGGCCTTTAAAATATATTGTATTGGTTCGGAAATAATGCTGCTGGAAATTGATTCCAAAGAGATGTTGTGCGTCGAAGAAAGTACTTTGAAAAACTCACGGTGAAGGACCGCCACTATTTCAAAAATTAATCAAATTTTATAATTATATATGTAATATATATAACTCAGCAATAAAAGTGATCGAAAAAATGCAATTTTTTATCATAAAAAGTTTTTATCATAAAAAAAAAATATTAGTGTCATATTTTAATCATATTTTAACTTGCAACTAATAAATTATCTATCTAATCTATTATATATCTAGATATCGTCAGCTTGTTTGCCATTCTTAGTTGTATAAAAAAAAATTATATTAATATTATAAAGAGGAAAGATTTGAATTTTGTATGTTTGTTTATTCTTTGTAATGGATAAAATTTAATCAATTTTAAAAATTATTTCACATATAGAAAGCTACATTATCACCAAGTACCATAGACTAAATATTATTTACAAAAAAAAAATAGTAATCCATACGGAAATTGCAATAATGAAATCCAAGGTATTAAAATATAGCCTCAATAGCCAATACAAAATACTATTCTTTTTTATTTTATTATTTTTTTTTATATTGTTTTGTTTTACTTTCTCTTCATAGGTTTTTTTTTTTTTTTTGATACTGTCTTTTCTTTCCCTCTACCCAAAGGTTTTCAACAAGAGATTAAAGAAAAGACCGCCTTTTGTACTTCATAACTGTAATATAAATTTATCTTTGTATTATTTTTTAAGTGACGCAATAAAGAGTAAATAAATAAATAATTTATTCTCCATCTAACTATAAATAAATGTTTAGATAAGGTTAAATTTCGAGTTTTCATTGATGATTGCATTGATTAATTGTTTTTTTTTTATTCCCCTAATCACTGGTTGCGATATATTAAGTAAAAGGAATGGTGACAGAGTATATTTTTACACCGTCATCACACGGATGAGGACTCAGTGCAAATTATTATCAGACAACATGACCTGCGATGACTGGCTGATTTTCAAGGTCACTCACAAACGGTTCGTTAACTTGTGACTAAGAATAGTGATGCAACAATGCCTATTTCTAGAATGTTGTCAATAACAACACGAAATGTACTGAATTGTTTATATTTTTTTTAATCACTTATAATGGCATAGTAACCCCACCTGCGCTATCGGTAAACGGTGGCGGGGCACCAGTGAGGGATGATAGGTGAGAATGAAGCAGGTCAGTTAGCCCATCGTGATGAATACATCTGGATTTCAGCACGATGGTTTCCAGGGGGGATCACGTGGAGGTCGACCTGACCTTACTAGCTATGGGACTGGTAGTCCGCATCACTAACAATCCCTTCCCCCCTTGACTTCGTAGGTAGGTAGTATTAGCACAGAGATACCTATTCTACTTAATTATCTTTTATTTGTAATCATAAATAACATAGCGTGTAACGGAACGAGTCTAACACGGGTTTCCGAGAGTGAAAAGGATTGTTATCAATGGAGTTTGACAGCCTCATTGCTACCAGTATACCTTATTAGGTCGACCTCCACGCGGTTCTCCCTGGTATCCATAGTACCAGAGAGAGACTTTGTACAAAAGTCGATTGCTTGGGTACCTCTGTCCCATTCGTGTTTCAACCGCGAAGCAGTTGTGTTTGCATGGCTGTGTTTCAGTTTGAAGGATGAGATATGGCGTGAATTTACTGGGTACAGAGGAATAACACCTGAGTCCTCAGGAATGGTATCATGGGTATCATGGGCGAAACAGTATACTCTGTTATGTCCATGGTACTGCTCATGCCTATAGGCGACGGTTACCACTTTCCATCAGGTAGGCCGTCAGCTTGATCGCCATTCTAAGTAGTATAAAAAAAATACGCCTCTAATTGATGTGTTCATCTAGCCTTGAGTTTAGAAAGAAAGAAAGAAATGTTTTTGTTCAAGTAAACTTAGATTTACGCATTTTTAAATAGTAATTTTTCATTACTTACTTACTTATAACATTCTACATAGTCTGTTTAATTATTGTGAACATATTGTTGGTATATCTTTTATAAATAAATAAATAAATAGGAGTGGACTAGAAGTAAGTACTCCTCTGCTCCTCTCCTCTCTCTGGACATCTGGTGTCAATAGTTTCTAAATCCTCTTTGTTTTACACAAAAATTTTCTAATGTAACTTACCGGATGATGACTTCACGTGCCCTTCGAAGTAAATGGCAATAATTTTTAAATGATTTTAACTATGTAGGTAAATGAGTTTCAAAACTGCAGACGTTCAGGCTTGGATTCGACCTTGGGTTCTCCACAGTATGTCTCTAATATACATACATACTAGAATATTGATTCAAATCTAAACTTTTACTTGTATATATTAATAATATAAAAAGACTGTTAGTATGTTTGTAATGAGTAAACTGAAAAATTATTTTAACTGATTTTAAAAATTCTTTCACCTACAATATTTTCATTATGGGAGAGTAACATAAGTTATATATATTTTTAAAAATTTTATACGCACTCGAAGTCGGACCGTGTCGCTAGTAATATTATAAATAGGAAAAAATTAATTTAATTCCGAATAGATAAAAACAAAAATTAACCGATTTAAAAAAAAATGACTAATAAATAACTCTTCTTATATATATATTTTCTGTAAATTCTATTGTAATTTTATTTTACTGGCAATAAATATTTCCTATTCTATTTTATTTGTACTATTACTTACAAATATGATCATGTACGGACCTAAATTGTAGATTGGCGGAAAACGATTTTAAAAAAAGAAATACAAAATGTTTAATACAATATAATTTATTTGTGCCTTATCACTAAACTTATATTAATAAGTAACATGGAAAACGGTGTTAAATTTGAGAATACGGTGGCTTTACTTATTCGTAAAGTGTAAAATTTCGTAACAAAATTTTAAAAGCTTCTCAGCCCTCGTTCACTTCTTGAGCATGCTGTTGACGAGCCCCTTGAACGCCTCCAGTCCTTTCTCGTTAGCCTCTTGGTATCCTGGTGCGGTGCTCCTCACTGTCTCGTACCATCTGTAATGGGTATTTGATATATTTTGAATTGAACTGACTTCAGGAAGGGAAGAAATTTTCATTTCGGTTGCATTTTTCTTCATCATTCAATATTAAAAATTCTTTTTTTATTTGTAAGAATAAACTTCCTGAATAGTTCCTGAGAAGTTTTATCAAAATCGGCTTAGTTATTTAGTTATTTAAAATAACTAATTATGCCACAATTGAAGTCTTTTTTTTTGTAAAACAAATTCTTAAATTATGTAATAATTCTGCTAATACAGAAAAAAGAACTTTAATTTTGGAACTTAAGACTATTAGTTAAACACAAGAGCTTTTGGATAAAAAATTATTTGAAAAGAAAGGTATTTATTTCTTTTATTACTGAAGGGTTGATAGAGGCAAAGAGAACTTTGTCTACCCTAGGATATGGCCTGAAAACTAAAGACTAATTGCTAAGCAGCCACTTAACTACACATAGAGATGTCTTCTTTTAGTTCTTTCTCTATTTATTATTATGTACACGCGAACGAAGGCGTGAACACAGCTAGTGTAACAATAAAATTAGCTACACTCGCCAGTTTTAACACGTTGATATTTATATCTGAATGTTAATTTTAAAAAATCTGGACCCGTTTAATTTATAGCATAACATAAGATATCTCGTATGATGCTTAAAATTTGATTTAATAGTATTAAAATACAAAATGAAAAAAAAAACAATACAAACATACACAATGTCCAAAATTATTTGTTCTATACAAAGTAGAATAGTATACCTAATATTGTAATACCTACAAGCCAAGAGAACAATCTAAAAAGTTCTCTCTGAAAATACAAAATTCCCTGTTTAAACGTCACTATGTAAATTTTATTATAGATTACATTACCAGAGGGAGACTTTGTACAAAAGTCGATTGCTTGGATACCTCTGTCCCATTCGTGTTTCTACCGTGAAGCAGTTGTGTTTGCATAGCTGTGTTTCGGTTTGAAGGGTGGGATATGGCGTGAATTTACAGGGTACAGAGGAATAACATCCGAGTCCTCAGGAATGGCAACGCATGGGGGGTATCATGGGCGAAACAGTATACCTACTCTGTTATGTCCATGGTACTGCTCATGTCTATAGGCGACGGTTACTACTTTCCATCAGGTGGGCCGTCAGCTTGTTTGCCATTCTAAGTTGTATAAAAAAAAAAAAAACTCACCAGTTGAATACGTTGATATTTGTTATTAACTGATTTTTAATTTTTAAAAATCTGGACCCATTTATTTCATCGTAACATAGGATCTCCTATGATGCTTAAAATTTGATTTTATTGTACTATATTGACAACTTAGATTATACAAATACAGAATCTTATAAATAAATAGAGTATTTTCAGTGGCACCAATTTGTAATAACAATAATAGCTTTGTTTTTCTCACGCCAGCTTCTCCGTTTCTAAATTACAAATGAAGTGGCCAATTCAAACTGCGTATTACAAGTAAATTGATTGTAAATTATAACTTACCTCTTAACATTAGGGTATTTCTTGAAGTCAATATCGGATGCCTCGAAGCTGGATACGCTCGCGATGAGACTCAGATCGGCGACAGTGAGGTTGGGGCCTGCCACGTATTTCTGGCCCTCAAGGAATGTGTCCAGGAGCTTAAGAGAGTCTTCGATTTTGGAGGCCTTCTCTTTGTCGGCCGGGGCACCGCCGAAAACTTGTGGATACTGTTTGGTAAAAAAGAAATCGTTATTAAAAAGAATTAATTGTTAAAAAAATTTAATTATTATACACTCACAATGACACCCAGATGTTATAGAAAATAAAAGAATATTTATGGATTGATACCAATATAGTTGACAGTTATTTGTGTTGATTTATATAATATTACATTAAGCATTTTTGAATTGGAGAAGATAAGGTATAGGTCACCAGAAGGAGACTTTGTACAAAAGTCGATTACTTGGGTACCTCTGTCCCATTCGTGTTTCAACCGTGAAGCAGTTGTGTTAGCATGGTTCTGTTTCAGTTTGAAGGGTGGGATATGGTGTGAATTTACAGGGTACAGAGGAATAACATATGAGTCATCAGGAATAGCAACGCATGGGGGGTATCATGGGCGAAACAGTATACTCTGTTATGTCCATGGTACTGCTCGTGTCTATAGGCGACGGTTACCACTTTCCATGAGGTGGGCCGTCAGCTTGTTTGCCATTCTAAGTTATATAAAAAAAAAAGGTACAAAACGAAATTGGAAAGATGCAGATTTGTTTAATTCAGCTGCCATTATTATGCGTGTGACTGCCAACAGTCGAAGATTGACTACTATTATTACTACCTGAAGTTCCACAACCATCCATCAATCTCCGATCGCTATTCAGTTCACGCATGTTTTGCTATATATATAATAATCAAATTGACTATGTTTGATTTGAGAAAGGAGTCAAAAGTTCGAAATTGTATTCACGAAATATATTCTGAAAGAGGACGAAGCAAGAATAGAATAGAAATATTATTTTATTCAAAAATCTTTATTCAAAAATACTTGTTTATGCAAGCTCTTTTTAATCTTCATTGTTTATGATTCTATTGCTAGGTTCGGAATGTTATTATCTGCTTAGAAGTCTCCGCAAAAAACTCTACAATAAAATCTTTTTAATGGGCACTGTTGGCGACAGACCTCTTTTTATATAATTTACCTTTTTAGAATTATATTTTTATATTATGAATATGTCTTTTTGATACTTATTTTGTTTTTTTACTTGATTGCCATATTGTTGTTATAGTGTGTACGTCTTAAGAAAATATACTGGTAAGCCTCTCTTAATATTATTTTATTATTGTCGCTGCCCTCCTCTCCAACCAGCGCCGTTTTTAGGCACTGTAATTATACATTAGGATTAAGTTCTATTCCTATGTAGTATTCAATGTGAAACAAACAAGTAATTTGTTAAACATTGCTCTCAGCTGTTTTTTGGGGAACTCAACCACCCTGCTCACCATGCCGCCACCAGGATGGACCTTGACTCACTTCAAGTTAACTACAAGATAAAATAAGATGTTTTTTTATACAACTTAGAATGGCAAACAAGCTGACGGCCCACCTGATGGAAAGTGGTAACCGTCGCCTACAGACATGAGCAGTACCATGGACATAACAGAGTATACTGTTTCACCCATGATACCCCCCATGCATTCCTGAGGACTCAGGTGTTATACCTCTGTACCCTGTAAATTCACGCCACATCCCACCATTCAAACCGAAACACAGCCATGCAAATACAACTGTTTTACGGTTGAAACACGAATGGGACAGAGGTACCCAAACAAACGACTATTGTACAAAGTCTTCCTCTGGTAAAGATATTAGGATTTAGACTTACGAAATAATCAGCAAATCTCTGGTACAGGGTGCCAATATCGAAGTACAGCCTCTGGTCAACGAGCGCACGCGCCTTCGGGTCCTCAGGGTACAGCGTGGAGCCCTTGCCATATTTGTTGACCAGGTAGGTTATGATAGCACGGGATTCCCATAGGGAGAATCCATCGTCAACCAGTGTGGGGACTGTGTGCTGGGGGTTGATCTGAAATTAAAAGAAGCATTTCGTTAGTGTTTTTTTTCAAACTAGCTATTTGAATTATAAAAATATTGAAAGAAGGTATTATTTTTATTTAATAATTATTTTTATTTAATTAAATTTAAATTTAAGTATTTTTAATAGTAATTTTTCAGCCAAAAAGAACAGACATGAAACTCAGCTGTTGTTTATATGTTTTACAACCTGTCAATCGCAACCCCAAGGGAGGGCCCACTATTGTTCTTAGCAGGTTACGATTACCTATAAAAAGCTAAGTAAAACCACAGATAATGTAAAACTAACAAACGCTGTTTACTGGTGCAATAAAGAGTTAAATAAATAAATAAATAACAAACGCTGTTTACTCAATTAATACGAAGTGGTAGACAATTAAAAATGTCGACGTCGAAGTCATTGGTATACTGAGACTGGGGGTCATCTGATTTTATTTATTAGTAAACGCTTGTTGTATTCAAAAAGTTTGAGGAACACTGGTTTATTCGAAGTCGTTTTCAGATTGTTTACAGATACGTATACAGAATGAAGAAATATTTTATTATTTAAATAAAATAAATATTATACGGTACAAAAGTTCATAAAAATACCTAATTAGAGTTTAAATTGGTATGGCAGTCTGTGTACACGCTTAGGGTCACTAATAATAGGTACAATACTGTAAGTACTTAGGTCGCTGCGTACCGGGCGTGACGAGGTCGGAACTGAGTAATTACGTTTTGTAACTTTGAGAACCGGTTCAAGGGATTTTTGTTACTTGTGGTACTGAGATGCAATGTACAACTGCAAGAATGTTAGATATGCTTGGAATTGTATTTGATTTATAAGCGACTTCACAAAGAAGAGGTTCTCAAACTGATGGTATTTTTTTTATGTGAATGAATTACGTTGAATAACTTGATTTGATGCTTTTTTTATACTACTTAGAATGGCAAACAAGCTGACGGCCAAGCTGATGGAAATCGGTAACCGTCGCTTATAGACATGAATAGTATCATGGACTTAACAGAGTATACTGTTTCGCCCATGATACCCCCCATGCGTTGCCATTCCTGAGGACTCAGGTATTATTCCTCTATACCCAGTAAATTCACGCCATATCCCACCCTTCAAACTGAAATACAGCCATGCAAACACAACTGCTTCACGGTGGAAACACAAATGGGACAGAAGTACCCAAACAATCAACTTTTGTACAAAGTCTCCCTCTTAATAAATAAATAAAAATTCAAAACTAGCTAACTGAAAAAAACTCTCGCTCACTAAAAATTTAAATCGAACGAACGGTTAAATCATTCTAGCCATTATTATATGATACACTTTCACACTTTAATGTAAACAAACAAACAAACAAAACAACAACTTCAGTAACAAATATGAGACTAGCGCGGGAACAAACCAAAACAGTACCAAAATCGGTTAAATATTCACTAGACTTCATATAACATACACAGAAAAGAAATAACACGTGTAATGATAATTCCCTCTATTTGGAAGTCGGTTGAAAACAAACATTAGTAATAAACAGCAATTCCAGTCCCCTTCAAAGTTCAACGCTCCGCGGCACACTATCGACTGAGTTACATCATCAGCATTTGGCCTTCAATAATACAAATAAAGAATTTAGAATGCAATATCATAGCGAATAGAGTCAAAAATTGCGTAACTGTATATTGTTATTTGGTCGTTTCGCAGTTAAGTGTCGACGGGAAACTGGCCGAGTGCCATAGATTCCGGGTCTAGGAAATATCTATCTTGGTAACGATTTTAGTATCCGAATCGCCGAAAGCATTGAAGAAGTAATTAAATATAATTTTTAAGAAATTTATTCCTTTGCCGAAAAAAAGACTGGTAGAATTAAAAAGAACATATAATGGTATGCCAGGTTTCTTAAAGCATGCTGGTACATCTTTTATACTAGATAAAGTTGACCGAGTAGGTATTTTTTTTTACAGATGGGAGATTTTAATAAAAAAAGAAATTGTCTTCAGCATGTAAATAAAGGAAAGACCACTACCAGAGGGAGACTTTGTGCAAAAGTCGTTTAGGTGTACAAAAGCTGTTATGTTTGCATGGCTGTGTTTCGGTTTGAAGGTACGAGTATAACACCTTAATCCTCTGCAATGGCAACTCATAGGGGGTATCATGGGCGAAACTGTATTCTCTGTTAAATCCATGGTATTGTTCATGTCTATAAGCGACGGTTACCGCTTTCTATCAGGTGGGCCGTCAGCTTGTTTGCAATTCTAAGTTGCATAAAAAAATCTGGTACATATTTTTTACTAGATAAAGTTGATCTAATAGCTATTTTTTACAGATAGGTAGATTTTAAGGGGACAAAATGTAAATAAAAGAATGATAAAACAAATTAACAATGTTTAATCATAAAGTCATCGTTATATTACGTAAGGAAAATATTTTGAACAATAAATATTATTATATTAATCTCCTTCGTTTAATTAAATCCTTGTAACCATTAATTACAGTTTAGAAGTTTAAAATAAGTTTCCTGTTGTTTTGTGATATTATTTATTTTTCTATTAACTACTAGCAAGTAGAACTTAGTATGTATTATATAGGTATATAGGAAAATTCCGTTTAACTTTTAATTAATTTATGGGGTCATGGCAAACATTGCATGGAATTGTTAAGACTAATGAACGCCGTCGTTTAAAAGGGTTGTATTACTTTATCATTGCGAATTTATATAAGTTTAGTTTCCGATAAAGAGAAAATATGAGCGGGTCATCGTGCCTCTATTTACCAGGGGTACCATGACCCACACTTTGAGAAACCCTGGACTAGGACTTAGCTCTTTCTGTGAAGGGCATTTATATTTGAAATAGCACATTGTACCTACCATTAATGGCTAATAAATGAATCATTAATCGATTCTCTGAATATCTGTGTGTGTTTGACATCATTAATCTACAAAAAAACCCAAGATGTACAAGAAGATATTAAAAAAATTGCTATTAAAATAAAGAGTCTTTGACCAGATTATTAATACATTTATTATTATTTCTTTTCTATTGTTTATCGATCTTACTAATTTATTTTATTTATTTATTATATATATAATAAATACTTACATATATAATACAGTTGTAACCAAACGATTACTATACAAGGAAGATATTTAATAAAAAAATAAATATATGAGTGTATTAATTACATTAGAAACCAAAACTATTACATTAAACAATTTTTAGAAATTTTGTCTGTTTGTAAGTTTGTTTCGGCAACACGTAAAAAGTATTTCACTAATTTGGATATAGTTTTCAATGTTGTGTTATTGAGGGTCTAATAAAAAATAAAATTGTTGTTTTATCTTGCGATACGCTATCTAAAACTAATCTATTTTATTGATTTTCCTCCTTCTGAAAGCCACACGTATAACGTAGGAGTAGTGGGCAAAAGCCAGTACACACTAGACAGTTTGGTATTTTTCAAAAAAGGAATAAAGAGGGTCAGCAACGCGCATGTAATACCTCTGGTATTGCGGGCGTTCATAGGCTACTGTAACCGCTTACTATCAGGTGGGTCGTATGCTTGTTTGCCACCTCAGTGATATAAAAAACAACCAATTTAATAATAAACCACATCATGAAAGAATCATTTTCTAAAAAGACTTTCTGGGGTCATCAACTTATATGAAGAATCGAAATTGAATAATTCACCAAATTTAGACATAAAATACTCCAATATTTACTAAAAAATAATCCAATCAAGTTCTCGTATATATCGCAGTGTAGTTCCAACATAGAATCGGCCAACCCTTCCTGTCCCGTGGGTGTTGTAAGAGCCGACTAAAGGACGACGAGAGATGGGCAGCAGCGTCTCTCTTAAAACATTACAAATAGCTTGCGGTTGCCAACTCGCTTGCATAGGGGGAGGCCTATGTTCAATTGTGAAAGTGAAGTGAAATAGTGCTGCTGTGATGGTTTGTTTTTTATACAACTTAGAATGGCAAACAAACTGACGGCCCACCTGATGGAAAGTGGTAACCGTCGCCTATAAACATGAGCAGTACCATGGACATAACAGAATATACTGTTTCGCCCATGATACCCCCCATGCGTTGCCATTCCCGAGGACTCAGGTATTATTCCTCCGTACCCAGTAAATTCACGCCATATCCCACCCTTCGAACCGAAACACAGCCATGCAAACACAACTGCTTCATGGTTGAAACACGGATGGAACAGAGGTACCCAAGCAATCGACTATGTTTGACATACCTTCAGATACTCAGGCTTCAAATGCTCGCCGTGATGCAAGTCAACCAGTTTCAAGTTAAGATTTAGGTTGAGAGCCCTCGCTGTGAGCAAGACAGCCCTGCACGGCGCGGAGCCAGGCACGTAGTAGAGATCGATGGGCATTGTGCTGCAAATTATGTCCTATTAATATAATAATATTATTCATTTTGTTTGGTTACTTTTTTGTATTTACTGTGTCTGAATAGCGCCATCTACCTTTCTCTCTGTACTTATCTACTGTTTATGCCAGGTCGTCTGTAAGAGATTGCTTTTAGTAATAAGGCCGCCTTTTGTATATGCACATTCTGAGGGCCAACCATTAAATATTTTCCAAGACACCCCCGGATTAGACACCACGCCGGCATACACAGACCACCAGTGTATGCCGGCTGAAGAACCCAGTGACCCGGAGGTCGTAGCCTCCGGAGTTGAAGCCGGGGTAGAGGGGTTTACCCCGAGGCCCCTACCTCGCCCGCTTACACAACAAGGTGGACTAAAAGAGAAGACCACGTACTACTAATGTTTTCCAAAATTTCGGAGCCAAACGAAACAGAAATTTGATGTTGAAATTACATAATACATGCTATTTGGAAATATTACAAATGTTAAAATATTGTTCCTTTGGACTTTTATGATAGTATGTATGACGAACGAAATGTTAAACTCCATTTATTGGTCCGATTTTGGTATAAACAAAAACACGAAATTGAGGCCGAAATTTCGGAATTTCATTTCATAATAGACCCGCTGTATAAATACACCTTGTATACATCTCTACTGTGCGCAATAGTTTATTATTACTATTAATAGGTACGATGTACCTACCAATAAACATATAAATATGTATGTAAATAATACATATATACATAATATACGTATATATATCGCAAAACGTGCGTGAACAAATGGCAGTCGGAAATTGATGTCTAATATGGAAGGTTGTGGAACTTCTGGTAGTAATAGTGGTAGTCAGCACTACATTTTGGAAAAGGTTGGTCTATAAATAGTCATTGGTAAGTTCATTGCACTTATAAAGGTCAAACATTTACAAAACGTTATAATGTAATTAAGGAAATAGTTTATTTTAATAGCTATATTCGTGATGGACTGGGCAGATATTTTAATCGTGGGTTTTGGTACCTACTCTGTTAACTAGGGGGGAAAGGGATTGTTAGTAATGATATTTAACAGCCTCATTGCTAGCAATACACCCCATCAGGTCGACTTCCACACGGTTCCCCTTGAAACCATAGTGATTAATTCTTATTCAATTGGCCAATAGTCTATGGGCCAACTGATCTGCCTTCATCTTCACCTGTCACCCTTCACTGGTGCCTGCCAGCGTTATACTAATAGCGGAGGCGGGATTACCCTCCCATCTTTACCAATTAAAAAAAAACACTGTTTACTATAGTAACTAAGTACCTATATAACTATTTAAAGGTTCTATAATAACTACCTTTAACATTACATCACGTTGGTAATTACTTAAAAAGGTCATATTGAATAATTCGTTTTGTTATATCAAGAAGTACGTGCCAGTGTTGGCACGTTTATAACAGGTTTCCGTAAATATTTTTGTTTTTTAAATCGACTCCAAAATAGGTGATTGTCAATTGGGTTGTATTTTGGTTGTATTTTTTTTTATATTGGTTACGTCATAGGTGATTCCGTCAGTTATAAACAGATTTGAAAATTTCTTTTTCATCTAAAAAGATATGCCAGAAAAATTAATAGATACTTACTAGTATTAATACTTCCTATTACCAGCAAAATTAATTGTTTTATTTTTCTTTTTATTGTTGTTTTTTTTTTTTATTTTTATTACTGGTAATAAAGATTATCTATCTATGCTTTCAATTTGGTTTTCAAATTTAAATAACTGGTTTTGCCATAATTCAATTACCGGGTTTTATGGGACAAAACTTTTTATCACGTTTCCCATTTCTGTGTTATTTTTTTTTATATAATATAAAATAATTTAGTTAATATTTATTTATACCAATAAGTATTTACATATTTATATAGAATTAATGTGGTCGTGATTGTAAAAAAAAAAGTAATTTTGGTGTATTTTATTCATTTGTAAATGTAGTTTTTAGATAATAATAAAATTTTGTTAAAAAGTTTCCATATCTTAGTGTTAACACATGAAAACTTTTTTGTTATTTATAATAATTTGAATATAATAAAAAATAAAAAAAAAAATCATTCTTTTTCTAGCTGTCAACATGTATGTGTATTCATAAAATTTAAAATATTTAATATAAAGCAAAATACAGTTAGAACACTAACACTGATAACTATAAGTGTGTATTGTGTGCAGTTACCACAGAACCCTAAAAGCGGCTTGCATTTGTTTGAAAGTGAATAATGTAGAAATAGGAAGTAATTGGGTATTGAATTGTTTCTGTTAAATTGAGTGAAAAGGTCGCACTGACCTTCGATTTGGTGGACGATTAGAAGTTTTATTAGTGTTAAAGTTTTAGTTTGTCCATTCAATTATAATATATTTATATTATTGATTGTTTTCAATTATATAATATATATTTTTTCTCAAATATGCTTGGAAATGTGAGCATTATTTTAACAATCTTCTTGGAGATAAATCAAAATTGCCGTACTGGCCAGAAACAATGCGGGCAGCGGCCGGCAAAAGTTGTATGAAAATCCATATCTGTTGTTTTGCGGCCAGATAAATTACTATGTAAACTCATATCTGTCATAATGTCATAACTATTAAAAGGTTTTATTTAAATTTCGAACTGGCTTGCAAATAGAAAGCTGTTTATTGAAAAAAAAAAAACAAAGGAACATTATGGCGCGTGAAAAATTATTATTGTTCGTTATTCGTCATTGAGCTTAAAAAGTAAAATTGTGTTTTTGATTTCCGCGCATTGTTTGAGAAAAGTACTATACAAACCTTGGCCACAACTAGGCATCGATGGTCTCACGTTTGTGTGCCTCGGCTACGCCTCGGCCCACATTTGCACGTTCGTCCATTAATGCCTCAGTTGCTAACCACTGCAGTAATGTACTATAAAGTTTATGATCTAATACTGCTTCTTAGTTTGTATTCACACAAATTCATTATTTATATATTTAAACTTTTTGAAAAGAGCAACAGCTGAGTTTCTTGCCCGTTCTTCTTGGCGGAAATTACGTTCCGAATAGGCGGTAATGAAAAATTTACTATTAGAAAATGCTCAAATGTGATTTACTTGATTATAAATATTCCTTTCTTTCTTTCTTTTTATATATTTAGTAGTGTCAAATATTTAATCCTCACTAACATCATAAAGTAAGAAAATATGTTTGTTTGTTTCTTTGATTAGTTGCGAATTTACTATCAGGCTGAGTAGGCTCGTGTGGTCCCGGCATAGAACAGGCCACCCCTTCCTTTCCCGTGGGTGTCATAAGAGGCGACTAAGGGATGGCGAGGGATGAACAGCAGCGTTCCTGTTAAAACATCTTCAAAGCCTAACTGCGGTTGCCAATCCGCCTGCCATACGTGGCAACTATTGGCAATACAGATTAGATTTATTCGCAACATTGTATGTAATGCGAGTATTATTTTTTTATACAACTTAGAATGGCAAACAAACTGACGGCCTACCTAATGGAAAGCGGTAACCGTCGCCTATAGACATGAGCAGTACCATGGACATAACAGAGTATACTGTTTCGACCATGATACCCCCCATGCGTTGCCATTCCTGAGGACTCAGGTGTTATTCCTCTGCACCCTGTAAATTCACGCCATATCCCACCCTTCAAACCGAAACACAGCCATGCAAACACAACTGCTTCACGGTAGAAACACGAATGGAACAGAGGTGGCCAAGCAAACGACTTTTGTACAAAGTCTACCTATGGTAATTTTAATTTCTATAATTTTTAATTATAGAAATTATAATTAAATGGTTTAAAAAAACCGACTTCAAATGTGGTAAAATCAGAACTTTTGATTTAAAAACAAAATAACTGAGCGGATTTTGACAAAATATCTATTGGACCAATCTGTAAACGTAATCTTTAAAATAAAAAAAAGAAAAATCCAAATCGGTTTACATCTGACGGAGTTTTTTTTTGATGGGTGAAAATGGTATGATAACCCCCCACCTGCGCTAACGGTATACGCTTGCTGAGCACCAGTGAAGGATGATCGATGAGAATGAAAACAGGCCAGTTAGCCCGTCACTATGAATTCATCAGGAATTAACCATGATAGTTTCCAGGGAGAACCGCGAGGAGGTCGAACTGGTTGGGTATATTGCTAGCAATGGTACTCTCAGTCTCCATTACTAACAATCCCTTTCCCCTCAACTGACGGAGTTATGAGGTAACAAACATAAAACAAAATACAATCGAGTTGAGAACAAACGAAAAACGAACAATAGAAATGCTCACGTAATATTTTTTTATTTACATTATACAGGTGTATCGACTATGCTAAGCTTTCAATTTCATTTAAACTGCTAACCCATATTTATCCACCATTACGTTCACTGCCTTTTTTGCGGCAATTCAATGCGGAATTACAAGCGACTGGGTGTTATAGAAATGGCCTCAACTATAACCTACCTACCATTCAAGCAGTACCAAGGTCGTCGATCAGGCGATTCTGACAAAATTCTAACAAGTCACTGTTTTTTGTGGCGACTTTATCATCCGCGTTTGTTGCAACGAAAATTCTAGTTATATCGCTTGATTATTTATTGTCAATGTAGGTATATAAAAAGGAACATATGTATATATAAAAAAAATATTATAGAGGGGCTTTATGAACGCAATAGGACCCAAAACAATGATTTTTAGAATTTTTGTCTGTTTATCTGTACATTTGTGCACGTTAATCTCAGAAACAGCTTAACTTAGATGAGTGAAAATGGAATGGTTACCCCGCTTGCGCTAACGGGATACGTTGGCGGAGCACCAGTGAAGGGTGACAGGTGAGAATGAAAACAGTCCAGTTAGCCCATCATGATGAATTCATCAGGAATTAACCATGATAGTTTCCAGGGGGAACCGCGAAGAGGTCGACCTGGTTGGGTATATTGCTAGCAATGGGATTCTCAGTCTCCATTACTAACAATCCCTTTCCCCCCCCCCCCCCCACTGACGTGTGGTTTATCTTTACAAGTCATTTTGAAAAAAATATTTCATACATTTTTCTAATTACATTTATACACACGCGTATAATGTAGCAGGCAAAAAGTTCGTAAATAAAAATACAACAGGAGTCATTAGACATTTGATATTTCAACAAATATCGAGAATAACGTTAATTGTTAGGATTATAAATAAAAAAGAATAGACTCGTGGCCTTGTTCGAACAAAAACGATGAAATAATACATACTTAGTTGCAAATCTGTTTATAAAAGGTACAATGTATAAGTTTTATAAACGAATATTGAAAATGAAATAATTTGCTCCTGTAATCCTTATACAGCCACAAAATATATTACTAGTATTTAATGTCGAAAACAATTGTTTAGGAGTACCCTAACGATAGGGTCCTTTCCGACATCATAGTATAATAAAGGACCCTAGTCAGTTATTACCCTAACTTGTTTTTATTACTACAATTGCTATAAATAAGAGTATTATATCAAATGATAAATAAATTCTTTAAATAAGAAAATATTTACCATTCAAGGTAGATAAATAAAGTACCTGGCTGTCAACACACATTCAATAACAATATTTATATTATCACATTGTGTATGTACTTTAATAACTTGATAACTTTACGTGTCTTGAGTCGACTCAGTATATTGAACACGGCTATTAAAATGCCGGCCGGTTACAGTCATCAACAAATTGCAATAATTATTTTAGTGGCGTAATAGATTTCTTTTAAAGGGTGATAATGGAATGGTAAGCCCACTTGCGCTATGGGTATACGCTGACGGGGCACCAGTGAGGAATGATAGTGGACGATAAAAGTAAATCTTCTTCAGTTTCTAGGGGGAATCGCGTGGAAGTAGACCTGAAGGGTGTATTGCTGGCAATCCCTTTTCCTCCGCCATAATAGGTTAGGGTTCCATCTGACACCATAGTATCAAAAGGTACCCTACCCTATTGTTATATTATTCGTATACATAAGCTGCTATCAGTGGTAAATAAATTATTTACCATTCGAGATAACAAGGTAGATAAATAAGATACCGAGCTGTTAACACACATTCAAAATAACATATTATCACATTATGTAAACTATTATAAAACTAGATAACTTTGCGTGTTTCCAACTGAGTTTCTAGAACACGCCCATTAAAACGCCGGCCGGCTTGCATCAACAAATTGCATGTGTATGTATGAATAACGTTATCTGTACATACCTATTATTATTATAAATGCGGAAAATTCTAATTTTAGTTGAATGTTTGTTACTATTTCTAAAACAAAAGCTTCGGAACAGGTTTGAATTAAATTTGGAATCGGGATAGATTACATCCTAATTATATATATATATATATATATATATATATATATATATATATATATATATATATATATATATATATATATATATATATATATATATATATATTATTAACCACATAGATACACCATTCTTTTGGTGTTTTTTTTATCTATAGCGCTGTTGTTACGATATTTAAAATGAAGTCCTAGGTTAAATTCTCAGTCGAATACATTTAGAAACTTCTTTGAAAGATGTTCATTAGCTAGTTTCTCATACTAATTTCAAGCGTAATAACAATTAGATTCACTATTGTTATATTTTTCAGGGTCGGGTTTGATTGAAATATCGTACCTATAAGCAACTCACAATCAATAATTCCTAATTACATGATTCATTATGCACCTTTAACTGACGTGGGAAGCAGTTACGATTAAAAACTGGTTCGTTTGTAGGTAGTACTTAATTTTAACTAGTTCTTTGTTAACTTTCACTTTGTGTTTCAACTATTTGGTCAGTTATTTTTGTTAAACCAAATTTAAATTATGAAAGTTGTATAATGTATAACTGTAAATTGTTACTACAAGCATTTAATTGTAATAACAATAAGTATTTGTAAAATTCTAGATTATTCTATTATCTATTTGAATATAATGTATTTGCTTTAGACGCGAATGCAAAACGAGAACCAAAAATCTACAAACTGTTTGCACGTGTAGACATAAAACTGGCCACAAACACACCACGCACAAAAAATAATTATAAAAAAGAAAAGAAAAAAACTTACGATTTGATGTTTTAAATTTAGAAACTAAGGTACAGTGAGGCGTATGCACGAGTGTGGATGGAGTAACTGAGTAACTGCGAGAGGAGGGAGGTCATCTGTTTTATAGCTGCGCTGTATTCGTGACGCATGCCCACGAAACTAAGTTTTCCCACTTTAGAGGTTTAGTGTGTTTTAACAAATGCAAGTCACAATTATAATTAAAGGACTAATTAAATATTCAAGCAGTTGTGAAGGAATTGATTCCAGTTTTTTCTATTTATAAATAATAATTTATACGGGATAAATTAGGTAGGTATGTACGTCATAGATTAATATAAGTTTTCCCAAAAGACTCCATCATGGAATTCCTTAATAAAGAGTTAAAAAGAAGCTCTTTTTAACTCTTTATTAAGCCTGGTTTCGTAGATGTTTTTAGGCTACGACAACTGCTTACAATCAGGCTTGTTTACTATCTTAGCGGTAAAAAAAAAATATGACTAGTCACAATTTTTTTTTATTTATTTTATTAAACTTACTTAATTATTAAGTCTGTTTCTTATTGGGGTGGTAATGAAACAATTAATGGTCATAAATTTGTATTCAAGCGGACCTCTTTCCTTTTCTACATTCTTCACATTCATAAATCCATTTATACAAGCATGTTGGTTACAAATTCACCTGAATTATTATTTTTATTTATCTAAATAATAGACAGATAGAGTCTAGACTCTAGATTCTAGACTGATCACTGTTTGTTTGATTAATTTCAGATATATTGACGGCGTTTACTTATACAGAAAAATTACCTTTTAATAGGCTTCAAACCTGAGTATTTTAATAGGTTTCAAGCTTTAGAAAGAAAAAAAAAAGAAAAAAATGTACTATCGGCACCAAAGATCATACATCTGAGTATTTCAATAGGTCAAAAGCTTTATAAAATACAGAAAAAACAAAATCCCTCCGCGCATAACCACATGAAATTTATTAGGTTTGCTCCCCTGGGATTTGCCAAAATTCCCTTTTTAATGCTCACTGACGTTTCGTAACATAAGGAAACTGTATATTTTATTCGCGTTCGTACTCATCACTTTCGGCTATCCGTTGATTAGTTGATAAATCAGTCAGTTTTTCCTTGTATCTGTATGTTCATAGATTGTGTTAGTAATTGTATAGTTAATTATTAGGAACTTAATGGATTTATTTAAGACTTTTTTCTATAATAAAATAATAATATTTGATTGTATACATTAGTATCTATTTTTTTTCTCAATGTCCTCTACCCAAAGGTTATCTGGAAGAGATTGCTTAGAAATAAGGTTGCGCTTTGTCTTTCACATGTCTATTTTTTTACATAGAGGGCAAACGATCGCTCATGATCACTCGTAATACCAGAGGCATTGCAGGTATACTGCTGGCCTTTTAAAAAGGAAAATACTCTTTTCTATATATATATTAGTATTTATATTATAGTGCTCCACCTTCCCTTTATCTTTTTTCTCAATGTCCTCTACCCAAAGGTTGTCTGGAAGAGATTGCTTAACGAGCCGCCATTTTATATCACTTTATATTAATATTTATTGCATTTATTGTAATATAAATATTAAAAATAGACAAACTCACTTTCACATGTCTATTATCTGTGGTAATATTAAGGATTAGGTATACAAATGTCACTTATCGGACAAACTTAGACACAAAGTCAGATCACGATAAATGTAGGGACAACTTGCAAAAGTAAATATTTTTTTAGGAAAAATAATCTTTTATTTGTTATTTGAAATATCATCCTCATCATCATGTCAGCCATTATCCGTCCACTGCTGGACATAAGCCTCCCCCATAGATTACCATAAAGAACGGTCCTGAGCCACCTGTATTCATTGACTCCCTACAACGCATTTCAGATCGTCACTCCGTTTAGTAGGCGGTCGACCTACACAGCGTTTACCCGTACATGGTCGCCACTCAAGAACTTTTCTTCCCCATCGGTTGTCAGTTCTTCGAACTCGATTTGAAATATAATTACATCTAATTATACAATGACATTTTTTTGTACAATTTCAGAATTAGTCTAAATACAGGGGGAGAGGAGATTGGTAATAATGGGAATTACCAAGCTCATTGCTAGCAATATACCCTATTAGGTAGACCTCCACGCGGTTCCCCCTGGAAATTATTGTGATTGATTTATTCACGACAGGTCAACTGCCCTGCTTCATCCTCACTTATCATCCCTCACTGGTGCCCCGCCAGTGTATACCATTAGCGCAGACGGGGTATCCATTCAATTATCATCCATTAAATTAAAATCTAAAGACACTATGTGAACTTAACACGACGTCAATTATAGGTAAATAATAACTACATATTTTACTTTTATTGTCGACATTTCAACATGGATTGTACCGCATCGTGACTACGATACTATTTATTAATACACGGCACTATTATATGTATACGGTATTAAAAGGTACTTACATACATACATTTTACTATCTACCTAAATTTACGTCGTGTTATGTCCCAATCATCGTCAACATTATTTCAGTCGTCATCTGTTCATTGCTGAACATAAACCTCCCCTTGGAGAGTTTTGCCAGTAGTTGCCACGCTTGGCAGGCGGATTGGCTACCGTAGTTAGGCTTTTATTTAATGGATGATATTTATTTATTTACACTTTATTGCACCATTTATAAAATAGTAAATACATTTAACTCTAATAAGGAATGATACAAAAGGCGGTCTTGTCGCTAAGCAATCTCTTCCAGACAACCTTTGGGTAGAGAACATTGAGAAAAGAAAGAAAAACATGGATGATAATGGAATGGTAACCCCGCCCGCGCTATCGGTATACACTAGCGGGGCGCCAGTGAGAGATGATTGGTAAAGATGAAAAGGCAGGTAAGTTAGCCCATTGTAAAGAATTCAACGATAAATTAGTCATGGTGGTTTCCAGGGGGAACCGTGTGGAGGTCGACCTGATAAGGTATATTGATAGCGATGGGAACCAACCTTCCTATCACTAACAATCCCTTCCCTTCGCAGTTAGGCTTTAGAGATGTTTTGAGAGGGACGCTGCTGCCCATCTCTCGCCCTCCCTTAGTCGGCTCTTACGACACCCACGGGAAAGGAAGGGGTGGCCTATTCCATGACGGAACCATACGGCAATGTGCCAATAGTGTATTTATATGTCCCCAATAATGTATTTTGGGCGGGAAAGGGATTATCAGTAATGGAGACTGAGAATCCTATTGCTAGCAATATACCCAACCAGGTCAACCTCCTCGCGGTTCTCCCTGGAAACTATCATGGTTAATTCCTGATGAATTCATCATGATGGGCTAACTGGCCTGTTTTCATTCTTATCTATCACCCTTCACTGGTGCTCCGCCAGCGTATCCCGTTAGCGCAGGCGGGGTTACCATACCATTTTCACCCATAAAAAAAAATGTATAAATACATAATGCCTTTAAAAAATATTACAGCAAAAAATTCAATTCACACATTACGCATCAAAATTACTGCTATTTCAAGAAAACAGGCGCTTATTTCGTTGATTTTTTAATAGGTGAAAATTTAATGCGCGCCTGCGCTATCGGTATATACTGGCGGGGCACCAGTGATAGCTGATAGGTGAAGATGGAAGCAGATCAGTTAGCTCATCGTGAAGAAATCATAAAGGATTAACCACAATGGTTGCCAGGAGGAACCGCATGGAGGTGGACCTGATAGGGTGTATTGTTAGCAATGGGCTGAATTTTGTTGAAATCTTTTTTTTTTTATTCCACTAAGGTGACAAACAAGCATACGGCCCACCTGATGGTAAGCGGTTACCGTAGCCTTTCTTAAAAAGAAATACAATCATGGTCGTAGGAACTCGAGACAGGAGTTCGACCTAGCCTCTGTCAGTTCTGCCGATATTGCATTATATTGCTAACAATGTTGCTACTTCTTGTCATTATTAATAACTCTCCTTCCCTCTAATGAGGTTCATCTCCTCGTGATTTCCTGTGAAAACCATCTTGATTAATTCCAAGTGAATTCGCCACGATGGCCCAACTGATCTCACCACCAGCATGTACTGATAGTGAGCTTATTTCCATTTTTACTCATTTAAAAAAAAATAGCATGCAACCATAGAAAGATATATACTAGGTGACCAAACTGATCCTTCGAGATCTCAGGTGTCGGTTGACCTCACCTGCAAGGATGACCGGATACTGGCCGTGTTTAGGATCAGTACCCATGACGAATACAATTACGACGAGACTAAACTCTTTGAAAACCTGTCTCACATTCATGTCATATTATACATTTACAATGTACTTATAGATAGTTCGTTGATCTATAACGACCGCAGCGCACTATGGTCCTTTCTTAGATTATATAGATCGAGCATCGAGCCTCAAAAACGGGTTAACTTTTTGTTTTTGACAAAAAGTTACCTGGTTTTTTTATCATTGTTCTATATATTTACGCATGAAATGTATCTTGACGTATTAATTAACAAATAAAATTAGTACCCGTAACCGGCGAGCGTGTATGACAAGATTGATGAATGTGGAAGAAGCGAAAGAGGTTTGTTTGAATCGAAGCATTTGGCGTTCCATTGTTTCTGCCTACCCTATTGGGAGACAGGCGTGACAGATATGTATGTATGTATATAAAATTAGTATTTACACATTAAAAAGATGCAGAAATTTTAAAACAAAATAAATATATTATTACTACATAGTATATAACAAAGTCGCTGTCACTGTCTGTCCGTCCCTATGTATGCTTAAATCTTTAAAACTACGCAACGGATTTTGAAACGGTTTTTTTTAATAGATAGAATGATTCAAGAGGAAGGTTTATATGTATAATACATGTATAATATAGTAGAGGAACACTAATAATTTTAGAGGTTTCTAATGTGATGTCGTAATGTAATGGGGGGCCGACGACATTATTTAGTATCAGGTTTACACCCGTGCGAAGCCGGGACGGGTCGCTAGTAATTTATAGAGGAATCACTCATAACTATTTATCACCTAAAATTGTATGAAAAAGTTGACCCGCTTTTCTCGAAGCATTTGTATGAAGACACTATTTATATCATCTAAGGGTCTCTTACATGTTCATGTTATACATAGTTTTTATTTTTTATCTGATTATTTTTTTTTTAAATAATAAATAAAGTGGATGATAATAATGAGAAGTAATGCAATAACCGCCTGAGCCTTATTGCTAAGCAGTATTTTGTTTAGAAGGAGACTTTACACAAGTAATTATGGCTACCTCTGCCCCCCTTGTGATTAGGCACTATGCAGTAAAGGTATAGTCGAATGATTGTTTCGATTTGATGTATATGAATATGACAGTAAAATTATTTAAAGCATATAGGGCCTCAGGAATCGCTAACAGTTTAACTACAGACGTCACAGTGTAATTGATGAGTTAAGTATAAGTAAAAAATAAAGGTGTGTTCTGTGAAGCATACTCTGCTAAGTTTGATAATACTAAAAGGCGAAATACTTCAGGTTATATAAAAATAAAATTATAAAAGAGCACCAAGAATTCGGTTGAATAGTAGTCCCTGTAAATAAATATATAAAACAATCGTAGTTTTGTAATTGTAGTGTAGCAATCTCACAATTGCTGATAATTCTATCATTTACAAGTTACGGACTTTGGATTTTATACGGATATTTTATCCGTATAAAATCCAATTGGACATAAAGTTACATTAGTGTTGTAACTGTGTATAAAGAATTTAAATTCCTAGAACCCAAAGTTAAAAATATTTTTATGAACGTAACTGTCATTATTTGTTATGTCGACTGTTGATTTGATTTGATATGTCAAAGTTGTCAATTCAGTTGAACGGGTCGAGTCGATTTCAACTTTCTTTTGCAAAAATTAACTGCTCATCATATATGATAATGTAAATAAGTTGCCCAATATAGTGGTCAGTGATCGTCGCTACGCGTTTATTGTGTCACAATGGGCGACAGTAGCGATTCAGACGAGTTTTATGATGCCGAGTTCACACCCATTGACGGTTCAAAGTGAGTACGAAATGTTTACACAATTTTTTATTTTACGACCTTTGCCTTAATTCTATATCCGAATCCATTTCTTAGAAGATTTTCACAGTTTATGAAATAAGCTTTTTTAATATTCTTACTGCAAAGCTTAAATATTTAATGGTGAATCTATGTTGACGTCAGTCACCATATTTCGATTAATTACAGGGTCGTCCTTGACAATAGATAGTCGTATGGACAAAAACTGTCGTTGGTAAATTATAATTTAATACCCTGAACCTATACATTGTCATAATTTAGCAGTCATCGATAGACAAACCTTTTTATATTTTTTCTTATTGACAATTGTTATAGATAATTTAATGTTTAATTGTCTATACCTATACATATCTGTATTAGCTTTTACTCGCTGCTTCATCCATATACCAGGATCTGTCTGTTAACCATGATAAAAAGTAGTCTATGTTAAGATAATGTTTAAGATAGAGAAGGCTCTTAAATAGTACATATATACCAAAATTTATAACAATCGGTTAAACCATTGAAATACCAAGAGGTAACAAACTTACTTTCAAATATATAGTGTTAAAAATGTTAATTATAGTATTAGTAAGCATGTTTAATATATTTATCTTTCTTCATAGCTAGTAATGTATTATTAATGTAATTTTGGTTACTATCTCAGGGTGACAGTTAAAGGAAAATCATTTTTATCAGATAAACAAGTGCAGCCTAGTTTATTTTCTATTTATAAATGTCACATATCTGAATAACTTATGGTTTATATCTGTGTAACAAATCTCAAAGCTATTAAAATTATAAAGCTAAGAAAATAAACAGTGCTTAATAAGGCACAGTTATGGAAAATGAGTAATTAAAATATTCAATAAGTTGTTAAACATCTATGAATTTTAAAGAATGACAATATGAAATTTTTCTGCATGCACAACCTTGCATAGGTTTGTTATATAGGAATAGTACATCAGAAACTGATTAAAAAATATATAAATGTTAATATATATAATGTAATAATCATAATTATATTTTCAGTATAAAAGATCTGCCAGAGGGGTCTGAGAAAAACCAAAGGCAAAAGAATTCGGCAGTGAAGCCGGATTCACCATCTGTGGTATTGAGTGTGTCAGGCACTGAAGTTCCTCCAGTTGAGGATGACAGGACCACAGTTAAAAGTGTTTGTATTTTTGTTCTATTACCTTCTAATATAAGTTTTTTTTTATACAACTTAGGATGGCAAACAAGCTGACAGCCCACCTGATGGAAAGTGGTAACCGTCGCCTATAGACATGAGGAGTATATATATATATATATATATATATATATTCTTTTTAATAAAATGCCTTTATTTATTGTATCAATAATCAGTTTTTTATTAGTTTCACTGTGGTATAGAAAGCCTAATAGAGGTATGTGTTAGTAGGGTAGGATAGGGACTACTCTATTAAGAATAAGGTTGCAACCATATTAATTATATTTGTTTTTTTTTTTTTATTAAACTTAAACTGATATTTTTTATTATTAAAATGTTTTAGATAATATCAAGTGATAAAGAGATTGCACTATCTATAATAATTAATTGCAGGTAGTACAGGGCCGCAAAAGATTCCAAGAGTTACGGAGGTGCATGCAAACGGAAGATGAAGATGATGATATCCCAGATACTGTGGATACAATGGACCAACAAACATTTGCCTTGGAACACCCATTCAAGTAATTTTTTATATTTTATTTTGATAATTAATGCATGACTGTATTTACAATCTACAGAGTGTAAGGTATTGGTTGGAAAAAACTAAAACAGTGGATTCAGACCATTATTCTGAACTAAAAATCAGTGTAATTATTCCTGGAAAATTTCAAATCTTTTCCTATTTTTTTTTCAATTTTTTTTTATTTACAATCATGTTTTTTTTTATACAACTTAGAATGGCAAACAAGCTGATGGTCCACCTGATGGAAAGTGATAACTGTTGAAATAATTATTAGAAAGGAAAGATTTATTCAGAGAGAATTGTGTATTTTATATTAGAATAACGAATGACAGAACAAAAAGTAATATAGAACAATAATTTTAAAAATTATGTCAAAGTCTATATATAAAATTATTTCCAGCCATTATTATTAACACACCCCCCTTAATCTACAATGTAACATAGCATGTGAACGATAAAAGTACATTGGAGATTAAAAAACTAAGAGTTATACAATACCTATGTTTGTTATACATCTTTTAAACTTTATATTACATAAAGGTTTGGTAAGCATATCTGCCCACATTTGTTCTGTTGGGATAAATTGTACATCTATCTTCTTTTCAACTATCTTTTCTCGAATAAAATGAAACCGTGTGTCAATATGCTTGGTTCGATTGTGATGGACTGGATTTTGAGCTAATTTTATAGCAGACTGACTGTCACTATATATAGTAACCCTATCAAGCTTGCCCGTTATTTCCGAAATAAACCTGTGAAGATAACAAGCCTCTTTAGCAGCTGCTGTTAGCGCCATATACTCTGCTTCAGCAGACGATAAAGCTACTGTGGGCTGCTTTCTACTTTCCCAAGCAATTGGTCCACCTGCCAACTTCATATAAAAGCCTGTATAGGAACGGCGTGTTTCAACGCAGTTCGCCCAATCCGCATCTGTAAAACCATACAGCGGTTTTCTAGTACGTCTATACGTGATTGAATAATCTATAGTACCTTTTAAATATTGAAGTACGCGTTTTGCGGCCAACCAATGATTTTTATTAAAATTCGAATTGAATTGACCCAGATAACTGGTTGCAAAAGCAATATCAGGACGTGTATGTGTGGCCAAAAAAATTAGAGATCCAATGAGCTCTTGATAAGGATAAGAACAACATTCATTCTGATCATTAGGCTCTAGCTTTTTATTTATTGGCGTATTTACAGTTTTGCAATCTTGCATGCCAAATTTTATTAATAGCTTTTCTACAAAAGTCTTCTGATTTATCTTTAATGTTTCTCCTTCGTTTGAAATATTTATGCCTAAATAATACTTTAGTATACCCAAATCCTTTAGGCTAAAATATTTTTCTAAATTATTTTTGACAGAATTAAACGTCATGTCATTCTTATAAAAAAGTATTATGTCATCAACGTAAACTGCAAGAATTACTAGTTCGTCATTGAAAAGTTTCGTATACTCACATGGCTCAGAAGGAGTTCTTGAAAAATTCATTTTCGATAAGATATCGTTTAACTTTGTGTTCCACGCACGTGGTGCCTGTTTAAGGCCATATAGCGACTTATGTAGTTTACATACCATTACCTCGCTGTTTTCAGAAAAACCTTGTGGTTGTTCCATATATACTTCTTCCTCAAGGTCACCGTTTAGAAATGCTGTATCTACGTCCATATGGCGCATCTTTAGTCCTAGTTCGACAGATAACGCAAACAATGTTCTCAATGAAGACATTCTAACTACTGGTGAAAAAGTTTCATAGTAGTCTATTCCAGCAGTTTGGTTAAAGCCTTTTGCTACAAGACGCGCTTTATATTTTACAACATTTCCTTGTGCATCTCTCTTTCGTCTAAATACCCACTTACACGGTATCACCTTCTTCCCTGTTCTATCTTCTAAACTCCATGTATTTAATTTATGAAGAGATTTGAACTCATCTGCCATTGCTTGTTGCCACTTAACAGCATCTACAGCATTTATTGCTTCCGTGTAAGTGCTAGGTTCATCCAACTCCATGACTGAACTGCATACCTGATAACTTAAAAATTCAGGACTTTTCCTGTTTCTTAAAGGATACCTGCGCTCTGTTGTTACTTTGTCGGTTACTTCTATGTACTGATCAACTAAATTATTAACTGAAGTATTTTCTACTTCCTCATGCGATTGAGCATCCTCAAACTTGTCTTCCTCCAGTGTATCTTCTACTAAGGGAACTTCTGTATTAGTAGAAAGAATAACAGGCAAAGGTAAATTATCAGTAATGTCAACACTCGGTTCAATGTTTTTAAGATTATGAAAATTATTCTCAAAAAATGAAACGTCACGAGATTTTATTACTTTTCTCGGATATTGAGTGTTACGAAAATAATATGTATTAGAATCAGTAGCGTATCCAATGAAAATGTGCTCTTCAGCTTTAATATCTAATTTATTTCTATTACAAGAAGGAATATGAACTAACGCCCTACAACCAAATACTCGGAGATGGTTTAAGTCCGGTTTCTGACCATACCATTTTTCATATGGTGTATGACAGTTTAAGGCACGATGAGGGCATCTGTTCTTTAGATATACAGAAACTTCAAAAGCGTCTTGCCAATATGCTTTGGACAAAGAACTATCAGTCAATAACGAACGAGCTTTTTCTGTGATTGACCTATTTGTGCGCTCAGCCACACCATTTGACTGTGGGCTGTAAGGCGCCGTGGTTTGATGATGAATACCCTGAGAGTTAAGATACTGAATAAAATCATTGTTAATATACTCAGTTCCATTATCTGTTCTTAACTCTTTTATATGGCTACCTAATTGTTTCTCCACAAGAGCTTGAAAAATAATAAATTTGTTTTTCACGTCAGTTTTACTTGAAATAAAATATACGAAAGTCATTCGTGTGAAATCATCAATAAAGAAAAGAGCATACCTGTTACCCTGAAAAGACGCTTCAGACATCGGGCCACATAAATCAGAATGTATGAGTTGCAGTGGCTCAGTCGCCCTTTTAAACAAAACTCTTTTAAATGATTTTCTTGCCTGTTTCGCTTTAATGCATGTTACACAAGGCTCTTTATCTGCTATTCCAAAATTAATTATAGCTTGACCTTTTAATGACTGTAAGCCAAAACGACAAAGATGACCTAACCTTTTATGCCACAGTCGATATTGGGACAAATCTGCATTATCATGCGTCACATTAAGGCTTAATTTTGTAGAATTGTTAATAGTACAGTCCAAAGTGTATAGTCCATTACAATTCGTACCATGCAATATTGATTTACCTATAATACAAAGATCATTAGAATTATAAAAATTACATCCATTTTTATCAAAAATTACAGTATAACCTTTATCAACTACACTTTGAACAGAAATTAAATTCGCCTTTAGTTCGGGAACATAAGCAACATTAGAGATTTTGTCAATTACCTTGCTTTCAGTACTAATTGAGACAGTACCAATTCCAGTACAGCTGATATCTGCACCGTTAGCAATTGTAACCTTACCATAACTTTGCTTAAAGGAGCACATCCAATCTAATCTTGAAGACATATGTTTGGTTGCACCAGAATCTATCACCCACTTGTTCATTTGTAAGCCATCAGTTTCTCCAAGAGCTTGAACATTCAATGCAGAGGAACCATGTGACGACCTGCCTATATGATTCTTCTTAAGTGGACAATCTGGACGCTTATGCCCTGGTTCTTTGCAGTCATAACATATAATAAGTTTTTTCTTTTTATATTTTCTTGGACCTACATTCGTCTTTAAAGCTGATACAGGTTCCAGATGCCGAGATGACTCATTTAGAAGTTTAGTTTTGACTAAGTCTGAAGAAATATCGAAGTTGCTATTTTCTAGTCCCATAATAAGAGGTTCATACATTGATGTAAGCCCGCCTAACAAAATCGCCGCAACGGAAGGATCTTCAATTATTTTTCCTATATCTGCGAGATCTTGTACGGTACTCATAATTGCATTTATATACTCTTCTATACTACTGAACTCTTCTAAACTAATTCTATATAATTTTCTTTCTAATGCTAATCTGCGACTCATACTACGGTTTTCATATGCCTTTTTCAACTCATCCCATGCATCTTTAGCAGTTTTGCAGTCACGTACGTGAGTTATAGCAGGGCCGTCTAAAGTCAAACATATTTTCGACAATGCTTTACGATCATTACGGATTTTTATAGCTGCGGGAGTAACATCACCTTCAGTATATCCAACAATGGTTTCCCAAAGATCTTCATGCATTAAGTAATTACGCATTTTAAATTTCCACATTGAGTAGCCCTCTTTGTTACGTAGACATATTAAGTTACTTACGCTGGAGTTTGGACAAGAAATACCTCGTGATATACTGTCGCCTGCACTCATAGTATTCGTTTTGAATATGCACTAAAATCCCATAAAATTAATGATTCGTAAGAAGATCTTCGTGCTGATAACGTGTTGAAATAATTATTAGAAAGGAAAGATTTATTCAGAGAGAATTGTGTATTTTATATTAGAATAACGAATGACAGAACAAAAAGTAATATAGAACAATAATTTTAAAAATTATGTCAAAGTCTATATATAAAATTATTTCCAGCCATTATTATTAACAATAACCATCGCCTATAGACATGGGCAGTATTATGAACATAACAGAGTATACTGTTTCGCCCATGATACCCCCCATGCGTTGCCATTCCTGAGGACTCAGGTGTTATTCCTCTGTACCCAGTAAATTCATGTCATATCCCACCCTTCAAACCGAAACACAGCCATGCAAACACAACTGCTTCACAGAAAGAAGAAGCGCTATTAAGTGCGCAATACCTACATATTATGCGTCATGTGGGTCGTAAAATTTCAAATATATTGCGTGGCGTCAAAACTAAGAAACTTATTTTGATAAAATGTTCAAATTAATTACAAGAAGACTTCATTAAAAGAAAGATTTTTATTTCACCCTGTACAGTGTTGAATTTTTAAAATGAAATTTAATACATTTATGTAATATGTTAGGATTATAGCGCACGACACAATGAGCCTGCAAAGTATGACGTCACTAGGCAGGATCGGCAGAATACTGAGCGGCGCTGCAGAATCGCATCGTGAGTATATTTCTCTCTAGCCTGCATTTCTAGATACAAATAAAAATATGTACTCTCAGACATGTCTGTGTCTAGTTGAAAGCTTCATGCGGATCCTGGGGTAGGCACCAGACAGTGAATGAATGATTGAAAACTTTTTATTGTTCCCTTAAAAGATTGATACTGATTGTAAAGATTTTTTTTATACAACTTAGAATGGCAAACAAGCTGACGGCCCACCTGATGGAAAGTGGTAACCGTCGCCTATAAACATGAGCAGTACCATGGACATAACAGCGTATACTGTTTCGCCCATGATATCCGCCCATGCGTTGCCATTCCTGAGGACTCAGGTGATTAACAATATGTACACAAATAAATGCAGTGGTTTAAATTAAAATATTTTAATATAAGAACGATATCTCTCAAATATCTTGACAGTCTTCTGTGTATGTATTTAAAGTTCTTTTTTGTGTAATCAGTATTAATAATATAAAGAAGAAAGATGCTTGCTTTTATGTATGCATGTTTGTAATGGATAAGCTAAAAAAACTATACTGATTTTTAAAATTCTTTCACCTGTAGAGAGCTGCATGATCAGCAAATGTCATACATATTGTTATATCAGCTATTAACTGTACATAGCCTCCCCCTAAGGGGGTTTTGCTAGTAGTTGCCGAGCTTGGCAAGCGTGTTGGCAACACAGTTTGGCTTTTAGTAATGTTTTAAGAGGGACGCTGCTGCCAATCCCTCGTCCTCCCTTAGTCGCCTCTTACGACACCCACGGAAAAGGAATTAGCTTATTCTATGCCGGTACCTACAGGAGTTGCCTTCCAAAATTTCGACATAGTAACCCAATGTGTCAAAAGTTTGTCTATTATGGCTAATATAAAATACTAATTTGTTATTCTATAATCTATGCTTGCGAAGCTAGAGTGGATTGCTAGTAAAATATCCTTGTATATTTTGGCGCTTTATTTCAGCTAACATTCGAGACACAGCCCCACCGGTGTCGACACCATCCAGGGAGCCGTCGACGATATCCGACGACCCTCTGCCTGCAGATAACAGGAATCAGAATGGTGAGTCAATTGGCATTTTGATTTCTTAACAATACGCTTTCGTCTGTCTGTTTTTAACATGTGCAAACCCCATCTGCATGTCGCTGCTTGGGCTCGTTGGCTACTATATGTTGGGAAGGCGAAATAACAATAATGAAAAAAATAATGAATGTAATCTTACAAATTCTACATCTCGCGCGTGTATAATAATTATTTTATATTGTTTTTTTATAAATAAAAACAATGTAGACATATTTTGTCCTATGTTCGAATTGTAAGTAGTCGAGCAGGGCGACCCTACCGCCATCTCGCGGAATAATCTCTTTTATTTACGATATTTTTTACCACTTGAGAATTAATTTAAAATGCAACACGGCGTTTTTCGTCGGTCACCGTTACAGTATTTTCAATACGTTTTTATTTATATATACACGTTAACAACCTACTTAAAAAAAGCCGGTCAACTGCAAGTCCAACTCGCACAACGAAGGTTTCGTACAAAATTATGAAGTTTAAATTTTTTTGGTAAAAAATTACAAATGTACGGTTTTCGGATTTTTTTCTTTTATTTGTGCGCGTACCTCTGGTATTGCAGGCGTTCATAGGCTACGGTAACCGCTCACCATCAGGTGGGTCGTATGCTTGTTTGCCACCTCAGTGGTATAAAATATATATATATAAAAAAATTGTACATTGCGTTAAAAATCAAGACATACAAGTATGGTATACATTTGACAAAAACTTTACCTCCATCCCATCGGCAGTCGGGTAAAAGTGTCGCGGTTTAACCGTCGGTTGGTTGCAGCGCTGGTGACGGCGGAGCCCGACGTGATAGCGAGCACGAAGGCGAACAGCCTGAAGCAGAGCCGCGGCGCCGGCGCCATCGTGGCCGTGTCGGGCTCCCGCGCCGCGCACGCCGCCCACGGCAGCCACGCCGCCCACGGCAGCCACGCCGCCCACGCCGCGCACGCCGGGCCAGTCGCGCCGCCTCGCAAGAAGAAACGCAGTGAGTTCGCACGCCTTCCATCGCTCTCTACAAGTGTCCGCTCACACAGACCTGTTAAAGGGAGCAGATATTAATCGCGTTTAAAATAGAGTATTAAGGTCATTGGAATAGGGTTTATTTTTATATCTCACTACTTTAGTTATATGAGAATGCTTGAGAGCTATTAAATGAAGACCGAAGTCCTTACTAAGGTTATAAATGTGATTGTGAGTTCGATTGCTACCTTTTGTCACCTTAATCAAATTTATTATACATGTATTATGTGGGATAAAAGTTTTTTTTTTTTATTGTGGTGAGTCAACATATTCCAGTCGTGCAAACGAAGTCGCGAGTAAAAGCTATTGTACAAGTAAACTTTATTTCAATGATCTGAAATACTTACTAATATTATAAATGTGAAAGTGTGTCTGTTTGTTACCTTATAGCGTCTTAACGGTTTAATCAATCACTATGAAATTTTGTCGTTTAGGATGAATATAGGCTACTTTTCATCCCGGTCAGGAAAAATATTTCGATCACGCAAACGATGTCGCGGGTAAAAGCTAGTCTTATTATGAACGCGATTAAAATCTGCTTGAGCATGATCGTACACTAATCGTCAAATTTCAGACACGTTCAGTTGTGCACTGAAATTTTCATGGTATCGCTGCATGTACTTTGCAATTGTCCTAATTTTAAGAGGCTACTTGTACGCTGACTAACTTTCTCTCTGCAGTTCTTGTTGTAAATGTATAATGGAATGCTACTATGATCACTGACGAAAGCGGGATACGGTGGGGAAGAGATTTGCTCTCAAGAAATAGTGTTTCTAACATCGATTAAAAAATCTTACGATTTTTTTCTTTTCGTACGTTTCTGTTTCTGTACGTTTTAGCGCAATAAATTTGTCGCCCTTTCAGATAAGAAATAAACTATGTAAATATTGAAATGAAATGAAATTTATTTACTAGATACATTGTAGAAAAGGTGTTGCATTTATGAAGTTTATGGACATCTTCATTATGTTTCGCCACATCAATTGGCATGCAAATATTAATTATTGAATTTATTCATTGGCCATTTTATACAGGTACATTATATATTTAATTTTCAATTATTTACCACATTATACAATAAATCACTACTAGTACCAAGTGCACACTTTGGTCATGCATTATAAGTCAGTCAATAAAGCTATTAACAAATATTCGTTCAACAATATAAAAACATTTTATTCAATAAGTCATTAATGGCTTTAATTTGTAATACATTACTATAATAATATCATAACAGGAAAATATATTTTTAACCGGAATACGTATTTATTTATGCCACTGAACTGGCCGCTTTGATCGTTGCTACATGTGCTAAGACGTGTTTTATATGATAATTTTTTTATATGTAATTTATCTTGTGTTTTATATCTCAATATATCAAGATTGGGGGGAAAGGGATTGTTAGCAATGGAGTTTGACAGCCCCATTGCTAGCAATATGCGTTATTAGGTCGACCTTCACGTGGTTCCCTCTGGAAACCATCGTGAACAATTCTTGTTGAATTCGTCACGATGGGCTAACTGATCTGCTTCATCCTCACCTATCGTCCTTCACTGGTGCCTCGCCGGTGTATATCGATAGCGCGGGTGGGGATACCATTCCATTATCATCCATTAAAAAAAAATCAAGATTCGTTTGTAAATATAGATGGTATGTCCAAGAATACTGTGTTTGATGTTGCGTTGTAGCTTTTTTTTTATCAATATGATGTTTGTGATAGACATTTCATTCGGTCATATTTTTTTTTATTGTACACTTAAGTCTTATTTGAAATAAAGCAACAGTTGTGTTTCTTGCCCGTTCTTCTCAGTGGAAGTAGTATTCCGAACTGGGTAATAATTTATATAAAAAAAAAAAACTATTCAAAAATGCTTATTATTAAGTTTATTTAAATAAAAATTGTTTTTATTTATTTTATTTATTTATAGATATCGGCTAAAGGTTTCATCTAAATTATAGTAACTGAGTATTTAAAGAATTTTAACTTTCAGATTTCTTTGTAAATTACGTTTTCTTTAATATCCCAATCGCGGTCATATGTATGGCCAGTGAGTAGTTACTGCATTTCTTTTGTTTTAAAATAGAATAAATTTTTGAGCTAGCCTAATGGTAAATAATTTCTGTAAACTATTGTGGTGTTTTTTAATTAATTAAACTAATAGGTCGATAACTTCTGGTTTCTGATGTAATAACTTGTCAATTATATAGGATAGAGGATTTATTTTTTGGTCCTTCAAGCCGGATTGGATTCATTGACTTATAGACTTATCTCGTACGTAATGAGTAGCGATGTTTTAGTCAAACCGTTTTTGTTGTTACAGACAAACTGCACGGCTCACAGTCACTGTCAATAGCGGACAGCGACAATCTGAGCGTGTGTACGACGGATACTGACGAATTTCGGTACGTGCGGCGCGCCACCATCGACAAGCCGCAGCTCGACTCTTTGCTCGTTGAGGTATGTGCAACTTGTATGCATATTTCTCGCTAATGGGCATATAATAAATACGGGCAAGTTCTATCTGTACATATAATAAAACTGTAGAGGTCGAATGTCTGTGCATAGAAGAAGAAAAAAAACGCTCAAAATCGAATCACTATTATCACTTTCCATTTATTTCTTTATTGACCATATTAAAACAAATGTCTGGTACAAAAGGCGGACTTAATATTACATAGCCTTCTCTCCCAGTGAAACTTTGGCAAAACAGAAATGTAATTATGCGGTAAAAAAAATTCCATCAGACAGGCCGTCACCTTGTTTGCCATTTTAAGTTGCGTAAAAACAAATAAATTATTTCAGGCAAATGTAAAATGTGAATAGGACTATTTTCCGCGCTTAGCCTTTCATTTGGGCCGTTGTGCGTATGAGTCGTGGCTAGTAAAGCCAACCCAGCTCCGCCCAGAAGCGCAGAAGCTTCCTGGGTTCTTCACAGGCCTCACGGAGCGACCTCACCGTTCCGAGGATTTCTAAACGTTGATGGGCCACAGCCTCACATTCCAGGATTACGTGAGCAGCCGTTTCTTCGGCGTCGAAACAACCTCGACATAGAGGGCTGTCTGTGGACAATGGACAATGGCCCGTTATTGTCCCTATATTAATAATTATTATTTCAGGCTTCAGTATCGAATTCGTTGAACCAAACAATGTCGTTGCCGAGTCCGGCCAGCACGATTGAGTCCCTAACGAGAGAATTCCAGGATTCACTGGAGTTATCACAATCTAAATATGGTGAGTCAAATGCAATATTGTTTTTTTTACCCTTCACTTCGGGTGTACTGTCGCCCCTATCAAATAGCTATAATGAGACACCTACTTTAACTAAGTGTAACAAATGGGGGGGGGGGGATTTTTTGTCTTGTAATTGTACTCTTATTTATTTATTTATTCTTTATTGACATTATAAAAAAATGTCTGGTATAAAAGGTGGACATAGGGTCCTATACTTAGGGCTATATATCCATAGGGCTATATACTATTGTCTCCCAGTCAACCTTTGACAAAACAGAAATGTAATAATCCTTTAAGCCTTTAAGCCGACATCACAAGGCTGGTGTGTGTATGTCGGCGTGGCATCTTTGTATGTGACATGTAAATATACTTGTTTTTTGTACTGGTGTCGTCTGCAGCGGCCCTGGAGCTGCAGTCGTCGCAGGAGCGCGGCAGCCCGCCGCCGGCCCGCGCCGGCTCTACACTCGACGTGCGAGACCTGGCTAAAGGTCAGTCTTCATCATCATCATCATCATCATCATCATCACCATCATTTCAGCCATTATCCGTCTACTGCTAGACATAGGCCTCCCCCATAGACTGCTATAAGGAACGGTCCTGAGCTACCTGCATTAGAAATAGTAGTATCTCGTAGCACTATTGCTTTCTAATCTATAGTATAGACATATTTTTTATTTCGTACATGTATCTTCCCTCTTCTTTATTGTCTCTCCTCTTTTTCATCTTTGAGAAATGAGTTTAGGGTACAATAGGGCTGATATACCTGAAGAAGATAAAAGGCCTCAAAATAATTAAAAAAAAAAAAACAAAAATTCTTACCTCTCTTTCATATCTCTCCCTCATCTCTCTCTCCTCTCTCGCCCCTCTCATATCGCCCCTCTCTCATCTCTCCCCTCTATCTTGTCCTTCTCTTATCTCTATCAGTATCCAATAGCGGGATGTGGGGGGAAGGGATTGTTAATAATGCGGACTACCAGTCCTATCGCTAGCAATATATACACTCAGGTCGTCTTCCACGTAGTTCCCCCTGGAAACCATCGTGCTGAATTATAGGTGTATTCATCACGGTGGGTTAACTGACCTGCATTTTTATTTTCACCTATCATCAATCACTGGTGCCCCGCCAGTGTATACCGTTATCGCAGGCGGGGTTACCATTACATTAACATGCATAGCGGGATGTTAATAGTTATCACGATTTGTCGTCAGGCAGTGACATCCGCGCGGAAGATGACCGCAGTCGAGGCAGCGCTAGAACTCACAGCGAAGGTCGCGCCTCGCACTCCAGCCTCGGCAACGCGCACAGGTCAGTGCTGACAGCTTTAACCACATATTTTCAACCAAAGAGAAATAGAGTCCTCTATTCCTTTGACATTTACAGTTTCATCCACTTGCAATTAGTAATTTACATGTTTTTATATGATACTAGCTGTATCCTGAAGCTTTACTCGCGTGAATTAGTACATAAGGTTTTTTTAATGGGTGATAATGGACTGGTAACCCCACCTACGCTAATGGTTACACTAGCGGGGCACCAGTGAGGGTTGGTAGGTGAGAATGAAAAGGTAGGTCAGTTAGCCCATCGTGATGAATACGTGTGGAATTCAGCACGGTGGTTTTCAGAATGCACTACGCCGACCTAACCAATATACCCTATATTGCTAGCAATGGGACTGGTAGTCCACATTACTGTGTTAAATTAAAAATTTTGTTGAATAATTAAAAAAAAAAAATAACAAACATCCGTAAAGCAATTGTGTTCGCATGGCTGTGTTTCGGTTTGAAGGGTGGGATATGGCCTGAATTTACAGGGTACAGAGGAATAACACCTGAGTCCTCAGGAATGGCAACGCATGGGGGGTATCATGGACGAAACAGTATACTCTGTTATGTCCATGGTACTGCTCATGTCTATAGGCGACGGTTACTACTTTCCATCAGGTGGCTGTCAGCTTGTATGCCATTCTAAGTTGTATAAAAAAAAAAAAATTCATTGATATAACTTCCGCATTTAAAATATTAACATGATCCTCTTAAAGACATGTTCAATCAATGAATTTTTCTAAAGAAAAATGGGGCATAAAATGACAAAATAAATGATAACCTACAGGCGTGGTACGCTGGAGCGCAGCGGCGGTGGAGGAGCGGCAGCGGCAGGGTCCCGGCGGCGGTCGGCCGGCGACTCGCCGCAACTGGGGCTGGCGCTGCGCACGCGCACCACCTCGGGCCACCAGCTCTCCGACATCGAGATCCTCGAGCAGGTCACCGTGCTCAACCTCGACACCGGTACGCCCACTGATCAGCTTACCTTGTCTTACCACATGGGGTAAAGGAATTGTTAGTAATGAGGTTTAACAGCCCTATTGCTAGCAATACACCCTATCAGGTCGACTTCCATACGGTTCCCCTGGATACCTTAGTGGTTGATTTTTGATCAATTGGTAACTATGTGCCAACTACCTGCCTTCAACCTCACCTGTCATCCTTCACTGATGCCCCACCAGCTTATACCGGTAGCGTAGGTGGACCATAACCATTCCATCTTAATCAATTTAAAAATGTCTTATCAGACTGGAACTTTGTACAGAAGTTCCATGGTATGTGCATGGTAGGCATGGGTAATATAGATACCGATCCGATATCTTTATATTAGATTTCTCTGGATGTTGCAAAAAAAAAGTTCATAACTCGTTACGATAGGAGGGAAAGGGATTGTTAGTAATGGAGACTGAGAATCCCATTGCTAGCAATATACCCAACCAGGTCGACCTCCTCGCGGTTCTCCCTGGAAACTGTCATGGTTAATTCCTGATGAATTCATCATGATAGGCTAACCGGCCTGTTTTCATTCTCATCTATCACCGTTCACTGGTGCTCCGCCAGCGTATCCCGTTAGCGCAGGCGGGGTTACCATACCATTTTCACCCATCAAAAAAATCCATCTAGTGGGAGATCGTCCTACACTATTATATACAATATATAGATTTTACTATATATTACCTACCTTTACTGCTATGACTTATAATGTATGAATAATGTAAATATATAAATGTAAAATATACATTTATATATTCACATTATTGTACATATGTATATCTCTATATGTATTTAAAAAACGAACAGAGTTTCGTGCCTCCGGTGAAACTGTTTATAATTACTCCTCTCCATCCGAAGGTTGCCTGGAAGAGATCGCTTTTAGCGATAAGGTCGCCCATTGTTTTCTCATTGTGATCATTTCTTGTAATTGTTTATATTTATAATAAGTTTACTATTGTAATCTTATAGAGTAAACAATAAAGAGTATCTATCTCTATCTGTATAGTGTGTTGTCCTTTAACGGGTGGAATACAAAATAGATAAAAAAGCATTTTCTATGTATTTTACAAGAGAGATTCTTCTAAAATATATCTAATACATGTATGTATAATGTTCCATTTTCATTTTCATAATAATTACATTTAATATATAATTTACTCTATGGATTACAATATGCCATAATTTATTTAAATATACTTTAATACCGTCGCTATATAAATTACCGCCAAAATTTAAATATAGAGTGCTCAAATACTCCACTTTTATTTTTTAATTTATATTTGAACATCTCCCCTCTGCTGCAGGGGAGCGCGTCCCGCTGAGTGTAGCGGAGCACAAGTTGCCGCAGTGCATCAACCCGCTGAGTCTTCACATCATGCGGCTCACCTCCGAGTACATAGGGCGCGCCAACGACGACGATAATGCAAGGTCAGTGCTACCACCATTCCGTTATCATCCAGTGACAAAAAAAAAAGAACACCGATTAAGTAATCATTGTTATTTAAGAGTCGGCACTGTTCTTTATATTAACGAAACTGGAAAATAAATCTATGCAACCATTAGAACTGTCGACAGAATAAACGAATATTCATTGTCTGATTACACATTATTTATAATATGCCTTTATATTAGAGAAATATATCGATTTTAGTATCTTTAAAAAATATAGCGACTTTATGGTCTAAAATTTTTAAATTCAATTAACTTGTATATAGCCCTTATTTTTTTAGTGTGAATATATTAATTAAGTAATATCAAAATGTTTTTGCGTATATATTACGATGATTATTATTATCGTGATGTCTTCAAAAAATGGATAATAATATACATATATATATTATCTTTTCCATTTCGCCGATTTTAAAAATATTTTGAATATTTATTTTATAATTAACAGAGTTTACTCCAGTGTTGCTTTTATAAATTCTTAAGAACAAAATTTTAAATTATTAACTTTAATATTTATATAGATATCTGTGCTTGTATTCAAATTGTCACAGATTATATCGGAATTAATGAATAATATCGTAGATTTGACATCATTGGTCCTTAAATTTGTGAATTATATTTACATATAATTAATCTTAATTATTATTATACTTTTATTAAATAAATGCTTTCTATTTATTTATTTGTGATGCCAACATATAATTGATGTCGATTTGGCACTGATATTTTTTTTATAAAATTTAATTTACTCTGGCTCAATATTATTGTTGAGTGCAAGCGGGATGGCAGACAGCTTAGTTATTGTTTAGTTCTATCTGTGCGATTGGAACATAAGCAAGATGGAAGCTACGCGGAATGTTACAAAATTCATATTATTAAAAATATATAATATGTATTACTTTATTTTTATGTTTTCGGGAAAGTTTTCAGTGGGTTATAAGTTTTCTACTAACAGCATGATATAAAACTAACATTTTCAGCGAGGTCAAGTCGGTTAAAGTTAAGAAAACATGGCGGAGATATGTGTCATTGAGTGTTTACGCTACGTTCGGCCCCGTGAGGCAAACCTTGGCGATGCGAGGGCCTAAAGCTAACACCATGAAATATAGGTTTTTATAATTTTAGAGGTTTTTTTTTTTACTAATAATCATGAATATTTGGTATGGGATTGGTTACATAGAAAGTGTATCATTGTTATCATTTGACAATTTAACGAATTCATCATGCTATTAATATTTGAATTTGTTGTAATATTGATTCAATAAGGGTGTGGTTTTAGCTTTATTTATCGTTAACATAGATATACAAAAAAAAAAAAACTGAGAATAATTTTCTTGTAAAATGCTTAATTAAATTAATTATAAATTATAATAAATAAAATATTTAATTATGAAACGATGACTTAATGATAATATGAAGTGATTTTTGGACTTAAAATAATTATATTTTTATCACGTGTGCTAATAAATGTCATTGGTTGGTTAAAAATGAGTACCTAATCTAATTACATACGTTCCATTCATACACGGATGATGCATGATACAGTATGTTCCTACTGTAGTGCTGTTTTATAGTTTGTGTTTCGTATTTTTTTTTTTTTGTATATCAATGATCGTCAATCATCATCAATCAAAAGGTGTAAGAGATATTTATTAAAATTGTACATAAATAATATTTAATCTTTAATTTTAAATGGTTCAATAAATATATATGCCAAGATTTAAGATGGCTGTGAGTTAAAAAGGTACCCTACAGAGGAATAACACCTGAGTCCTCAGGAATGGGGGTATTATTCAATTCAATTCAATCATTTATTGCTATTACATGTTGTAACAATATTGGTCTTAAGTTATTATGGGCGAAATAGTATACTCTGTTATGTCCATGGTACTGCTTATGTCTATAGGCGACGGTTACCACTTTCCATCAGGTGGGCCGTCAGCTTGTTTGCTATTCTAAGTTGTATAAAAAAAGTCACGTGGCCTAAGGCGTGGCGTAAATAGTGTGGGTTCAGATGCCGCCTGTATCGAAATTTTCAATCGCACAACACCTTTTCCTTTCGTGCTTTTCGTGGTTATTAAAGTCAAATTCGTGTTTCCTTTGGCTTTTTTGTTGTTGTGAAATCGTTAGCAACCTAAATTCTAAAATAGATTCTAATTAAGAAAATAGATTTTAAGATAGATTCTAAATTCTAAGTAGGGTTTGGTATTATATCTCTTTCAGACCTGAACGATACGGGCGTGAGTTGTAACTTTAAAAAATTCTAAAATCGCGCGCAATTCATTTTTACGCACGAAGCTGAAATAACATGATAGTGAGATTCTAAACCAGCCAATAAGAAATCATTTTAGCGGTTAGGTGGTGCAGTAGTCTCGTGCGTGCCGGCAAGATGGCTCGGCTCCAAAACACGAAAATATATTTAATATGAAAGAAAAAAATCTTGGGTCTGAAAGGGATATAGCAATATCTAAATATTGTAGTTACAATATCTATACATATATTGGCTCAATAACAGATATAGTAGATATCGGTTATTCAATCTAAAATAATGAATATAGATAGAAAGAAAGAAAGAAACTTTATTCTACAGAAATATGCGACTACACCCACACAGGGGTTAAATATATATATATAAATATTAGAATTATAACAACGAAACTACACACAATATTTATATGTATATAAAAAAAGAATATAAAATTCTAAAAGAAAAAAAAAAAACAATTCGTATAATAACAGTTTCATCCAAAATGTGTGTATGTGTGCGTGTGTCGCAATACCTGCAAAATGAGGTGCGTGCTCAGCATTGTGCTGTAGTGTCAGGGACACTGCAGCGCTGATTTTCAGCACGAGCCTCGCCAACCCGCGGGCTCCTAATAATAACAATAATGTTTGAATAACCTGACCAACACAGTGGTGTGCTTAAAGTGTATTGTGTAAAAAAAATATAATAATGGTTTTATGTAATATTTTATTATATATTTCAATATTTTAATTAACTGTTTATTTGTTTATGTTTTAATAATTGTAGCACTTCAGCTGCCCGCTAACGAAATGCTTTCTTACTGTACTGGGTTGACTGGAAGAGATCTCTGTCAGAGATAAGTCCACCCTTGCTCACAACATTTATAAATACATTATTTTATATGTAACTTACAAGTGCAATCAAGAATATATATAATATATTTGTGGTGGGTATGTATTAAATAGGGTAGATTTCCGATTGGTATTGTTGATATCACTATGGGTCAATAATCAATGTCCAAAAGAACTCAATATATATATATATATATATATATATATATATATATATATATATATATATATATATATATATATATATATATATATATCAGATATTACACATCTCTACTTGTAAGGGAGGGTTTTTTTTTTGACGGGTGAAAATGGCATGGTAACCCCGCCTGCGCTAACGGGATACGCTGGCGGAGCACCAGTGAAGGGTGATAGATGAGAATGAAAACAGGCCAGTTAGCCCATCATGATGAATCCATCAGGAATTGACCATGATAGTTTCCAGGGAGAACTGCGAGGAGGCCGACCTGGTTGGGTATATTACTAGCAATGGGATTCTCAGTCTCCATTACTAACAATCCCTTTCCCCCCTGTAAGGGAGGGTTAAACTACTGAAACTTGACATTTTGGTCAAAGAAATATGATGGGTCGAAAATTGAGAAATAACTTTTGAGTTTTCCACAATGGTGGACTAAGCCCGTCAGGAGCTCAGAGCAGAGAAGCCAAATAAGACCCCTAGTTAAGGAGTTGATGTAATTTCATAAGCTTTTTAAACAGTTCACAAGTGTTTTTGTTTTTTTTTTAGTTTAAATTTTGCAACTAAAATTTAAATTTGACTTAAATAAACATACATTCCCGTGTGGTCCTGGCATAGAATAGGCCACCCGTGGCAACTACAGGCAGAACCCCCCAAGGGGGGAGCTTATGTTCAACAGTGGACAGTTAAAGGCGGATATGATGATTACACGTGCGTTAGCCATAGATAGAGGACAAGGGATGGGCCGCAGCGTCCCTCTTAAAACATCTCTAAAAACCTAACTGCGATTGCCAACCCGCCTCCCAAGAATGGCAACTACTGGCAAAACTCCCCTTATGGGGAAGACTTATGTCCAGCAGTGGACGGTTAACTAAAAAATGATGATTATGATGAAGGATAGCATGGGTGGGTTCGTAGTGTGGCCAGCGGCTAACGATTTGGGTTTGGCTGCGTCGTGAGCCGAGTGTTGCGTGTCGCGTGTCGCGTGTGTGAGTACGGATGCGCGTGCGCAGGGAGACGGACGAGGAGAGCGAGAGCGTGTGCGGCGCGGGCGCGGACGCCGCCCCGGCCGGCCGCGACCAGCGCGCCGCCGACCGCCACACCGCCGCCATCCGCAGGAGGACCGACAAGTGAGCCACGCTTATATTATTCATTTTTTTCAGGGCGGAGGGGGGGGGGGGTAGGAATGAGGTGTCGCAGTTATCGCCAGCGAGTCCGTGAGACAGAATGAGATAGCGATGTCCAATTCGAATACGAATTCAAGTCGTCTCTAATCAAATATACTTGTTTGTAAGCAAAAACTAAAATTGTCATTTTTTTAAACTACTACAGGATATTAATGTCTTAAACGAGGTTCTCGAGGAATTACTTGATTTATTTAATCGTTTTTTTTTTTTTACAATAAATAACATGCGGTGTTCTGAATGGATGGATAATTTTTGTTGACAATTGTTTTTTCTATTCCGTTACCATGGCAACGCGTGCATTTCTCGGTTGCCATAATGCAACTTTTATAATGATTGTACTGCAGAGTTTGGAAAATTGTTATCTTCTGAAAAGAACTGGCAAGAAACTCGACAATAACTAAATATAACATATATGTAGTACAGTACAGTACAGTAGATGCTTTTTAAATTATGCTGTTTTTTTTGGTTTGTTTATTTCTTTATGTATGCAACTGTACGAGTCGTGCGTAATTCTATAAACAAATTCTTTCTTTCAATCTCATTCTAGCTCATGGACTCGCTAGCGAAATACTGTTAAGAATAGAAAAAAATATATTATACAAATCATGCTAGTTTATATTATGAGTGTATACTATTATATATATAAATGTTCCTATTTGCGTAGCAATCGAACCCACAACTATTAAAACTTGAGGCAGTATGTACATCTACACAGTCAACGAACTAAATGTTTTTCAATGTCCATGAACTAAACGTTTATTTCGTGCACATAGGGAGCCACTGGGCATTGTGAAAAGTCACTCGCAGGGCGATATAAACGTGAAAACGAAGCACGATTCCAACTTCAGGTGATGCGACAAGTAACACTAACGAGTTTAGCTTCGATGCCTACAATAATTTACTTTTGACTAAACAAGTGTGTTGAGCGCAGAACAAAAAACTGAATTCATAGATAGAGGATTTTTTTTAATCTTTCGACCGTTTCACTTATCATATGAGGTTAAGTTTGAGACACCTTAAGCTTGTCTTGAAAAGGTTGCTCTCAGCAATAAGACCGCCTTACTGTACTTATACAATTGTATCGTCGCGTTTGTAAATTGTCTTGCTTATTCCCTATATTGTATAATGCAAATAAAGTATACTCATTCATTCATTCATTCATATCCGACAGCTCCGACATCGTATACTAATAGCACAGTCGGAGTTACCATTTCAGTTTCACTCATAAAAAAAATAGCGATAAAAAAAAAAATAGTGGCATACGTTTGTCCTTAAATTCAGGAAATCGATTCATATTGCTAATCCCATCTCATAAAACATTAATCTTACTTCCCACACGGAGTATTGTTGCCACTTATGGGCAGGAGCACCTAAATCGAGCTTGAATCCTTCGATTCAGGGGGGGGAAGTAATTGTTAGTAATGCGGATTATCAGTTCCATTGCTAATAATATACCCTAACAGGTCGACTTCCCCGTGGTCTCCCCTGGAAACCATCGTGCTGAATTCCAAGTGTATTCATCACGATGGGCTAACTGATCTGCCTTTTCGTCCTCACCTATCATCTATCACTGCTGCCCCGCCAGCGTATACCGTTAGCGCAGGCGGGGTTACCATTCCATTATCATCCATTAAAAAAAAATCCTTCGACTCAGTGCAACAACGAGCTATGAGAATTGTTGATGATCCCAGGCTCACAAGCGGTATCGAACCCTTTAAGTCTTAGCAGAGATTTTGCCTCACTCTGCTTGTTCCATCATTTGTACAGCGGATTGTGCTCAGAGGAATTGTCCAATTTGATGCCCACGACCACTTTCTACCATCGTACAGCTCGCCATCGACAGGTAGTTCACTCACCATACCTTAGACTGTAGATGATCACGTACAGCGCGGTTTCAAAAATGTTTCCTCCCACCAATGCTCAAGAATCAGGATTGGGCTCCCTGCTGAGGTTTTTCCAAGACACTACTGCATGGGGTTCTTAAATAAAAGGATTAAAGAGGTTTATTCAGGGTCGGCAACGCGCGCGTAATACACCTAGTATTGCAGGCGGTCATAGGCTACGGTAATTACTTACCATTAGGTGGGACGTATGCTTGTTTTCCACCTCAGTGGTATAAGAAAAACATAGGGACGTAGCGTTTAGCTATGTAGCGACTTAACAAACTGTTTAGTTTTTTGTTCTGCGGTCGAATCTAGTTGAGAGAGAGCATACTAAAATTGTAAAATATATTGGCTTTGTTTCATAATAGCGTATCGTTTTTTTTTTGATGGGTGAAAATGGTATGGTAACCCCGCCTGCGCTAACGGGATACGCCGGCGGAGCACCAGTGAAGGGTGATAGATGAGAATGAAAACAGGCCAGTTAGCCCATCATGATGAATTCATCAGGAATTAACCATGATAGTTTCCAGGGGGAACCGCGAGGAGGTCGACCTTGTTGGGTATGTTGCTAGCAATGGGATTCTCAGTCTCCATTACTAACAATCTCTTTCCCCCCACCCATCCAAGTTAGATATTATAACCCTCTAGAAAAGATAAATTACCTTTCAAAAGGCCGGCAGCATACTTGCAATGCCTCGGGTGTTGCGGGTGATCATAGGCGACGGTAGTCACTTACCATCAGGCAAGCCGCATGCTCGTTTACCCCTGTGTTATATAAAAATGTTTTATTATTACATACACAACGGGTCCATTTATACTAGAGGAACACATATGGCCAAATGATCGAGTGTTCATAATGATCTGATTATATTTACACGATAAGGGTTTAAAAGGTCAATGACCTTTATTTACCTATCCGAAAATTTATTTTTACCATTACAGTAGTTGTATAAGTTTGTAATAAAATTGCATTGATAATCCAGTTTAGTACCTAAGGTTAATAACAGATGGCGCTGTCAAAAAGTTAGTTGTAGTTTTATTTGTTATGTATGCTAGATAGGTGTTTTATAATTGAATAAAAAACTCTCATGTACAACGATCCGACATTATCGGCATTAAGTCCGCCCTGTATACATTTTACAATGTGTGCAAAAGAATAAATAAATAAATCACTGATTTATTTTATTTCGACACCAGAGGACGCTCGTGCATAGTTCAGTGCTGGATTGTGTGTACAATAGTTGCCCCGCTTGACAGGCATTTAGTAATTATGAAGTGCATCTCTCTAATGTTACACGTGTGCCCCTCGGACGGCAGACTGAAGCGGTTCTTCGGCAGCACGATGAAGCGCACGGTGGAGGCGGCGCGGTCGCTGGCGCAGGAGGTGTCGCAGGCGCGGCACAAGGAGGACGTGGCCGACATCGCGGACGACGTGCGCGGCGACCACAACATCAAGCTCAAGGCCTCCAACTCGCACAAGGGGCCCTACGACTTCGACGGCTGCGTGAGACACGTGCAGGTGCGCACGATTGCGATCTATACAGGTTTTTACAAGAGTACCGAGGAAAAGTCAAACAAAGTCAACAAATATTCCGCCCCGTAACGGTTTGCAATAGTTACCAGTGGGAGACTTTGTACAAAAGTAGTTTGCTTGGCTACCTCTGTCCCATTCGTGTTTCTACCGTGAAACAGTTGTGTTTGCATGGCTGTGTTTCGGTTTGAAGGGTGGGATATGCCAGTGAATTTACAGGGTACAGAATGATAACACCTGAGTCCTCAGGAATGGCAACGCATGGGCGGGTATCATGCGCGAAACAGACTTATGTCCATGTCTATAGGCTACGGGTACCACTATCCGTCAGGTGGGCCGTCAGCTTGCCATTCTAAGTTTTATGAAAAAAGTTAATTTTAAACTTTCGTGTTACACATATTTTAAATACATATTCGGGACTTAACGCGATATAAAAGCTTCAAATTTTCAAATTGTGAAGTTGTCTTCTGATTGCGTTTGTGTGTGCGCATGCGCAGGAGATGGGCAGCGGTCACGCGGGCGCGGTGTGGTGCTGCAAGTTCAGCGTGTGCGGCCGCCTGCTGGCCACCGCCGGCCAGGACCGCCTGCTGAGGGTCTGGGTCACCAGGGACGCGCACCACATGTTCCAGGTACGTGCGAATTGCCCACACATACACACCTACGCATACATACGCAAGAACCTGCACGCACTCACACATGCCCAAATACCCATCAACCTCCTCCCTTCAAACAGTCACACACAGTCCAAGGGGGGGGGGGGAAGTATTGTTAGTAATGGAGACAGTAGACCATTGCTAGCAATATACCCAACCAGGTCGACCTCCTCGCGGTTCCCCCTGGAAACTATCATGGTTAATTCCTGATGGATTCATCATGATGGGCTAACTGGCCTGTTTTCATTCTCATCGATCACCCTTCACTGGTGCTCCGCCAGCGTATCCCGTTAGCGCGGGCGGGGTTACCATACCATTTTCACCCATCAAAAAAAAAGAAACAGTCACTCACATATTATTATCATACATTAAAGATATTTCTCGTATTTTAAACTATTTATTGATTACAATGACTATTTATTGGTCGAATATTGAAAAATGGACAAGATTAAGAATGAATGTTTGTCTGAAGAAGCCTAAAAGTAGCGTCAGTGAAAGAAAAGTCAAGAAATAAGCTATCTTGGACATGGATAATGGACATATGATACGCAGGAACATAAAGGTATTTTAAGAAAAGTGTTAACTATGAATGTAAATGGCTTTAAAAACAGAGGAAGTCTTTGACATGGATTAACCATTAGAAGATATGGGCAGAATGAGAGTGAATGCGGAAATTACTGTGAATGAAAGAGGATAACGTATTACGCTGAGTTCTAATAGATAATTAAGACTTATCTCTATTATTTATTAAAACATTGGTATTTGGCCTTAGGCAAGAAAATGAAATATATGTATGTATGTGTACATAAAAGCGTTCTCTCTCGTTCAACATTAGGCAAGTGTCAGAATACTCGAATGTGGTATTAGTAATAATTGATATATATACATACTAATATTTACATATATAAACATATAAATATATATATAAATAACAAATATACTTACACATATATAAGATATACTGTATTATACACGAAAATGCGAAAAATATTTAAGATGAAAAAATATATATATATATATATATATATATATATATATATATTTTACCACTGAGGTGGCAAACAAGCATACGGCCCATCTGATGGTAAGCGGTTACCATAGCGTATGAATGCCTGCAATACCAGAGGTATTACGCGCGCGTTGCCGACCCTGAAGAAACCTCTTTACCCCCTTTTGAAGAACCCCATGCTGTAGTCTCTTGGGAAAACCTCGGCAGGGAGCTCATTATTATATGGTATAAAATTATTATTCCATGTACCACCTTCATATATAAGCTTCCATTGACTGGTGATTCCAAAAGACCAATTCATTCCCCAGGATATGAGAACGAAGTACAATACGGAGCAGAAATCCTCACCGACGCCGTCTCAAGAGTCGCTGGCGACGCTCGGTGCGGCAGCCAGCACTTCTACCTCCGAAGCCCTGCCACCTTCAGCACCCTTCCACCCTCGACCCTTCTGCGTCTACGCCGGACACACGTCCGACCTCCTAGACGTTTCCTGGTCGAAGAACTACTTCATACTGTCCTCGTCTATGGATAAAACAGTCAGACTTTGGCATATATGCAGAGGGGAGTGCCTATGTTGCTTCCAGCACATAGATTTCGTGACAGCCATCGTGTTCCACCCCAGAGACGATAGGTACTTCCTCTCGGGCAGTCTGGATGGCAAGCTCAGGTTGTGGGATATTCCAGACAAGAAGGTATGCTGTATTATTTTACACTATATATTAATGAATAGAGTTTGTTAAAATAATTGTTCTAAATAAGGAATTTTTTAATATCACAAAGGTGACAAATTAGCATTTTTTTTAATGCCACTTGGAGTGGCAAACAAGCTGACGGCCCACCTGATGGGAAGTGGTAACCGTCGCCTATAGAGATGAGCAGTACTATGGACATGCAGAGAATGTTGCTAGCATTAAGTGCGCCTTTTGTACCATATTTTCTTTTTTGATGTTATTTAAATAAAATAAATCTATTGTGATTGTGGTTGGTATGAACCTACCTCCGTCTCCTCAAATTATTGCATTGATATATCTTGTTTAGGCGTCTAGGTCCCGGCATAAAATAGGCCACCCCTTCCTTTTCCGTAGGTATCGTGAAGGGCGACTAAGGGAGCTTATGGTGGAGGGACGGGCAGTAGAGTCCCTCTTAAAATATCCATATAAACCAACCCGCCTGCCAAGCGTGGCAACTACCTGCAAAACTCTCTTTATGGGGGAGGCTATGTTCAGCAGTAGATAGTTGTTTTTTTATACAACTTAGAATGGCAAACAAGCTGACGGTCCACCTGATAGAAAGTGGTAACCGTCGCCTATAGAGATGAGCAGTACCATGGACATAACAGAGTATACTGTTACGCCCATGATACCCCCCATGCGTTGCCATTCCTGAGGACTCAGGTGTTATTCCTCTGTATCCTGTAAATTCAAACTAAATGTACAGTTAATGACTGGTTCAACATTTCTAGTTTATACATATATTTTTTTTTATTTTTATACTCAAACCCCAGGTAGCAGTATGGAACGAAGTGGACGGCAAAACGAAGCTGATAACAGCAGCGAACTTCTGCCAGAACGGCAAATTCGCCGTCGTCGGCACATACGACGGCCGCTGCATCTTCTACACCACAGATCAACTCAAGTACCACACGCAGATCGACGTGCGATCCACCAGGGGGAAGAATTCGACAGGACGTAAAATAAGCGGTATCGAACCCATGCCTAACGACGACAAAATACTAATAACGTCGAACGATAGCCGCATAAGACTATACGACTTGCGAGATTTGAACTTATCGTGCAAATACAAGGGTTACGTTAACGTGTCCAGTCAGATCAAGGCGTCGTTCTCACACGACGGGAAATATATAGTGAGCGGGTCCGAGAACCAGTGTATATACATATGGAAGACATACCACGACTATTCGAAGTTCACATCGGTGAGGAGGGACCGCAATGATTTCTGGGAGGGCATAAAGGCGCATAATGCAGTGGTCACGTGTGCAGTGTTCGCCCCCAACCCCGACCACATGATACGAATGATCGCCGAGAGGGAGCAAGAGGCGCGGTCAGCCAGCGGGGAGGACAGCAGGGAAGATGAAGAGGTGGTGAGTGCATCTTTTTTAAACGTCTCCCAAAGGGGGGGGGAATATCTCATTTGCTTGTAATTTTAGTTTATATGTGTATTGCGCTTTATATATATATATATATATATATATATATATATATATATATATATATATATATATATATATATATATATATATATATATTATTATTATTATATATATCAGCCGCTAACAGAACACTGCTGAACGGAGACCTCCTCCCATAAGGGGTTTTGCCAGTAGTTGCCACGTTTGGCAGGTGAGTAAGCAACCGCAGTTGTGTTTTGCTGATATTTTAAAAGGGACGCTGTTGCTCACCCCTCGACCATTCCCTTAGTGGCCTCTTACGACACCCTCAGGAATGGTGCTAGAAATGCTAATGAACCGATTTTGATATTTCTTTTTTACAGTCTTCAGGGTTTATTCCAATGTTAGTACCATATTATCACGATTGCTTTATAAAACATTATACTTATAACTAACGGCTGACTTTGGCTAACTTACAAAATTATTAGCACTATCACTTTTAAACTTTAGTCTTCCTACCACCTTTATGCAGATGATCTCCAAATTTATTCTCTGGCACCTTTTTTTTTATACAACTTAGAATGGCAAACAAGCTGACGGCCCACCTGATGGAAAGTGGTAACCGTCCCCTATAGACATGAGGAATACAATGAACATAACAGAGTACACTGATATCGCTGAAGAGATATCGACAAAAGGGAAAGGATATCAACAATCACCAGAGGGAGACTTTGTATAAAAGTCGTTTGCTTGGCTACCTCTGTCCTATTCGTGTTTCTACCGTGAAGCAGTTGTGTTTGCATGGCTGTGTTTCGGTTTGAAGGGTGGGATATAGCAGTGAATTTACAGGGTTCAGTGGAATAACAACTGAGTCCTCAGGAATGGCAACGAATGGGAGGTATCGTAGGCGAAACAGTATACTCTGGTATATCCATGGTACTGCTTACCACTTTCCATCAGGTGGGCCGTCAGCTTGTTTGCCATTCTAAATTGTATAAAAAAAAAAAAGATTTTAACATGACACGCATCGTTCGAAATTCAAATGTATATACAGTGTAAATGTTCTGTGTGTTGTATAGAAGGGCGCCGAGGGTGGCATGGTGTCGTCGTCGCAGACGGGCCACGTGCTGGTCAGCGCAGACTTCAACGGCTGCATCAAGGTGTTCGTACACAAAGCCAAGCCCAAGCACAGCTCGCTGCCAGCGTCCGCGCTCGCGTAGCATCAGCACGCGCACGGTGATTACCTCATCAATCGATCAATCATCTTTATTCATGTACATCTGTTACAGACTCTCATGATACGTCACTTTATAATTAAAATAATTACTATATAAAATAATATTAATTATATAAATAAATAAATATATACGGACAAATCACACAGATTGAGCTAGCCCCAAAGTAAGTTCGAGACTTGTGTTATGGGATACTAACTCAACGATACTATATTTATAATGGATACATATATAGATAAACATCCAAGACCCAGGACAATCAGGAAAAGATCGTTTTCCATCATGACCTGGCCGGGGATTGAATCCGGGGCCTCCACGTCGCAGGCAGGCGTGTTGACCGCTGCACCACAGAGGACGACAATTAAAAAAAATATTACAATAATTCTAATTACAAGGCAATTCTCACATTAATACTATATTCAAATCCATGCATTTTGAGTAACAAGTATATATATATATATATATTTATTTATTTATTTATTCTTTATCTAAGTATCTGACAGAATATTTGTCTTTGTCCACAGATTCTGCCAGAGACTGTAAGTAAAATGTATTCCGCGGCTCTGGTATCAGTTGTGCCCAATAGAAGGAAACAAATTTTTCGAACTGTCAAATTAGAAAATGTAGTAAGGATCTTTTGTAAATGTTAAATAAATTACGTTAATAATTATTTATGTAAATGGCAGCTTTGTTTCTGTCCACTACTCGTATAATAATATTGAATGATATTTTTGTTACAGTTAAAACTGTTAACCAGTCTAAAGTACTTTTTTTTTATTGGTGAAAATGGTATAGTAACCCCGCCTGCGCTAACGGGATACGCTGGCGGAGCACCAGTGAAGGGTGATAGATGAGAATGAAAACAGGCCAGTTAGCCCATCATGATGAATTCATCAGGAATTAACCATGATAGTTGCCAGGGGGAACCGTGAGGAGGTCGACCTGGTTGGGTATATTGCTAGCGATGGGATTCTCAGTCTTCATTACTAACAATCCCTTTCCCCCCAGTCAAAAGTACTATTGACTAGCAAAATCAGTCAAAAGTATGGTTAAAATTACTTTTGACTGTATGCTTTAGACAAATAATACTTTTGTTTAAAATAACAGTTAAAAGTACCTAACCTGATCGCAAATTTGCAGTCAAAAGTGTTAATACTCAGGAATGGCAACGCATGGGGGGTATCATGGGCGAAACACTATACTCTGTTATGTTCATGGTACTGCTCATGTCTGTAGGCGACGGTTACCACTTTCCATCAGGTGGGCCGTCAGCTTGTTTGCCATTCTAAGTTGTATAAAAAAAAAAAACATAACCAATAATTTTCAGTCAAAACCACTTTTGACCATCCCGTTCAGTCAAAAGTACTTTTGACTGGTTAAGAGTTTAGACTGAAACATTTCTATTAATTGGCGTGCCTGCATAGATCTAATGGTATGACATTGGGGGGAAAGGGATTGTTAGTAATGGGGTCAAATAGCCCTATTACTAACAATATATCCTGTCAGGTCGAACTCCGCGTGGTTCCCCCTGGAAACCATCGTGTCTAATTCTAATTGAATTCGTCAGGATGGGCCAACTGACCTGCTTGCATCCTCATCAGTCATCTATCACTGTTGCCCCGCCGGTGTATACCGATAGCGCAGGCGGGGTTACCATACCATTATCACCCATTAAAAAAAAAAATGGTATGAAATATGTAGGTGGTATATACTAAAGCAACATTATACATGTACCTTGTTTTAGCTAACTAGTGGCATAACGAAATATCATTTATATTTTATTATACATACGTACATACATATCTGTCACGCCTGTCTCCCATTAGGGTGGGCAGAAACAATGGAACGCCAAATGCTTCGATTCAAACAAACCTCTTTCGCTTCTTCCACATTCATCAATCTTTTCATACACGCTCGCCGGTTACGGGTACTTTTAATTTGGCCCTTCTTCAGCACGTCGCATATTTGGTCGACACACGTCCGTCTAGGGCGGCCCCTACCGACATCTCCATTCATTTTTGCTCGATAAATCTCTTTCGTAATTCTTGTTTCATCCATCCTCTCTAAATGACCAAACCAATTTTTTTATTATTATGTTATTTTTTTATACATATTTCACAATTTGTGACTGACAAGTGTAAATAACTAATATTTATTTTGTGTTAATTGTATAAATCATATCAGAATTATTTGTAATATATTAAAATTGTATTTTCAAATATTGAAAAGTAACAAGTATTTAGTGTAAAGAAATGTATTAAATTAACATATATTTTACTAGCGTATGAACAAAGTGTAATGCTGTAGGTCCAAATATTAAAACTAGATCTACGAGTGACTTCATTCTTCTATTAAATTTGAAGTATTTAACTCGTATCTCTTTTTAAAAATTTTATAAATTTTCCATAGTGGCCTGGTGCTTCAATGTACCTACTCCCAAGTCGTATATATATATATATATATATATATATATATATATATATATATATATATATATATATATATATATATATATATTTTATGCACTGTTACTTTGAAAGACACCCCCACAATAGATTATAAAATATACAAAGTAAGAAAAATAGAGAGAAAAGAGATATATATATATATATATATATATATATATATATATCTTCATATAAGAAAAATACCTTATTTTTTTAAGATTGTTAACTACAAACATCACTGGCAAAGATAGCGTGTTTAGTCAGAGTGATACATTATGATCTTGTTTAAAAAGTCCATATGGGAAAAACAATTGTTATAGGCCCAAGCGAACCCTCGAGCTGTGGCTTGGCGCTAACCAAGACAAACCAAGGCCACTATGGAATCCCAGAATCCTACTAGTAGGATGTGTACGCGGCTGCTATTACTATTTATTGATGAAATCATGAGATAATTAGCTATTTCGCTCATAGGTAGTAGCATAGGCGTATGGGTACCTCTGTATTTATATTTCTGTCACCGAACATTAGGATTGTTTAGGAATGGCAATGCATTTTTAATACATCTTTTAATACATACATTGTTCACTCCACTTTGCATCAGTTGAGCTCTCAAATTGTTTATCATTACAAATTGTATCAAAAAATATATTTTATACCATCACGCCTATGCCACGACTGGTGTATGAACATGTATGGATTCATATTTATCGTAGTTTCAATTAGATAATCAAGAGACCATAAACACTATGTACAGGAATTAATAACTCTACGGAGTAGGTATTAAGACTTATTTTATATTCATGTTATAATTTGCGTCATATTTTTTTTTTTTTTAATAGAAGGGAGCAAATGATCATACAGCTCATCTAATGGTAACTGATCTTCATCCCATAGATATTGGTAGCATTTTTAAAGATTGTCTCTTAGTCCACATTTGTATATGTCAATAACTTTATTACTAAACGAGATTCGATTATTCTCTATCAGTCAACCTTTGAGAGCTCATGTTGTACTTACAACTGATTGATTGGAGTTGACTGGAATAGGACTGAAATATAAAATATATAAAATGTATCTAAATATTTATTCAGATATACTTATATATATATATATATATATATATATATATATATATATATATATATATATATATATATATATATATATATATAACTTGTTTATGTATCATATGAACTCACCATTAGATGGAAAGTATGCTTGTTTACCAAAACGACAAACGGACGCTGTATCAGTACGCACGGTTATGTGAAATTGTGAATATACCATAACTAGGTCATTTTGTAAGACCGAATTTCTTTTTGTGAATTATTTTTAGTCTTTTTTTTTTACATAATATAAATAGAATTGTTTTAATTTTCTTTTGTAGGCTGTGTATTTTCTTTTTACCATTTTTAATATTTCACAATTAATTTGGGCATAGTCTTGCCACTTAAAAACAATGTGATTAATTTATATAATAAGTGTAAATCAATTATTTAGTGTTGTATAGAATTTGATGCCATTGTTACATTGTAAAAGGAAAAAGATAATGTATATTTTTAATTCGCATTTACCCCCATCAATAAATTGTTATATTTAAATATGCTTTTTTTTAATGTTACTTTTCCCCTAACAAGGAATCAATTCTGAAATCTTTGTTTATTCCTTATTTATGTTGTCAAAAAACTCGTTTTAACGCTTCTTTGCATAATGTTAGAAATTTCCATCATAACATTGAACGCCACAAAAATTATATAAAAGACTTCACTTTAAGTTGATCGTTTATGGATACCTTTTTAATGTTTATTGCAGAAAAAAGAACATAGTTGTCAAATATATTTCTTTAACCATTTTTACTTTCATTTTGAACATGAAATATATCACCTTGATTTATTTCACCAATAACAAAAATGCAAAGAAGGGTTAAGGCGTATATTTTATTAGGAGAACCAGACGAAATAATGTCGGTGATGGCAGACTAATTACCGCATTGTCATTCTTGTAACATGCATATGTTGGTCGCCTTGTTTTTCACGATCCAAGGTGTCTATCGTAAGAATTAGTTCGTAGTAATGTGTTTTAGGGGTAGGTTTTTTTATGGGTGAAAATGGCATGGTAACCCTGCCTGCGCTATCGGTATACACTGGCGGGGTACCAGTGATAGTGGATTAAAAGGCAGGTCAGTTAGCCCATCGTGACGAATTCAACGATAAATTAGTCACGATACTTTCTAGGGGGAACCGCGTAAAGATCGATCTGATTGGGTATATTAATAGCAATGGGGACTAACCTTCCCATTACTAACAATCCCTTCCCCCCCTTAAGCATATGTTGTATTAGCCGTTAATTGTCCACTGCTGGATAAAGCTTCCCCCTTAAGGGGGATTTTTTTGCTGTTTTAAGAGGGACGCTGCTGTGCATCCTTCGCCCTCCCTTAGTCGCCTCTTACAACACCCACGGGAAAGGAAGGGGTGGCCTATTCTATGCCAGGACCACACGGCTAGGTTTTTTTTATGGGTGAAAATGGTATACGTAACGGTAACTCCGCCTGCGCTAATGGGATACGCTGGCTGAGCACCAGTGAAGGGTGATAGATGAGAATGAAAACAAGCCAGTTAGCCCATCATGATGAATTCATCAGGAATTAACCATGATAGTTTCCAGGGAAACCGCGAGGAGGTCGACCTGGTTGGGTATATTGCTAGCAATGGGATTCTCAGTCTCCATTACTAACAATCCCTTTCCCCCCACGGCTAGGTTTAGGCGTATTTAGGTTTATATTAAAAAAAAGGCCTTTATAAAAATATTACAATTTATTAATATCAAAATATGAAATTCAATTTACAAGGAATGTCGAATTAAACACCATTTGTACGTTACAACAATAAAAAAAAAATTATAAAAATATCAGAAAAAGGCACTCGAGATTAGATTAAAAACTAACAATTTATTAGGTGGTATTAAATACACACTTCTATAAGCATTATTATATTTTTTTATACACATACTTTATTAAATAGAGACCAGCTTTGAAAATCACTGCTTTACTTACGGCCGTAATAAGACTAAGTTATGCCATTGTAGGCCATTTCAATATAAAATATACTTATAATAAAATACATCATGAGTCATTGCGTAAATACGCAGTTCTATTTTTTTTTTTTTTATACAACTTAGAATGGCAAACAAGCTGACGGTCCACCTGATGGAAAGTGGTAACCGTCGCCTATAGACATGAGCAGTACCATGGACATAACAGAATATACTGTTTCGCCCAAGATACCCCCCAAGGTTGGCAACGCGCACATGACACCCCTAGTGTTACAGGCGTCCATAGATTATATATATATATATATATATAAACTATATAAAAATGCTTCTGAGTATTCACTATTCACATAAATCGTCTAAAAATGCTTACAATATCAGTAGAGTATACTGAGTCCTTCTGAACATTGATGACCAGCCATTGTAATATCGCCGATACCAGCCCGATATCTACGAGTTATCACAAACGGATACTTGTTTACGATATTATATATCGAAAAATATTTAATATATCACTTACTGGGCCAATATATGTATATAAATAACTAAATAACTTAATCATTAAATAATCTTTTAGGCTTTCCATGGCGGTTTGGCATTATTGATACTCCGTCGCGACTTATCCTTCTTGTCGTGGCGGTCGAACTGGTCGAGTTGGTCGGACCGCTCGGGTCGGTCGCTGGTGGGCTCGTCGTGGTCGCGTTGCGGCAACAAACAGTCGCCGCTGCCGTCCAAGTTCGCTGGCTTCGTTAAAAGCTGTGAATTGTGATTTATTTTTAATGTATATTTGTTGTTGTTCAAGTCGTAAACTGTCTCACTGCTGAACATAGGCCTTGCTTTATCAGTAAAAATAACACAGACCAGAGACTTTAATACATATATTAATTTTGCAGCCAAGCAGCTGCTACTAACATGGTTGTTTCAAAAGGGGGGTAAAAAGGTTACTTCAGGCTCGGTAAAGCATATTGCGGGCATTTATAGACTACGATAACTGCTTACCATCAGGTGAGCCGTATGCTTGTTTGCCATGTCAGTGGTATAAAAAAAGTGTTCAAAATACTGGGTATGGAAGCATAAAACCATAGCCATCAGGAATAACAAATATGAGTACCACAGGCGTGACAGTACATACTGTAAGATCAGAGGGCCTACCATGAAATGTATTCCGAAATTTCGATGCCAAACGAAACACAAATTTGATATTAAAATTACGTAATACTTACCGTTTAAAAACATACCAGAGGGAGACTTTGTACAAAAGTCGATTGTTTGGGTACCTCTGTCCCATTCGTGTTTCAACCGTGAAGCAGTTGTATTTGCATGACTGTGTTTCGGTTTGAGAAAAAAAACATTAAAAATATAAAAATATTATTTTTTTGGACTTTTATGGCAGGATGACGAACGAAATGTTAAGCTCCATTTACTGGTTCGATTTAGGTATGAACGAAAACACGAAATTGAGTCCGAAATTTCGGAATTTCATTTCATGGCAGGCCCCCTGTATACAATTCGGTCGTCAACAGGGGGTACTATTCTATTCCAATTTCATCAAATTAAAAATCACTAACAATACAGAAATCTTTTTTTTTTCTGTTATAACCAGTAAGAAAAAAACAATTGTAATATCGTACCAATTTGACGTACTGTCGCAGTTCGTTGTCGCTGAGCCCATCGAAGTTGAGCGCCTCTCCGCGGCGCCCTCTATGGGGCGGTAACGGCGGTTTACTGGGCGGGAATTCGGGCACCACCGGGGTCGCAACTGGAACCAGATGGACACTTCTTAATTTCTGACTAACCATGTTATGTCAAGTAGGATCTGTTGGGTAGACTATTTGACATTATGTACACTGTGGCATAATGCTGCATAATCTATGGTAGTATTTTCTTTGTCATTGTTAAAGTCATATGTAAAACAAATGTGCAAAAAAATGTTGATTTTAATAAGAAATTTCGAGAGTTTTTCAGTTTGTAAAAGTTATTTTAGGTTATTAATATAGAGGATTCAAAAAAAACATTAAAATTAAAAAATATTCTTAATAGGATCAAGCTATTTTATGTCAATTTTCAAATACAATTCAACAAACAACAACAAAATCCAGAGGGAGACTTTGTACAAAAGTCGATTGCTTGGGTACCTCTGTCCCATTCGTGTTTCAACCGTGAAGCTGCTGTGTTTGCATGACTGTGTTTCGGTTTGAAGGGTGGGATATGGCGTGAATTTACAGGGTACAGAGGAATAACATCTGAGTCCTCAACAATGGCAACGCATGGGGGGTATCATGGGCGAAACAGTATACTCTGTTATGTCCACGGTACTGCTCATGTCTATAGGCGACGGTTATCACTTTCCATTAGGTGGGCCGTCAGCTTGTTTGCCATTCTAAGTTGTATAAAAAAAAAGTTTTATTCAATGTTTCTGATCGATTATTTAAAAAGTGCATTACTAGCGAAACTAAAACGTTAAATATATAATTTATAAGATTTGTAAATCTATGACTAAAAACTGCATCTATGTATTTATATTTTACTTTGGAATTTTTGTCATCAAAATCCAAATTTTTGTGACAACTTAATAATAATATTATTGCATGAGTAATTGACAACTTTTTAAATAATCAATTAGAAAAAATAGAAAATCTTCAATTGTTTTTGAAAATTTACAAATAATAGTGACGTTGCCAAACTATGGTAAGCTAAATTCATGAACGCTCTTAAAATCCTCACGTGAGAAGAATAGACACCGCGCAAGTGATAAATTTTTTTGCAAACATCATGAGTAAGGCGACAAGCACTTTTTGTTCCACAAAGAAAAAGGGAAGCTTCGATCATTATTCAAAATTGATATTGAGATCAACAACAAAGAATAATATGGGTCTATCTTCGGACACACTGTGCAGACTGTGCGGGGAGAAATCGGAATCCATGGAACACTTGATGTGCACTACGATTCGTTGGCAAGTATGCGTCTACTGGGAACGGCTTATCCAAAACCAGGGGACTAAAGATATCTTAAACCGCGGGATATCGTTAGGGTAACACACAGGTTCTATGAAATGATGGTATAAGGCAGGGGGAAGCACGAAAGATCCGTATGGGTCGACGTGCATCGGCTTAGCTGACCCCATATGCGAAAAAAAAAAGATAAGATGCAATAAAAAATTATGAATATCAATCGATATTTCAACCAATCAACTATGAACCCATAGTCATTGTCACAAAAAATTACTCTATTAGAATCTTCATCTTGTGGCAGTCGCATAAAAATGTATGTATGTATGTATGTCTGCTATCTCTATTTACCCGTGTCGGGCGCGGAAGGTGCGAGCGAGAGGTCGAGGTCTGCGAGCGCGGCGGGCGGGCAGGCCAGGATGCGCAGCGCCTGCCGCCACTGCGCCTCCATCACGCCGTGCAGCTGCGACGCGATCTGTCCGCGCCGCCGCCGGTGCGACTCCAGCTTGCCCTGCACGCGCAGACATACACCGATGACCAGGTGTGACAATGTCACAAGTCAGTGTGACAATGTCACGAGTTGGTGTGACAACGTCACGAGTCGGTGTGACAATGTCACGAGTTGGTGTGACAATGTCACGAGTTGGTGTGACAATGTCACGAGTTGGTGTGACAAAATCATAGACGATCGTGGCAATATGTTTGATATGATAATGAGCTCGATTCTAAGGCGCCATTTCTATAAACCTATCTCTTAATCTAATTTTTTTATTCAATAATTTCACAAAATTACTGTTTTATAGATCATTATAAATTTATAATAATTTTGACTTAAATTTATTACATTACAGAATGATTTAAACAAGTGGCTCCTCAGAATCGACATTATTGTCACAAGTTGGACTAACAATTACAAATACAAATGACAAAGTCTCAGACGATCAACAAAATGTGATGTGACAAGGAATAAAACACAACCAATATAACAACATGACAAAGTCTCAAGTAACATGATAAAGACACAAGGGCTATCAACAAAAAATATCGATAGTATCGATATTTTTTAGTACATTGGATTTTTAAACTAACTTAACAATCTATCTTAATAATTATAGTAGGTACCTCCAGTAAACTGATTTTCTCACTCGCTTGCGCTAGTTGCAAACGATACAATTTTATCTCTTCTTTCTGCTTCTCTTCTAGTACTTTAACCTCCAGTTTGTGTCTGGGAAGGACAAATTAATTGGTCATAAGTAAAATTAATTTTTATTTTGCTTGAAATACAATTAAAAATAAATAATAGTGTTTTGGATTTAGTTAAAATTTAATTATATATTTTTACATATTTTTGTCAATTTTACATTTCTAATAACTATGACTGCAGTGATGACATAATTTATTTAATACATTATTTAAAAATAATATTATTTAAAATAGTCATTTTGTTATGTCATAACTGTCTCAGCCTGACTTGATCAAATATTGAGAGAATGTAATTTTTAAACTCCAATGTGTCAATGTCAAATTAAACACACGCAAACTTAAAAAAAAACTGGGCCTTACAGATAAAAGATGTATTAGAAGATGGAAGAAAAAGATGGGTCGAGTAAATCATGGGAGTGGCAGGAAAGAATTGTATAGATGTTGATGTGGATGGATGGGTAGAATATAATATAGGAGGCTTTTACCCCATACACCAAAATGCAAAAAAAACTTTAATATTAAAAAATTTATCCTGTAAAGTATGGAATAAAAGCTGTAATAACCTTATAAAAATCACAAAGTAGACTGTTCTTTATGATGTGATAGGGGAGGTATGTATATAGTAGCATTAATGTAAATTGCAACTCACTGCTCTTCGATCCTGGTCATCTGTTTATTGAATGTGTCCACTATAGCGTTCTCCTTACTTCTGGCATCATTCTCCATTTCTCTCTCAGCGTGGTCAAGCTGCTGCTGGAACTCCTGCAGTTTAGCCAGTACAGCATCTTCTAACTGCTTCTGGTAATGGACTTTTAATTCATTTTTTTGGAGTTCCAAGTGTTTGCGGAGCATCTTCACCTCATTGTCTAAGGTGTCCTAAAATAAATGTGTAACTTTTAAATTTAATTCTTACAGAGACAGATTTATAGATACTCATTATAACCTTGTAAAAAATTTGTTGCTCTGATTGGAAAGGGATTTATATAGGGGACTATCAGTCCCATTGCTAGCAATATACCCTGTCAGGTCGACCGCCATGATGGTTATTATTTGGCTCATATTGAATTCCAGGTTCAATACATCACTATGGGCTAACTGACCTGCTTTTTATTCTCAACTATTATCCCAAATTAGTGCCTCGCCAGCGTATACCGTTAGTGCAGGTACTACCCCATTATCTTCCATTAAAAATAAATATTTTGTGTGCATTATGTAACATGATCTAATATTTAGGTATGACAAGTAAAGAGAACATACACATTTCTTCAACAGCTCACTGTTCTGATTCTCCTTGTCACATAGCTGCCGTTCGAGCAGGTTGCCTCTGGACCGCTCTTCATTCACCTTATCCTTTAAGAGACTTCTCTCTTGCAACGCAAGTGAGGTCTCTTCATCAATTGTTTGTAATTTACGAGTCAACTCATTGACTTTGATTCTTGTCACATTGTGATCAGATTTCTCCTGCAAAATGAAATATATCCATAAATGATTATTTTATCTAATATATGAAGGATAGCATTACAATTTCAGTTAAGACATTTAAATTTTGTTACACCAATTAATATAGTATTATATTGTCACATTGAATGACAAAGTATATTTTGTCACACTGAGTGACAAAGTAGTATTTTGTCACACTGAGTGACAAAGTAGTATTTTGTCACACTGAGTGACAAAGTAGTATTTTGTCACACTGAGTGACAAAGTAGTATTTTGTCACATTAGGTGACAAAGTAGTATTTTGCCACACTAAGTGACAAGGTAGTATCATTTATAGTGACAAAGAGATACCAAATTTATTATAAGCTTACCTTCTCTAACGCATCTTCTAAATTTTTAGCACAGTCTGTGGACTGTTTGTTCAGTCTCATTACTGTCTCATAATTTTCTTTTAGAACCTCAATTTCTTTCTCTTTACTGCTGATTATATCCTGTTTGCTGGCAAGTGTTCTCTCCATCCTATCCTGAAGTTCCTTCTGTTCTGATGTCAGTTGTTTGCACTTCTCTTGATAATCATGTGCTAAATCCAGAGCTTTATACAACTCACTTTCAAAATGATTTGTTTTCTGAAAATGATTAGAAATTAGTGTTAAAAAATGTATGTTAGAATTGGAATAAAAATGTATTTACAATAAAACAAAAACATTTCTACCAACAAATCCAACCTTTATTTGCTTATCATCAAAAATCATTAAATATAAGAGACGTCATTATTATCATTTATTAACCTTCATGGCGCGATAAAATTTTTTTTTATACCACTTAGAATGGCAAACAAGCTGACGTGCCCACCTGATGGAAAGTGGTAACCGTCGCCTATAGACATGAGCAGTACCATGTACATAACAGAGTATACTGTTTCGCCCATGATATGCGCGCTCCGCATGCGTTACCATTCCTGAGGACTTAGATGGTAAGATATATATATAAAAAGATTCTCTGTACTAAAGCATATTGACTATTTAAATGACAAAAATCCATGGAGAATTAGAACATTGTATAAATGTGAAGTATATAATTGTTGTACTATTTTTAAATGACTATTGATTAATTTATAATTTATTATTATAATTATAAAAGTGTATTCTAGCTTGAAGTATAGGCAATTTTAATTATGTCGCTTTTTAAAAAAAATTATGCATCTACATACACATCACTTTCAGACTCTCCTTATTTCTGTCTTAGACAGAACAGAGACCTTAACATTGACAAATACAATGACAGCCTAATTGCTAATGGCTTTTAAAACAATCGTAAATTAATAAATTCTTTATAAACCTTTTGGGCGTCACTAGCAACCATCTTGAAACTTTCCACTTCTCTCATCATCTTCTCCAGCCCAGTTTTATGACGTTCCTCCACTTTATCCAGACTGCTAGTAATTTTCAACCATGCCTCCCTTAATTTTGTGATAGCTGCGTCCTTGGCTCTGTCCACTTTGAGCGCCACTGCTAATTTCTCTTGTTGGTCAAGAATTTTCTTTTGAAGCTGTTGGATCATTGATTCACAATGCTGAAAAAATTATGTGTTAAATTCTTAAAATAAATAAATTTTTAAGCAAAAAAACATAGATATTAAGTCTACTTTTCATTCAAGAGTTTCCTTTTGTTGGTGCAACTAAATTATGATATATGATATATATGAAAGATGGCCAACCAGTGATCAATTGATAACAATTACTTCAATCAATCATGGCAAGGCAAAAAATATATTTTGATAATCTAGCTGCAGATGCTCAGATGCAATGGTCATGTTAACATAAGTAGTTATTATGAATGAAATTTTCAATTTTATGTTTTCCTTCTTAATAAAATAAAAAATACAACATAATTGTGTAATGAACTATGTTGTTTCATTTGAAATTTCAAAAAGTATGTAATTGCATAGGGTTTTGTTAGTAAACAATAGATCTTGGGTTTAATCAAGTCGCCCACCCCTGCTATATATGATATGATATTAAAAGTATTGTTTAAATAACTGATTTCTTTATTATTTTTTATTATCGTCTTCTAAAAAAATTTAATATTATATTTTCTTTTTTGTTAAATAACAGGATACTAAAGATTTGACTATGATCTTTTTTAAATTTTACTGGGAGGAGGGTGTCCTACTCTTAACTCAAGTAATTAATGAATATCCCCTGGTATCAAAACATTGCTAAGTGAGTTGACTATTACCTCTCTTTTAAGTTTTTCTTCCTCCAACTTGAGACTATCTCCCCTCTCTGTCCTATCTCCTTTATCAGCCCCATAACCCCACAACTCACTCAAGCTTAACAAATCTGTATCAATAGTTTCTATTAATTTATTCTGATAAGCTGCCAACTTCAAAGTTTCCTTATTGTCTGATATATAAGGTCTCATTTGGGGCATTTTAAATGTCTCCTTTTTAGGTGACTGCAAGTAGCTCTCAGGTGCAGAATTTTGAGTATTACGGCTATTATTAATTTTATATTGTTCTAATACTTTTGAAGCTCTATCATAGATTTTATTTGATGATGGTCGAAACGAGTCCGTGTAACTTGTAGACTGTGCTGGTTTTTTAGGTGTAGATGTAGGTTGCACATCCTTCTCAGAGAAGTTTAGTCTACGTATACTCAGTGATTTTGGGTCCATTTTCGTGACACTCTCTTTACTGTCATCTGCTGGACGAATTGTGGAGTCTTCATTATACTGGTTTTTATATGAACTAGGTGGCAATGGCTTGTCAGATTGTGAGACACTTGACCCTGAATTACTTTTTACCAAGTAAATATATTTATCCAAGACATTACTTGTCATCACTCTCCCACTTGGTAATTTTATATCATCATTACTTTTTGATTCTATGCTGTGTGATATGTAATCACCAGTAGCTTTTATAACATGCTCTGGGCTTAATGTTTCTTGCTCTTTAAATTTAGAATCTGGACCTTCGTATGCTTCGACCTTCGTCAAGAATTCGTCAATTTCGTTCAAGAGTAACTTGTCATTTTTCTTGCTAGGCGTCGAAACTATACTGCTAATATCACCATCCATGCTTGGCGTATCATCGATAAAAGCTTTTTTCGTGCTAGAAACTTCCGAAGTACTCTTTAAATTCAATAAAGGAACTTTATTGCGGGTCCAGAAAGAGTCGAGACTGGTCAATGACAATTCCCGCTTTTTTTCTCGTTTACCAGTTTTGCGTCGGCGTCTCCGTGGAAATGTAAAGCATCTACGGTCTAGACTGTGTTCAATACTATCACCGGTATCCCACGAGTTCCGATTCGAATTTTTAGACACAGTATCACTTGTGCAAACTTCTAAACTTTCCAACCTCGATTCCAGTGAGTGAACTCGATCGGCAAGTTTGTCCAAAACCTGTGCTGTACAGGAAACCGGTTTATGCACAACGGTCCTTGAGGATTCTAGTAATGAATCATCGGAGATTGAACTCTCCACGAGGAAGAAATTTGGTGGTATCAGCAAAAGAACATCAGTATCGTCAGTTTCACTCATTACAACAAATGTTTTGGTTAACATGAAATAATAAAGCCATTATAAAAATATATGAGAATCGAAAGTTATAACAATATATGTATTTAAATTAATTAAATTAGGAAATTATGTGAAATTATAAAAAAATTCGTTAAAAACGTTTGTTTGTTTGTATTTGTTTTATTTTTAATTTTTATTTGATTGTGAATGATATGAACGAATGAATGAAGAAAATATGAATGACATTTTCAATCTATGATGGAATTAAGCTCATTCTCTACCTATCTGCGGTCTACAAACTTTATATATATAATAATAGTAACTCTTAGACAGTAACTAATGTTACTGTCTAAGAGTTACTATAATAAAAAATAATATACAAAAAGAAAAAGGTTCTCAATTCGGTTGTATTTTTTTTTATGTTTGTTACCTCATAACTTTGTCAGTTGTAAACTGATTTGTAAAATTCTTTATCTGAAAGGATATACATACAGATAGGCCTCATAAAAAATTTAACATATCGATTTAGTAGTTTAGGTTTTAAATCAAAATAACTGGTTTTACCACAATTAAAGTTGGGTCATTTTTGTGTGTGAGACAATTTAATTGTTATCAAAAATAAACTTTGTAACAAAACAAAATATAAGTAGATACCTATTTATTACTTTGCTTTCATGGTATCTATTAGTGGTTTCAATTTACATTTTGGGAATGAATAATAAAACATGTTGAGTTGGAAATATTGTTTACTTTATTAGCATACAAGACTTAGGGATGTACTAGGTACTTAAAATAAAATAATTACTAAAATATGTCTTAAGACAATGTAAAAGCTAAATAAATAATATGTTAATATCATATTCTTAAATTCTTAACATTTTACTATACATATCATTTATACAATTATTTACTATATAAATTAACTGCAATATTATTTTATAATAACTTGGTATACTGCCTCTTTATAAATCCTCTATTTATAATCATCCATAAAAGATGAATATAGATTAATAAGTATATGTATTTATACAAAATAAAGACATGCCATATAATATATAAAATTGTTGCATTTAATTAAAAAAATTGCACATATTCAGTGCAACTTGACTACTTATCAGGATGCCCTGACTGCATGTATTGGAGTTTGTTTTATAAATGCATCCAGTTTATTCTTGAACAATTCACTATTTATTGGCTCTCCAATACCACAGAGAGGATTCCTAACTGCATACTTTACATATATTTCTGCATAGATTTTTTTGAGTAGTTCCCGGACTCCTTGAGCTTGGTTGTCTGTGTTCATGACAAACTTTAATCCTGACGGTGTTTCTAGACAGTGCAGAGTGTATTTTGATGTTTTGTAATGTAAAAAACCATCTTTGGGGTCTAGTGGTGATATTTTTGCAACAAATGATTTTATTGAAAATAACATTCCATACATGAGCTTGCATTCCTGAAAATAACAACAAATTGTTAATAATTTCTGATAAACATATTAAAGTCAGAAACAAAATTTGGATAGACTATTTGGAGATAGTCCAGCTGTGTAAATTTATGAATTACATTATCATCTTTACAAATCTGCAGTTATAGTAGGAAGCAGTATTATTGGTATTTGTGGAGTTATAAATTTGGTGAAAATGAACGTCAATACTGTAAGTCTACTAAAATTACCACCATTATCATAATTTACCATACATTTTTTTTATACAACTTAGAATGGCAAACAAGCTAATGGCCCACCTGATGGAAAGTGGTAACCGTCGCCTATAGACATGAGCAGTACCATGGACATTACAGAGTATACTGTTTTGCCCATGATATTCCTCATGTGTTGCCATTCCTAAGGACTCAGGTGGTATTCATCTTTACCCAGTAAATTCACGCCATATCTCACCCTTCAAACCAAAACATAGCCATGCAAACACAACTGCTTCACGGTAGAAACTCGAATGAGACAGAAGTACCCAAGAAATCGACTTTTGTACAAAGTGTCCCTCTGGTATATATATATACAAAGATAGATAAAGCAAGGGAATGAAAGTAGAATTTGATGAATTAAATGTAAAATTACCTCTTCTCTAGACATTCCGGATTGTTTTGTTCTATTCCATTCACCATAATATAAGAGGGTTCCATATCGATCAAAAATATATAAATTATGTATTGTCATTTTTGCTTATTTGAATCTCATTTAGTTCTTAGTTTTCTATATAGATAGATAAACAGAATTATAATGAAATTAAATCAAAGACTATATAATTAATATTTAAGGAAGTGTGTTTATAAAATTTTTCTTTGACAGTAAAGATCAGACCACAGATGAGAGAGACTACGTCTAGAGAATAGGTCGAATCATAGATTAAAAAATAGTACTTGAGAATTTAAAATTGTTATTATTTTTTGTCTTTGTATAGACAATTACTTTATTAGGCTTGGTATGGCATTCTCCTTCCATAAAATTAACGATATGTGATTTATTCCAACTTCATTTCAATAGTATTCAATCAATCATTTGACATTCATTGATTCGGATTTCATTCATTCTTAAGTTCTTTTTGATTGAAAAATGTTTGCGGAGTGAACATGGTGCAATATTTATAAAAAATTAAAAATAAATTATTCATTATTAAACTATAAAATCAGGATTATAGTAGGTTATACTTATTAACAATATTTTGCAAGAAGTATGTGTGTGTTTATTATTTTGATATAATATGAATATAAATTTTAAGGTTATATTCTTCTTACCTAATACCTATTGAATTTACAGGGTAGTAAAATTAATTAAATATGGATGAATATACAAGAGAACCATGCCCTTGGCGTATCCTCGACGATTCAGGTGGTGCTTTCATCATGGGAGCCATAGGTGGTGGTATATTTCACTCGATAAAAGGTTTCAGAAATGCTCCAGTCGGATTCAATAGAAAAATGGTATGAATTAATATTTGAATACTTTTTTTTATTTGGATTATTTATAAGTTAACAAATTAATGTTGTTTCTAGCTTGGTAGTTTAGCAGCTATAAAAGAGCGATCACCAGTTGTAGCAGGAAATTTTGCAGTCTGGGGTGGTATGTTTTCCACAATTGATTGCTCACTAGTGTACCTGAGACAAAAAGAGGATCCATGGAACTCAATAATGAGTGGAGCTCTCACTGGTGGCATTTTGGCCGCCCGAAATGGTAAGATATTAGTTTGGAATTACTAGTTTTAAATTTTATTTAATGGGTGATAATGGAATGGTAAATGGTGCCCCGTCTGCGTTATTGGGATATGCACGGGCACCAGTGAAAGATGATAGGTAAGGATGAAGCAGGGCAGTTGGCCCATCGTGACGAATTCAACAAGAATTGTTCACAGTGGTTTCCAGGGGGAACCATGTGGAGGTCGACCTAATAGGGCATATTGCTAGCAATGGGGCTGTCAATTTTCATTGTTAACAATCCCTTTCCCCCCAGTTCTAAATATTATAAGAAAGTTGTTATCTGTGGTTGTTTTCATTTCCTTTTTAACTATGTAACAGTTTTTACATGTTGTTATGGAAGGATTGTATAAAAAATCAGACCATGTTGTAAACACAGCCCGATTTTTCTATGTAGAGTGGATTGCTAGTTATATGAGTAATTATATTTCTAATTCATACATTTTCATGAATAAACTGATTGTGTGTAGGTTTATAAAAATAAAAATTAGGAATTAAAACCAAAGACAATTTAGAAAGTGGAAGATTTCCACTAGATATTGTTAAAATACAAATAATGACATAAATCAATTTTACTTCTATTGCTATTTAAATTTATTTATTTAAAATAGATATAACTCAAAACCTGAAATTAATAGTATAAAAGATTGTACTGTACCAGTGAGATGATAAATTATTGTTTGTAATAATAACACGTTAGTTAGTTAATAATTTAATTTTACAGGTGTACCAGCAATGGCAGGGAGTGCTTTAGTAGGCGGTATACTCCTAGCTCTTATCGAAGGAATTGGCATCATGTTCACACGGCTTACAGCCGAACAGTACCAGCCCCAACAGCCCATATTCGAGGATCCCTCTGTATTAGGACAGAGTCAAAGCCAAAATCCTTCTTTCCAGTAATATAAGTAAGCTAGTAATGTTATATTGTACAGTTTTAAACTTAATAACTTGCACACATGTCTGTGTTTTCAATAAAATTCATAACTGAAATAAGATTTTAAAATAACTAGCTACATAATAAGATTTTAAAATAAGATATACACAATTCTGTGTCTAATGAGACATAGAGTTGTGTAAACTTTAAATAAATTCTCAGTTTAATAATTTGTGTACATAAATTTAAAGCCTGCAATTTACTGTTTTGTTTAGTTAAAGATAATTATTTGTTATACAAATGTTTAACGTCAAAACATGTTAATTACTTCCAATGCTTGACGATTAACATTAAGCACATTTAAAAGAAGCAAACAATCATATAAAATTTAATTGTTGTTTTAAATCCTTATTTAAAATTGTACAATATGGCACCAGAGCCTTGGAAATGTAACACATTTCTAACAAATGACAAACAAATTATATGATTCCTTGAAGTTTGTTTTAAGTGAATTATTTGCACCTGTGATATTTTCAGTTCCCTTCTGATTGCTTATACTTCACTTCACAACATAATTGTTCCTTTTGAAAAATACAAACTCATTATTTATTTTTGTTTTCAATGTGTAAACAATACAGGATTAAAATAAATTTAATTGTGAATATTTGATAAGTTATTATCTGCAATCATCACTCTCAGTATTTATTTGTTGCCATATAGCTGAGAGTGATTTTGATGTGCAACTTCAGAATTGGTCAATCAATGGAAACCTGCTTTTTCCGTCTTCCGATTGTTCTTGCCTCGCTGGAGTTGCACTAATTGGTCTGATATTTTTTCTGCAGGTAATAATTTATGTACAATGTTCTTTTTCTAAATATAGAATCTATTTAGGAAATAAAGATTTTTTTAACATATTTTGTTGTATATTTATAAATTACCTATAAACAATAATTATACATATTTAATAATGTTTATGTTCATACATGACACCAAGGTATGCATTTTCTAGAAATTTTATATTCCAACTACAGAATAGTGCTAGTTAAGTATGTATATTTAGAAAATTGGGAATTAAAAATTCATATTTTTTTAATATTGAATTTAATTATGAACAAAGTATTAATTACTTACAGTACAAAACTTAAGTAATATTAAATTAGGTACATTATTTCTATATCAAATATTGAACATTTTATGAAGTACTTTATATTGTTAATAAACCATAGTGAGAATAAAGTACTTAGATTTTTATTAGAATATGTTAAACATAATTTTAGGTAAACAATAATGTTTAGGTATTATTTTACACATCCTTATAAATAATACTTTCAGAAGCTATCTGAAATATAATATCAATTATATAGCTATTGTTGGTTTTCATTGTGGTAAAATGGCAGGTTTGTTTTGTACAGTGTTTTCTCCCATTTTTCTAATTTCCTTTATAACATGAGCTAACACTTCAGGGTCCACTCCTAGCTCACACAGCCGAATGCAGATAGACAATGTTTCAGTATCTAAACCAGTAGACAGAAGTTGCGATATCTGGTATAACATTTGGAATGTTTCCCGAGCTTGCCCCACCTGGGCATTCTTCTCCGACGTCATTTTAAATCCTGTAATTAAAATAAATAATAACGGATCACTTGGACTGTGAATTTTGTTTGTTTATAAACACAATTATTAGAGTAGTATTATAAACAACTAACCTACCTTTTGACGTGTTTTTTTTAATTTGTGTTTTAGATAATTATTTAGTGCTGAGAGAGTTCAATAATAGGTACCTGTATATGATTATAAATTGTAAACAAGTAAATACAGTACAACTTGAAAAATTTAAAGAAACATTAAAACACTATGAAATGTCAATGTGACTTTGACGTCACGGAAGTATTGAAATTTACAGACTACTCAATTTGAAGTATAGATAAAGGATAGTACCTATTGTCCCAAAAAGATTATGAACATATATAAAAAAAATAATTTTCTTGCCAGTTGAGTCTTCAAATAGATTAATTTTTTTCCTTGCTTCTAATTATTTTTTAATTGTTAGAAAAATATTAAATTATAAAAAAAAAATATAAGTTATATAAAGACACGATGAGACGTGGACGTTATTAGATATACTGTGACGCTAACAGTCCTTTTCTTAATGATTAAGACAAGGGTATCCCATTAAATGCTAATCGAAATATAATCATTCAAGCAAAATTTAGCATAATTGGCAGGTATAAGGTTATTAATTTATAATATATTTACTCTGATACTACACAGAGATTAATGTGCTTACGTATTTAAAAAAACTATTAAATACTAGTTGTTTTCAATGTGGATCAGCACATATAGTATCATATGTATTAAGTTACGATATAACTTATCCGTGTAACAAATTTAATTAAAATCTAGTTAGTTGTTTATGCATGATTGAGTATCAAATATACAAAAAAAAAAAAAAATTATAAACTTTTTTGATTAGTAAAAAGAGAAAAGAAACCCTACTTGTTCTATCGGTATACATTGGCGGGGTACCAGTGAGAGATAGGTGAGGATGAAAACAGGGCAGTTAGCTCATCGCATCGAATGAATTCCATTAGAATTACCATCAACGGTTTCCAGAGAAAACCTGGTAGTAGGTATGTAAGTAATGGAGTTGTTAGACCTTATTATTAACAGTCTCTTTCTTTCCCTTACATTTTTGTATGGATCTGGTAATTTTCTATATATATAGAGACAGTAAATAGTAAGTGTTTACGAAAAAAATGTTTTATATATGTATATTATATATTATTTAATACATAGTACACTTCCTATTTGCCGTGTGGCCCGATATAGAATAGACCACATCTTCCTTTTCCATAGGTGTCGCAAGGGAACTTAAGCAGTGGACAGTTAACAGCTGATATGATAACGATACTGTCTATAGTAATGATTGCGGGCAAAGCCACAGGATATAGGACATTGGTTTTTATATATATATATATATATATATATATATATACTAGACTAGTGATCAGGATAGAATTTTTTAAAACAATAAATAGCTCAACTAAATTATTCTTTATTAATAGCGATTGATGGGCAGCAGCGTTCCTCTTAAAATGTCTCTAAAGCCTAACTGCGGTTACCAATTCCCCAAGGAGGAGGCTTGTTTAGCAGTGGACAGTTAAAGGTTGATATGATAATATTATGATATTATTAGTATATATTTAGAATAATAGCCCATCTGTGTATTACATTTCATTCATCAAATCCAGTTAGCCGTTAAGAGTGATTGATTAACAAACACTCTTATAAACTTTCACATAATTATAATGTCAGTGAGATTGAAAATTCAGCGGGAAAGTCGATTCATTTACGCGCTCCCAAATCTATTTTTAAAAACGTGTGCACTCCAGAAATAGATCATCAAGTTTCAAACAACGTTTCAGTAGTGTTCCTGGATGCTTGCTATTTGAATGTTTATTAATTTGTAATTTATTATTAATACATCCCTTTATTATTGATACAATCTAATTTTTTTTTCTTGTGAATTTAATATCTTTAAATACTAAGGAGTTTGAATATGGTAAGTGTTTCTTTTTTCCTATTGTTCTAATTTTATTAAAAAAAAAAAATCTAGTTTGTGTTGTGTCATTGTTGATAACATTCCACGTGTGTGAATTATTGAAAATAAATGGAGAATTAAGGAAATAAATGCTGTAGTTTTAGATTTTCTGATATAAACGGCGATGAAAATTTCATTATGAAATCTATTACGACGAGAATAATAGGTTTTGATAAAGGAATTTGGGTAAAAATGTATTATATACAATATTAGGACAAAATCTTATTGGGTTAGACAACTAAATACATACATTTAATTAGAGAAGTTGTCCGTAATTTTTAATAAATATGTATCTAATTAGACTAACTACAAGAAATACGTTGTAATTCTAATGTAACTGAAGAATAATGGATACTTACAGTCCCCTAATTACGAATTATATATGCCGGGTTTACGCAGCAGTGATTTTGATTGCTAGCTATTTGAATTTGCTGTTAATGTTCATGTCTATAGGCCGATTTTAAAGTCGCCAGTGAGTTGTCGATGGCCATAATTTTTACTAATGTTCAAGTCCATAAGATGATTTGGAAGTCGCTAGCGATTTGCCAGCGAGCAAATTCGCTGTCGCTTGGATCAGGTAAGGTATGAAAACATGTAATATGATAGTATAACGTGATAGAAACATTTTATTTTATATTTTTAATTTAGTACCAAGAACTGCTAGTTTTTTTTATGACAAATGATTCTATATATAATATTCACTATCTATAGTATTTAGACGTAATCAGTAGACGTAATTTATAGAATTTGTTAAGCACCTATAAAGAAAGTGTTAAGAGAAATGGGTTGATAAATAAAATGCTTAATATTGAAGTTGTCTTTAACTCGTCTTCATCGGTAGGAAAACATAAAGGCTATCATAACAGAAGACTATTAAAACATAAGACAATAGAAAATCAATATAAAAATATAAAAGATGATGGTCAGTAATATAAAAGGCGTATTATGTTGGCCAGTAATACGCCATAAGTGTAATTTCTGAAATATTTATGTACATGAAGTTATTTATCATAATTAATTCCTATTTCATCATCATCATATAAGACTAACTATCCTATGACTAATTGTCCACTGTTGAACATAGCCCTGCTTAATGGGTGATGGGGGGGGGGGGGGGGTGATTGTTATCGCAGACACCGCAGTTAGACTTTGGTGAATATTCAACACTAGTGTAATTATATTCTTGCCTCGTTTTTTTTTTATTGCATTGCTAGTTTGTTAATACAAAAATTACGTTATACTTACTTTGTCTATGCGTGTAACAAAGTGTGTTTAAAAAAAAAATCAAAACGGCGGGAAAGTGATGTTCGCTTAATATTACAGATTAAAGTAGAAATTAATTTTGTTTGCTTTATAACTTTGTTATAACACAGTGGCGTTTCGCATTGGGACAAAACAGCTGAAGCTTGCCCATTGGAATACATGAATTTCATTAGATGTAGTTCATTTGACCAATAAAATTTATGCATCGTCACGTCATGCGCCATAAACAAACTCTGAATGTGTAATTTCGGTGTTATTTGCAAGTAGGTAGATAGGTATTTAATTTTGTTAGCTGTTTGATTCCGTTTACTTTGTTTATTGATTCTAAAATTTGAAACTTGGATTTCTGTTTATTATTGATATGTCTAAACCTAAAGTAGTTCATACCCAATTGGCGTAGTTATATCAATTCCGAGTCTTTTAAGACAAATATGTTTCTTTAATATACATTGTTATTTCTTATTAATGAAATTTATTAGGTTATAACTCAAAATTGTTTTCCATAAAAAAATCTACATTATTGTTTTACAGTATTGGCGAGATCACTTATCTTGATTTAAAAACTAAATTATCAAACCGAATTTGATAAAGTTTCTATGAAACCAATCTGAAAGTACATTATATTTCAAATAAAAAAAAAAAAAAGATTTTCCAAATCGGTTTAAGAGTTAAGAGGCAACAATATAAAAAAAAAAAAACTACAACCAAATTGAAATCCTAAAACAAAAATATAGCTTATTTTGACTTCTTTCATATTAATTAGGAAATTTATGATCCCCCAAATAATTCCCCCCAAACTTCGTACACACCTCGGACCCCCCCCCTCCACTCACACAAATAGCACGCACATTCACCAAAAATAGAAATTATAAATATAACGTAAGACTACAGTTTCGTCATGTAAAATGATTTGCATTTCTGTAGTTCCTTTGTTTAAAAATATCAAGTATGGCTTCCGATTGTAAAGGCGGCGTAGCTGCACGTGACGCGCGCGACTGAACTATTTACTCCATTTCAATAGAACTTAATGAGAAGGAAGCCAAGTTTGTTTATCTTCAGATAACTCCATTTATGAACTCGGAAGTCTTCTTATTTCTTGGATACGGAAAAATACTTAGATCAATATTATAAATATATATTAATTTATTTCTGAAATGCTTTATTAAAAATCTACATTATACCAAGTATTGTATTATCTGTGATTATACTAAGACGCCGTGTGTGCTCCGGCATAGAATAGGCTACCCCTTTCTTTCCCGTGGGTGTCGTAAGAGACGAGTAAGGGAAGGCGAGGAATGGGCAGCAGGGTCCGTTTTAAAACATCTGTAAAAGCCTGACTGCGGTTGCCAACCCGCCTGCCAAGTGTGGCAACTACTGGCAAATCTCCCCTCATGGGGAAGGCTTACTACTATTAATTACTATTGTGATTTGTCACATATGATATCATAGTGAATAAAATCTATACATATAAATAAAATTGGAGTGTCTGTTTGTAATATTGAAATAACTATTTTTTACTACATGTATATGAATATATATACGGTACATACACCAAAATAATATTTCTTACAATTTTTGTCTGTCTGTTTGTTCTTACTAATCTCTGAAATGGCTAGACAGATTTTGACGGGACTTTTATTGGCAGGTAGCTGATGTAATAAGGAGTAACTTAGGCAACGTTTATTTTAGATTTTTTATTTTTATTTTAGAAAAATAAAATAATGTTGTAATGTCTAAGTACTGTCCAGTTTGGGGGGAATGGGATTGTTAGTAATGGAGACTAAGAATCCCATTGTTAGCAATATACCCAACCAGGTCGACCTCCTCGCGGTTCCCCCTGGAAACTATCATGGTTAATTCCTGATGAATTCATCATGATGGGCTAACTGGCCTGTTTTCATTCTCATCAATCACCCTTCACTGGTGCTCCGCCAGCGTGTCCCGTTAGCGCAGGCGGGGTTACCATTCCATTATCACCCATAAAAAAAAAGTATTGTCCAGTGCCGCGCGCAACTCACACGCATGCCACCACATTAAAGAATCGACTGTTAGGCGGAACGAAGTTCGCCGGGTCAGCCAGTTAATAATATTTTTACATAATACATACATACATACATATCTGTCACGTCTGTCTCCCATTACGGTAGGCAGAAACAATGGAACGCCAAATGCTTCGATTCAAACAAACCTCTTTCGCTTCTTCCACATTCATCAATCTTTTCATACACTTTACATAATAATGACTTAAATATACCAATAATTACTACGCCTAATAAAAGTGCGTGATTATAGTTAATAAAGATTTTTTTGCACGGAAACCTCGATAAACAAGATCAACTTACCAGTTGCACTTGACAATTCTTGTTCTCGTCACCCGTTTGTTGAATTTCCATGTTACTTGGCCGTGTCTGAATGGAATGTACAATATTGTTGTACTGTGTAAGCGACCCGCAAGGGCGACCGGGAACGAGGACGGAATAATTGTGTATTTGTATCACGAACAGGACGAATTCCCTCTAATGCCCGATTCATAAGAATATTTGACATGAAAAATGTTAACGTTCTGTTTATTAAAGTACCCACTTGAATGTTTTTACTAGTATTTGTATGCATATATATCAATTTCCTAAATTTTATTATTTATTTATTTTTATTTATTCTATATTGCACAATAAAACTTTGTACAAGTGACCAGCTTTATGCCACATGGCATTCTCTACTAGCTAACCGTATTTTTTTTAAATGGATGATAATGGAATGGTAACCCCACCCGCGCTATCGGTATACACCGGCGGGGCACCAGTGAAGGACGATAGGTGAGGATGAAGTAGGTCAGTTAGCCCATCGTGACGAATTCAACAAGAATTGTTCACGACGGTTTCCAGGGGGAACCACGTGGAGGTCGACCTAATAAGGTATATTGCTAGCAATGGGGCTGTCAAACTCCATTGCTAACAATCCTTTCCCCCCAGCTAACCGTTAGGTAAAATCAGATAGCGTATGAAGGGCAGATGTGGTGAAAAATATGTGACATAATTTTCACATATTTATATTTTATTATTATACCTAATGAAACTATATTTATATAAATATTTAAATAAACCATACCCTTTTATTCGTTAAAACTAAAACCATTTGCAAACCTATTTTAATTACGAGTATCTATTATCAACACTGTTTTGTCACTTTTATTCAAACTGAGAATTTAGAGGCAAAAGAGACAAAATACTTGATATTCACAACGATAGTCACTCTGTATTCATGACTAAATTAAAATGTTGATATACCTCCCCATTACATTATATTTATTTATAATTTATAATAATTTAAATACATTTTCCATTATTTATATTATATTATTATTCATATTGTTAATATCTTTACTCATTTAATAATTTAATTCTATTTTAATCACAAGGCATGCTGTGGTTGCCTAACATATAAACGTAAGAACAGTTAGATCTCTCTAATCTACCAGTGTATTGTATTAAAATGTTTAGCTGTATCTTATGTTGGTAATCCCATAAATAAATAGTTCAATAGCTAAAATAAGTTTATGATAGGTTTGATTTTTTTATATATAAGGGGGGTTAGCCTTGATGTTTTAACAAAGAAATAAAATACAAAAAAATTTGAAGCTTGCCATGTTACTGGCGGGGGATTAACCACGGTAGTTTCCAGGTGGAACCACAATCTGATAGGAGACGAGTATTTTTTCTAATGGATGATAATGAAATGGTAAACCCACCTGCGTTATTGGTATACACTGGCGGGGCATCAGTGAGGGATGATTGGTGAGGATGAAAAGGCTGGTCAGTTAGCCCATCGTGACTAATTCAACGATAAATACGTCACGATAGTTTTCAAGGGGAAACCGCGTAGAGGTCGACCCGTTAAGGACTAACCTTCCCATTACTAACAATCCCTTCCCCCCGGAGACGAGTATTAGGCACAGCATGTTTATTAGAATTTATAATGTTCTCGTTTTCCAGGCGGACTCGGCACAACCTCAGGTTTCAGGCGGTGGGGAAGGTACACCGGTTGTTAGCGGCGATGCTAAGCAGGTAGGTATCATTAGATTTAACTCTTTAATTAAATAATTTGGTTAAATATAAATAATCTGGGTGATAAATACATTATTATTAAAAGAAAGAAACTTTTTTCTACAGAAATATGCGACTACACCCACACAGGGGTTAAAAAAAATATTAAGAAATTATAACAACGAAATTTACACACAATATATATATATATATAAAATTAAAAAAAAAGAAAAAATAAAACAATTGCATAATTTATGTTACTTTTTCTTATTTTTCTAGGCGGATTCAGCACAGCCCCAGGTCTCGGGTGGTGGGGAAGGAGCCCCAGTTGTTAGTGGTGAGGCTAAGAAGGTAGATATTATTACGTTTGATTCTATAATTTTTTTTTATGCAACTTAAAATGGTGAATAAGCTGACGGCCCATCTGATTGAAAGTGGTAGCCGTCGCCTATAGACACGAGCAGTACCATGGACATAACAGAGTATGCTGTTTCACCCATGCGTTGCCATTCCTGAGGACTCAGGTGTTATTCTTCTGTAACCTGTGAATTCACTGCCATATCTCACCCTTCAAACCGAAATATAGTCATGCTGGTTCACGGTAGAAACACTAATGAGACAGAGGTGCCCAAGCAAACGACTTTTGTACAAAGTCTCCTTCTGGTATTAAATATTCTTGACATAGGTAAATGTAAACATCCAAATATATGTGGAATTCATGGTATGGGGTTTGTTTTTATAGGCGGATTTAGCACAACCGCAGGTCTCGGGCACCGGAGAAGCCGTACCAATTGTTAGCGGCGAGGCTAAACAGGTATACCTAAATTATTATAATAATAATAAATATATAAACATCTTTATATTATTTTTCCTGTGTGGTCCCGCCATAGAATAGGCCACCTCTTCCTTTCCTGTGGGTGTCGTAAGAGGCGACTAAGAGATGGCGAGGGATGAGCAGCAGCGTCCCTCTTAAAACATTAATAAAGTCTAATTGCGGTTGTCAATCCGCCTGCTAAGTGTGGCAACTACTGGTAAAACCCCCTAGGGGAGGTTTGGTCAGCAGTGGACAGTAAAAGCTGATATGACGATGACGATGAAATATTTTTATTTACTTTCACATTTAGCTATAATATTAATAGGATATTAATATTCTTATGATCTGAATAAAATACTAAATTTCTGGTAGATTTTTTTTCTTTTAATGGGTGATAATGAAATGGTGACACCACCCGCGCTATTGGTATATACCGGCGGGGCACCAATGAAGGATGATACGTGAGGATGAAGTAGGTCAGTTAGCCCATCGTGACGAATTCAACAAGAATTGTTCACGATGGTTTCCAGGGGGAACCGCGTGGAGGTCGACCTAACAGGGCATATTGCCAGCAATGAGGCTATCAAACTCCATTACTAACAATCCCTTTCCCCCCATTTCTGGTAGATTATGCCCTGGTTATTGTTTGTCATATACCACTTTGTTTTAGGTAGGTCATTTTCGATAGCTCGTTCAATTGTACAAACCGCTGTTAGAGTAAATTAATAAAAAGATGATTAGAAATTTTCTAGTCTCACAATAAAATAAGCGGATTAACTTAAATTACAATAATAGTAAATGTAAATAAAATAGTTACATGACAATTTTTCTGTCATGGTGTACCTAAGTACCTAGCCTGCGTGTTAGAATTTTTAAAATCAACGAAATATATTCGGTCCCAACGGAAATCATCGAAGTGTTTAATTTATGGCAATGGATTTAAGAGCGTTCACACCGAAACCTACCGTAGTGTGGCAACGTTAGAATTTTCTTCTTTAATTGGTTATTTAAAAAAAAAAAGTATTAATAATAGAAAATTTCATAAAGCTGTTACTGAAATTTTGAATTTTATAGCAAAGACTAGAAGTAAAGAATAGCTGTAAAACTTTTGATAAACTTATTCTATTCAATTATTGTTTTAGTCCACTATCACAGCACTTTTTTAATGGACAATGCAAAGTAGTCGACATACTTCAGTTGGTTTCAGTATGAACCGTCTTAATCAAGTTTTAATTCCTTTCCTTCTAGTTACATTCTAAACTTAAAGTCGAAATGCAATTGGTAACCCGCCTGCCAGGCGTGGTAACTACTAGCAAAGCCCGTCTTATGGGGGAGGTCTTTGTTCAGCAGTGGATAGGTAATGGTAGATAGAATAATAAATTAGCATTTCATATGCTAATATAAACATTTTTACAGCCTGATCAGCCTGTCGCAGAGGAGCAGAGCGAAGTGAAGAAAGTAGAACAAGTCGTAGAAGGAACAAAAACTGAGGCACCTCAACCGGAGCCTGTGAAACCGGAAGCTTTAGTGTCGGAACAAATAAAAAATGAAGAGCTTCCTCCAACACCAGCAGTTGAAGAGACGAATAAAGAAGAAGCTAAACCAGCTCAAGAGCCTGCCAATGAGGCGAAAGTAGAACAAAATGTGCCTCCCAAAGATATTGTAAGTATGAATATCAAATTCTGTTGAAATTTTCTTTTTATAATTTACGGTTTAGTTATTTATTATGGTTACTTGCTTTGTAGGCCATGCATTTTAACGAGCATGCAGCTCACCTGATGGTAAGTGACTACCGCCGCCCATGATCACCCACAACACCAGAGGCATTGCAGGTGTGCTGCCGGCTTTTTTAAAAAGGAATATGATCTTTTCTTGGACATTGGCTGTTTTTGATCTCGCTGATCTATCTAATAAAAATATATCTAATAAAAACAATTATTAACTAAAAAATGTTATTACGATATAGATGAATATTTAAATAATAAAAATTTGTAATAAAAAAATAACGCGTAATATATAGATATTACTGGTTTAGTTAAAAATACTAAAATTGATAACGATACTAATAAAAAGATATAAAAATATAAACAATTACATTAAATTGTATTCAATTAAAATAAAACATATGTAAATAAAAAAAAAATGTTAAAATCATTAACTTAATTTGGAATTTAATTATAATTTAATTACATCAATGAAATTAAAATTGAATTATTTAATTACTGAAATCTTTATGAAAATTTAAAGATCGACGCCCTCCTCGTTTCTAATTGCTGTGCCCGACAGGGTCTTCAATGTACTACATCAATTTTTAACATCTTTCATAATAATATTGTAGAATGCAAAGTTGTAGTTTTCACCAGAGGGAGACTTTGTACAAAAGTCGATTGCTTGGGTACCTCTGTCCCATTCGTGTTTCAACCGTAAAGCAGTTGTGTTTGCATGGCTGTGTTTCGGTTTGAAGGGTGGGATATGGCGTGAATTTACCGGGTACGGAGGAATAACACCTGAGTCCTCAGGAATGGCAACGCATGGCGAATATCATGGGCGAAACAGTATACTCTGTTATGTCCATGGTACTGCTCATGTCTATAGGCGACGGTTACCACTTTTCATCAGGTGGGCCGTCAGCTTGTTTGCCATTCTGAGTAGTATAAAAAAAAAAGGCAACAAATAAATTGGATTGAATCTCGGTCAGACAAAGTATCGTAAAAAACTAGCAATACTTAATATCCTTATAAATATTATAAATGTGAAAGTGAGTTTGTTTGTTACCTTATAACGTCTTAACGGCTTAACTAATGAAATTTGGTATACATGTACTATATGAGAGAGCGAGATACATTTTAAACCTATTAGAAAACATATTCCTGTCACGTGGACGAATTCGCGGGTAAAAGCTAGTATTTTAATAAATAAGTAGTAAGCATGAAAAGAGAAGAGAAATAACTGGACAAATATATATGTATTTTATGCTTCTGAGATTTTCACATCGTATTTTTATACCACTCAAATGGCAAACAAGCATACGGCCCGCCTGATGGTAAGCGGTTACCTTATCCTATGAACGCCTGCAATACCAGAGGTATTACGCGCGCGTTGCCGACCCTGAAGAAACCTTTTATTCTCTTCTGAAGAACTCCATGCTGTAGTCTTTTGGAAAAACCTCGAGTTTATTCCATAACTTGAGCGTTCGTATTTTTTTTTAATATTATTTTTTATTTGCTTCTATATTTTATTATACTTATTCTTGTACTGATTATTTGAGTGAATGATATTTTTGAATGTACAATATACAATATTAGACACGTACGGATCCTTTTCGCGTGATATAACACGAATACTGTGTTTAATGTAGCGTATGGCGGATGGTGTACTAAGCGGATACATAATCGTATTATAGGTATATGATAAAATGAACAAAATTTCAGTTAATTTTCCTCTCTTAGAATAAAAAGAAATAATAATAAAAAGACATATCTACATACATAATAATGTAATTAGAGTTTAAACTTCAAGATTGTAACATATATATACAACGTGAAATTTCACTGGTTGATTATCCGCAGCGAAAAGATTTGATCTCGATGGTACAATCGATTCGTAAACCCTTTTTTCCTAAAAGTCAAATAATAACAGATTTATAATTTTGAAAAATGAAACTCGAAATCTTTATCGAATGCTTTATCAATTTGATTTCACACGACACATCATCGGTACTTTGTGTTTATGAATGAAATACGCGTGTAGTAATACGTTACGTCTAATGAGTTACTAATTGTTTCTCACGCTTTCGAGTTGGACAATTATTTTTTTGATTATACGAAAAAAAAACATGTTACTTTTAAAATTTTACTTTTGGAATCGATAGTACTACTGAGACCAAATCTTTTCGCTGCGGATAATCAACCAGTTAAATTTCATGTTGTATATATATATATATATATATATATATATATATATATATATATATATATATATAGTAATTAAAAAAACAGGGTTTAAGCGTGAAAGGGTGAAAATTTGAAGTTGTATGTATTTTTCAACGTTAAATCACAATAAAATAAAAACAAATTGTCAAAAAAAATATTTAGGAGTGGGTCATCTTTATCATTGAGGGGTATGAAAAATAGATGTTGGCCGATTCTCAAACCTACCCAATATGCACACAAAATTTTATAAAAATCGGTAAAGCCGTTTCGGAGGAGTTTGGTAACAAACACCGCGACACGAGAATTTTATATATTAGATATATATATCACATTACGCCTATCAATCGGTAGGCTTAATGTGGACATGGAGGAGAATGGAAAGGATAAGCTGGATAGAAAAAGTCACGAATGAGGAAGTCTTGAGAAGGGTGAATGAGATAAGAATATTAAAAAAAAAATAGAGAGTAGAAGAGGCAAAATGCTAGGTTACCTTATACGACTTGATGATTTTTAAAAACCATAGTAGAAGGAAAAATAGATGGCAAAAGAGGAAGAGGAAGACCGAGGAATAACTCAACACATTGGATAGATAAAGGAGACACTGTTTTTTTTTATACAACTTAGAATGGCAAACAAGCTGACGGCTCACCTGATGGAAAGTGGTAACCGTCGCCTATAGACATGAGCAGTACCATGGACATAACAGAGTATACTGTTTCATCCATGATACCTCTCATGCATCGCCATTCCTGAGTCCTCTGATCTTATTCTTCTGTACCCTGTAAATTCACGCAATATCCCACCCTTTAAACCGAAACACAGCCATGCAAACACAACTGCTTTACGGTAGAAACACGAATGAGACAAAGGTGCCCAAGCAAACGACTTTTGTTCAAAGTCTCCTACTACTACTAGTCGAGGGGAAAGGGATTGTTAGTAATGGGGTCTAACTGACCTATTGCCAGCAATACACCTTATCAGATTGACCTCCACGCGGTTCCCCCTGGAAATCATAGTGATTAATTCTAGCGGAATTAGTCACGATGAGCTAACTGACCTGCTTGCATCATCACATATCCCTCACTGGTGCCCCGCCAGCATATACCGATAGCGCAAGCGGGGTTATCATTCCATTATCACCCAGAAAAAAAGTACTTTTAGTCTAGTTGGGGCAAAGGTTTATTACAATTAGTTCTTACAGGCCACTAGAGGCCTGCAGACTCCAAAATATAAATCTCGATGTGATACGAACGTTTAGGTAACCAACTCCTTGTGGCGTGTTATTACGACTCCATAGGGAGTGCGCGGCGCGACCGCTGGAGCATGATAACGATGTCTTTAGCAGTCATTCCCGACATCATTCCGGTTAATGATCTGCGAAATTTTCGCTGTTCCACAGGGATTCTGTGTGATGTTATTTTTTGTTTAATGTAAAATATGTCCTACCGCGTTGGAAAGACGAGTATGTTTTGTTTAATACTTTAACATATTGCTTGTTTTTATTTTGGCAATTAAAATATTTTATGAGACATGGCAGGGAAATTACAAAGTACGGAGGCATTACTATAGTCTTCAGGAATGGTAACATATGATCGGTATTATATTATCCCTTATAGACCTGAACGATACGGGCGTGAATTGTAACTTTAAAAAATTCTAAAAACGCGCGCAATTCATTTTTACGCGCGAAGCTGAAATAACATGATAGTGAGATTCTAAACCAGCCAATAAGAAATCATTTTAGCGGTTAGGTGGTGTAGTAGTCTCGTGCGTGCCGGCAAGATGGCTTGGCTCCAAAACACGAAAATATATTTAATCTTAAAGAAAAAAAATCTTGGGACTGAAAGGGATATGTGGTGTCCATGATGCTGTTGACCTCTATAGGCGACGGTTATCACTATTCATCGGGTGGGCCGTCAGATTGTTTGCCATTCTAAGACTAAAATAAATGTGTTCGTGAAGTACCTACTTTTTCACCGAGAACAGAGGAGTGAAAATAGTCTCCTCGGCTACTTTCCTTTGTAATTGTCACTATTGATCGACTGACCTGTCTTTACCCTTATCTATCTTTCCTCATTGGTACCCTGCTAACGTATTTTTTTATGTATACAATACCTTTGCCAATTTTGTTTAATCTTTTTTAATAAAAAATCAGGAGTAAATCCTGTAGTAGACCCATTTTCTTGTGATTCGAAACTTAAATTTATTTATTATTTCTCAAGAATTCATATAAGACAACGCGAGGAACAAAATAATAAACACGAGTCTAAGAGAAAAAGAAAACTCAAAATAAAGTCCTATGCTGTGTTATGGTAGGTGGAAAAGATTAGGAGTTGTCAAATATCGACCTTTACATGCTGAGGGGAGACGTGTTTTAAAAGTGGGACGTAATTATAATTATGACAGTAAAAGTGCCCTAATATCGCACCGATCGCTGGCTTCCCAAACTAGGATATGAGGAACCTGTGTTATGAGGAACCAAGAACATCTAGAGGTATAACTCAGTACATCGAGACCCAAGACAATTCAGCAAATTCTTTTTTTTTACATTGGCCCAATCAATGGGTAACCCTATTTAAATAAATTTTAATAGATTGTTATTGGAATTGAGACGTTTTGCACTCTCGTATTGTAACACTAACGACATAATGGTTCCATATTATTCTAATAGATGTATACTAGTGTAAATTGCCAATACAATATTTTGCAATAAGATCCCAATTTTATATAATTCTTAATTGTTGTTTTATGAGTATAGTATAAAATTATCATTGGAATTAGTTTAGTTTGATATCGATATTGGATTCCAGAGTAGGTCTGCATTTATGCAAAGGGGGGGGGGGGGGTGAAGGGATTGTTAATAATACGGACTAGCAGTCCCATTGCTAGCAAGTCCCTGTCTGGTCCACCTCCATTCCTTCCATCTGGAAACCATCGTGCCGAATTCCATGTGTATTCATCACGATGGGTTAACTAAACTGTAACTGTAACTGCCCCGCCAGCATATACCGTTAGCACAGGCGGGGTTGCCATTCCATTATCATTTATAAAAAGAACATAGTCGAGACTTAAATAAGCTTATTAAATATACTTAGCCGCTTACTGATAATCTGTCTTCATCTACAGAACTGGCAACAGAGAGAATTGGAACTTTTGAAAAAGATAGACGAGTTGGAAAAAGTAAAGAATCAAAGGAGCGAAGACGGCCTGAAACTTGAATTAAAGGTTTGTGCATTATTTTTTTTAATCTTTTTTCGCTAATACCAGTAAAGTGCATTATAGTCCCTAAGTATAAGATATAGTCCTAAACTCCATATTCCCAATAGTACTGCGTTAAAATTAACTACTAAATAAAGTCCATCTCTTAAAACCATAAATAGTATTACGAGAAAGTTTGGAGGGAAGGTGTTATTAAAAATAGGGATTGGTAGCCTCACTCTATTAGGTTGAGCTCCACGTAGTTCCTTTTACAATCGTGAATATTTTTTGATGAATTCAAGTCACGATTGGACAACTGACTTGCTTTCATCATCACTTATTATTTACTGGTATCCCGTCAGCGTATGACGAGTGTGCAGATAATGTTATCATTTCATTATAATATATGAAATAAAAATATTGCAGAAATTTCAATAAATCAATTAAATGGGAATACTTTAGGTCCGTGAAGAAGAAATCGACCTTCTAAAGGCAAGGGTTAGGAACCTGGAGACGGAACTGCAGGCAGCACTGTCGAAGCCCAGTGGGAAGAATCATGAGATGATAGAAAACATCAAGCAGCAACACGAAGAGGTAAGGATCAAAGATTTTTAAAGAGTTTATCTTAATAGGAGATTTTTATTAATAAATCAACCATATGCTGGACATAGGCTTCTCCCATAAGGGTATTTTGTAGTTGCCATGCTTGGCAGGCTGGTTGGCATTCGTAGTTAGGCTTTGTTGACGTTTTAAGAGGTACGCTGCTGCCCATCTTTCGAACATTAGCTTCTCTTAGTTGCCTTTTACGACACTCAAACCGTCTAACTTCTGACAAAAGAGGGTATGCCCCATTTTATGCCAGAATCACACGGCAAAACTATAGGGATTTGCCATCATCCAATGTATTGTTTATCTATGACGTTTATTATCTGCAGGGAATTGTTAATAATTTTGATCAGATAGACTATTGGCTTTATTGTAATTTTAAAGGAATCATCATTATCATCTCAGTATTTAACTGTCCATTGCTACACATAGGCTCTTCTATAGACTGCTACTAGGAATAATCTCCAGTCATCTGCATCAACTGACTTCCTGCAATAAGAAAACTTTCAATATTACTTAACTAAAACTGAACCGTTAATAATACTCTCTGATTGGCAGAGAATATTATAAGGTCCTATCTTTATCATCGTCATCAGCATCATCACAACTCATCTATTGTTCAGTGCTGAACGTAGATCTTCCTCATATTATGCCACAAGTTCGATCTTGTCATAGATTCAATTATGTCCTATACGTATTAGTTTTTATAACATACCTTAGTCCTCAGGAATTGCAACATTATTCATGTCTATAGGCGATGGTTCCTACTTCCCATTAGATTTGTAGTCAGTCTTCTCTTATTTAAGCATAAAAATGTACCTATTTGACTAAAGACTATGTATAACGATATTGTAAAAACCAAGCCTGAACTTGATATTCATAACGATAGTCACTCTGTGTTCATGGCTAAATTAAAATGTTGAAATAATTACATTACAATTTCTATTATTTATATTATATTATTATTTGTATTGATTACTTATTTAATGACATTTAATAATTTAATTATATTTTAATGTTTATCAAACACAAGGCATGCTGTGGTTGCCTATAAATGTAAGAACAGTTAGATCTAATCTACCAGTGTATTGTATTGAAATGTTTAGCTGTATTTTATGTTGGTAATCCTATAAATAAATAAAGGAATACAGTTTTGGAATTGTACCGAAAGTTCTTCATATTCCAAATGTCAGAAGTTACACGGGAATCAGAAAATTACTAAGGTAATAAAATGAAGCCTTTACAACACGGTCCCTTACGAGTTGCGAAGTTTTCGGAATATTGATAGGGCTTCCATGGAGTTCACAACTAAGATAATAAAAGCTAACAAAATAGATAAATTAGTGCCTTGAAAAGTTAGAAATTACGCCCTCAGACAATTGTGGCAAGTTTTTATGATCAGCCGAAGATTACCATGGGGGCGACCATAAAACTAAATAAATTGCTTTATAAACATTATTTAAAAATGTGTTCGGTAGTTGTTTGGTATATTAACAATCTATATAAATTTAAATTTAGTTTCACTCGTATGAATTTTGGATGGTTGTTCGTGTGACAGCACCTTGTTCTTCTTGATTGCTTCTGGTGATGGAATTCGAGGTAACTATTGAGTTTAGAATCCTTACTGATATTACTAAACATGAAAGTGAGTTTGTTTGTTACTTTGTAGCGCTTTAACAGCTTATTTAATTGCTATGATTTTTAGTTTTACATACTATAGAGGATAAAGAAGGATATAAGCTATTTTTTGTCCCCGTCAGCAAACATATCCAATAGGGATACGAAGAACGGCGCGGATGAAGTCGCGGGTAAAAGCTAGTATTTATTATTTATTTATAGTATTAATTATAATAATTACTTATTCATTTATCAATTAAATTCTTTCAAAAAGTTATTTCTTGATGGATGCATGTTAGTGTCACCATTTTCATGTTAGATGGGGCATGCATGGTTTCTGGTTTAAAGCGTTGAAGCAGCTGGGAGATTTTGATACTCGTAATGTGCTTTGTTACCAACTACTATCCACAGTCTATGAAATGAGGCAGGCAGGTTGGCAACTGTAGTTAGGCTTTGATGATAAAAAGTTCCTCCCATCCCTTGACCATTAAGTAGACAGGTTTTCAAATTTATTTTAATGTGTTTGGATTTAAAATTGTAGAAAGATAGACAACCAAAAATATAGATAGGTCGATAAATTTTAACGTTTAGATGTTGAGAGCGGAAGTAAATTATATCAGCGATTTGGAGTACGTTAATTTTTTAAAAATACACTTGTAATTCCCAGCTGCTGAGCAAAGCTCGCGGCATGATATTCGACAAGACGAAGATGGTGAAGAATCAGGAGCTGCAGATCGAAGCCCTCACCACCCAGGTGCAGTCGCTGAAGGACATCAATCTGATCACCAAGGACCTGCTCGAGATCAGAAACTCCGAAGTCAAGGCTATGGAGGTATGGAACGAGTTTTTTTTTAATTACAAATTATCAATATTTGCGATGTGGAATATGGGATGGCATGTGTTAAAGTCGAAAGAGCAAAGCGGGAAGAGTAAATAATCATCAAAGAGTAAATAATTGCCATTCTAAGTAGCATAAAAAAATATCTAGCTAATAAATAGCATTCACAAAACTGAATAAATTTCTCTACGGGAGATGGATTGGAGGTGACAATTTTAGATGCGGATTTGAAAAAGTGCTGACTTTTTTGGGGAATTCGAGCGTTCTTTATGCAATTTATCCAAGGAGCAGTCCTTCGATGCGCATATATTTTTTTGTTGTGCTGTCTTCGTCAATTTTGCGTGTCGTATTCACACTTCAAGATCACTAAGCTCTCTTTGAACGGTTACGATATTTTGACACGTGATTTCGCGAAATATTTTATATTTACGGGAACTCTCATCATTCGTTGGTTTGTTTTATTTGTTCTAAAATAAGAACGGTGAGAATAGAATAGAGTAGAAATAATCTTTATAAGTTTTTTTATGATTGTACTGTTGTGTTCGGGAGATTGTTATCTGCTGAGAAGAACTCGCAAGGAACTTAAAAGTTACTATTTTGAAATTATTATGTACAAGATAATAATAAAATTGACTGATGTCAATCATCATCGTCATCATCATATCAGTCTTTAACTGCTCACTGCTGAACATAAGCTTCACTCTTGGTGGGTTTTAGTTGTCAAGCTTGGCAGGCAGTTTGGCAACCGTAGTCAGGCTTTGGAGATATTTTAAGATATTTCCAAAGCCTGCTGCCGCTGCACATCCCTCGCTCTTTCTTAGTCACCTCTTACGACACCCACTCGAAAGGAAGGGGGTGGCCTATTCTATGCCGGGATCACACATATAGGATATTTTATACGGGCAAAGCCGCGGGAAATGGCTTGTACTAAATATGTTATATGGAAAAAACTTAGGATTATTTGATCTTATGGATTATGTGACAAATAGGATCGGCTGCAAGCTATGGAGGCGCGGTTTAAGGCGGAGAAGGACAAATACGGGCTGGTGCTGCAACGTGCGCAGACCAGCACCAATATCAACGTCGACCTCCGCAAGGAGTACGAGACGCAGCTCGGCATATTCAAGGTAACGATTTGTTCGGAAGGCTTACAAACCTCGTCTGCTTAGGTACTTCTTTTTATACCATTGTGGTGGCAAACAAGCATACGACTCACCTGATGCTAAGCGATTCCCGTAGCCTATGAACATCTGCGATACCAGGGGTATTACGCGCAACGCGCGCGTAATACCCCTGAAGAAACCTATTTACCCGCTTTTTGAAGAACCTCATGTTGTAGTCTCTTGGGAAAAAATCTTCTGTTCCACTTGCGTTTTTGCTTTTTTCTTAATGAGCGAGAATTAAATGGTAATCCCGCCTGCGCTATCTGTGTACGCTGATGGGGCACCAGAGATATGAGAAATGATAGGTGAGAATGAAAGCAAGTCCGTTAGTCCATCGGAACGAATTCCATAAGAATTAATCTGGAAAATGGACTAAACTGAGAGTTTATATAATTAAAACATGATAATTAAATATTAATTATTTTAACCAACTTCAAAAAAGAAGGTCCCCAATTCGGTTGTGTTTTTTTTATGTTTGTTATCTTATAAATTCATCAATTGTAAACCGATTTAGAAAATACTTTTTTTTGTCTGAAAGAATATACTTATAAATACCGATAGATTTTTTTTTAAAATCGCTTCATTAGTTTAGTTTAGAAATCAAAATAACTGGTATTACCAAAATTAAGGTTGGTTTTATTTGTGGAACCAAATTTTAAATCATGTTTTGATTTAAACAGGAGCTGAGGGAAAAGTATGAGCAAAGGGTCCAAGCATTAGTGGCAGAAAACACAAGGCTCAAAGAGTCTGTGAGAGGCGGCACATCCTAAAAGGAAATTATATATTTATATATATAAAGACTGTTTCGGAATTTGGCCGATACATTTATATTTTGTACAATTTTAAATATTTTGGTAGTGTACATTATTTGCGTTTGTGATGTACGAAATATTTTAATCTTAATAAAAAGTTAATACTGAATTGTGTTTTTCTATTTATATTTTGCCTGCACATTCGTAAAATTTGATTTTGAACCAGTAAAATAGATTAGATAACTCTAGATGGCGTATCTAGGTGAGACATATTTATGTGAAAAGGAATATAACTGAGAAAACTGCATCCAATTTGATACAGTCGTTTATGCGTAATACCACAACAAAGTTATAGATAGACAATAATAAAATAAAATACAAATGATTGTTTATGAATAAATAAAATTAAAAAAAAATGATTCTTAGTTATTTTGGTTTTTACTGCTTTTATTGGTTTTTATCTCACGTATTTTTTTTTATAAATATTTCCTATATATACTAATATATAGTACATTTAAATTATATATAGTCTCCATAGAAATGCTTCGAGAAAAACGGGTCAACTTTTTCATACAATTTTGCGTGATAAATAGTTATGAGTGGTTCCTTTATAATTTCTATATTTATTTTGGATTATAATTTCTACATATTTTTGATGCTTAAATACTCATTTTATTTATTAAATAATACATCAAGATACGTTTTATGCGTAAGTATATAGAACACTGACAAAAAAAAAAACAACGAGTCGGCTAATTTGACAATTAGCTGACAAAAAGTTGACCCGTTTTTGGAGCTCGATGCTCTATTTATATAATCTAAAACATTTACATATATAATTATTATGGAATTATATTCCTATAAAATTTTTCTTTAAGAATTAATTAAATGTTAAATGTCCGACGAATTGTTATTTACCTTTAAACCGCCATTTTGTTTACGCGTCCGCCATTTTGCGAGCGCACGTCACGGTGAACCTGTTATTTATTGCTTGATACGGTGTTCCGTTTGCGTTTCCGTTATAACGCAACCGTATTGTCCAACGTACCTATTAATTTCCCTCTGTACCAATGATTCATAGAGAAAAATGAAACATCGTTTTTAATCGGACATTCGTGTAGAAATGTGTAATATTTCATACAGACACATGAGTTATATTGTTCTGATAATGTTATGAAAAATGGATTAGTAGATATGAAAATGTCTCGACAATTGTTTTTGTTTATTTCGCAACTTTTTGATAGTAAAGTTCATTATTTTTATCACACTTTATCGACAATAATTTGCAGCACTCGCAGTTGCCTTTATTAAGATAATTTTAATAAAACCTCGTCTATATTTGCCAACCAAGTCGACTGCGAATATTCACAACAATATCAGGTTTTTTTTATACAACTTAGAATGGCAAACAAGCTGACGGCCCACCTGATGGAAAGTGGTAACCGTCGCCTATAGACATGAGCAGTACCATGGACATAACAGAGTATACTGTTATACCCATGATATCCCCCATGCGTTGCCATTCCTGAGGACTCAGGTGTTATTCCTCTGTATCCTGTAAATTTACGTCATATTCCACCCTTCAAACCGAAACACAGCCATGCAAACACAACTGCTTTACGATTGAAACACGAATGGGACAGAGGTACCCAAGCAATCAACTTTTGTACAAAGTTTCCCTCTGGTAAAAAAGGTTGTATTGGAATTTATAATTTAAATCACAAATAAGGAGTAAATAAAAAATAAAAATAAGGAGAGGATAAAAGCAAGTCAGTTGGCACATAATAACGATAAAGGATTAATCGAGATGACTTCCAGGGGGACTCGCGTGGAGGTCGACCTGATAGGGAATATTGTTACCAATGGGGCTGTTAGGTCTCCAATACTAACAATCCCTTTCACCCCTTGCTATATTATTGATGGCATAGGGATATTACTATCAATTTGCACATCCAATCAGTCCAATCTCTTGGCTCATTGTGTGAATAGTACCTATTCTGGCTATTTCTAAATCACGTTCCAATTTTAAAGGGGACTTATGTGAGAGTATTGGACCAGCAGATTGCTAGCGGAATTGAGTAAATTTGCATATGCAAAAGGCAGACTCGGCTGCAGCCTTTGTGTACAACCTTAAAAAAGAAAATGAGTAAAATGTATTAGTCTTTTAGCTAAGTTACAATATAGATTGTAGCCAAAAATAGTACTTAGCGGATTTTTAATGAGATTTACCTTTGTGATTCACAAATTTAATTAGTTACATTTTGGGGGAAGGGATTTTTAGTAATGGGTGGGTACCACCACTTGGAAACTATCGTGGTTAATGCTAGTTGAATTCGTCAGGACGGGCTAACTGACCTATTTTCATATCTGTTATCTCCTACTGGTGCCCCGCCAATGTTTACCGATAGCGCAGGCGGGGTTACCATATCATATCTATTAAAAAAATGGTATATTTTAAAATACTACACTTACATTACAACTTAGTATCGCTATTATTTTTTTTAAGTATCCATTAAAAAAAACACGATATGAATAAGTTTGTACTTATATTTTACTTGTATTTTTTAACCACCCAATAGCATTTTCTTTTGATTATATTGTATATCAATGTTCAATAAATATCACTACACATAATAAAACAAAGCCACTTGCTGTCTGTCTGTCCCTATGTATGTTTAGATTTTTAAAACTACGCAACGGATTTTAATGCAGTCTTTTTTAAATAGATAGTGTGATTCAAGAGGAATGTTTATATGTATAATACATGCATAATATAGTAGAGGAACACTGATAAATTTAGAGGTTTCTAATGTGATGTGATGTATATATCTATATGTAAATATTACCAGTGCCTAGTATGTATATATATGAATTATATATATTTGTAAAAACGCACCCATATATATTTGAAATTAACTGTAACGTATCTATAACTATCGTAGAAGATTCCCAGTAGTGACAGCTGTTATCCAATGGCAATACGGGTATACAATAAGTTACCTTCAGAAATAAAGGATCTTCCGATAGAGAGGTTTAAATCAAAGTTATTTCACTTTCTCTTAGAAAAATGCTATTATACATTTATTGAATATTTAAATGACAAAAAATGTAATAAAAGATGTAATGTATTAAAAATTACTTAAAATATAAACCATAATTTTATATGATAATTTGACATAAGGAATATTGAAATTTGGAAAATGTTTGCACTTTATAATTGTCATTGTTCACTTTAGATGTAATAATTGCATGGCAACATTCTCGATAATTCATAAAAACCTTTTATTCTCGTATGTGGCAATTAATAATTTTGATTGGAGGTAGTAAGATAAAAAAAGTGGTTGGTGTCTGCTTTTAAATACAGAAACAGAACAGTTTTGTCGTTGTCGCTCATAAAGCATTTAATAAGTATAACATTTAATTTCACAATCGTGAGACTTTAGTTTTTGAATTTAATATTTTTGTTTTATAAAAAGAACTACGCAAAAGATAATTTCTCGTGTTGTTCTGAAATATTTAAAAGGATTTAAGATTGAAACGTCTGTCGGAAGATTCAAGATCGAAACCTTTAGTACTTATAACATTTTCGAGGTAATCTCAGGTAACTTTAGCATGCTTTAGGGAACTGAGTGATCTGAGTATGTTGTAAAAGGAATTTTCGCTAATCAAAGGGTACGTCATTTGAACTAAGTTTGAATCTAGGTAGCTAAACTACCTTTACAAACTAGTACTTTTAAAACAACTTGTCGGTTTTCGCATTCTCAAATCTTTCAAAAAGCTTATCGTACATACAGTCCACTTATATTCTCGCACAGTCATATAATGTAGACTAAATACAGTTTAACATTTGCATATCTCCGCGGGGTGCTGCATGTTATGTACCTACTTGTATATGTAACTTCTTATTGTACCATGTAGCAAGCGAATAAATATGATTTGATTTGATTTGTTGTGTGCACCCGTGCGAAGCCGGGGCGGGTCACTAATTAAAATATAATTACATAATCTGTACATATAAATAAATTTTGGGTGACATGATTATGAAATGATGAGGTTTTTATATTAATATTTCCTTTTTCGTTCCGTTCACGTCAGGAACAAATTCCTTTGATCTTATTTCACTTAATCGCGAACGCTTTTGCAGGTTTGTTTTTTTTTTTTTCATAATTTGTCTAGGTAAAAATAAGAATTCCCTTGTAAATATCAATTAGTAAAGATTGCTACTTGTTTGCCATTTTAAGTCGTATAGAAAATTTTTTTTTTTTTTTTTTTTTTTTTTTATAGAACTTAGAATGGCAAACAAGCTGACGGCCCACCTGATGGAAAGTGGTAACCGTCGCCTATAGACATGAGCAGTACCATGGACATAACAGAGTATACTGTTTCGCCCATGATACCCCCATGCGTTGCCATTCCTGAGGACTCAGGTGTTATTCCTCTGTACCCAGTAAATTCACGCCATATCCCACCCTTCAAACCGAAACACAGCCATGCAAATACAACTGCTTCACGGTGAAAATGATAGACATGGGAGACTACCAGAGGGAGACTTTGTACAAAAGTCGATTGCTTGGGTACCTCTGTCCCATTCGTGTTTCAACCGTGAAGCAGTTGTGTTTGCATAACTGTGTTTCGGTTTGAAGGATGGGATATGGCGTGAATTTACTGGGTACAGAGGAATAACACCTGAGTCCTCAGGAATGGCAACGCATGGGGGGTATCATGGGCGAAACAGTATACTCTATTATGTCCATGGTACTGCTCATGTCTATAGGCGACGGTTACTACTTTCCATCAGGTGGGCCGTCAGCTTGTTTGCCATTCTAAGTAGTATAAAAAAAAAAAAAAAAAAAAAAAAAAGATATTTAAAAAAAATCGATATCGGCAAAGCAATAATTTTTAGAATTCTTATTTGACTCTATGTTTGTTTTGGCATCTTATACTAGAAATTGATTGCAGTTTTCCCTATTGTGTTCCAGAAGGCGTCACTTAACATTTTCTATAAGGTTTGTGATGGTCCCCCCCTTTGTGCACCCCTTATAATAATAACCCTCTAAACTAACCTACACATGGAAAACCTACAAAGCCTAAGAAAAGCCTACGAAGGCTTTACCTAATGAAATCCCATGAAAATCTAATGAAAACCTACCCTAAAGAATGACCTAACAT